CAGGTGTGAAAATCATGTAACTTTGTAAATGTACCTTCTTCTTCTCTTCAGAATACAAGGAGCAAGCTTCAAGTACTGGTGTCTTGAACATATCAGGGCATGACATCTGCTCAAAGCCTGCTTCAAGAAGGTGATCTGTTGTATAATGTATGAGGGCCTGCTCTAGCATGGCCAGTTTACCCTTCAGGTAGTAAGCTTTGGGGGACATGGGGCTACAAGTGAAAATATTTTATCTCATTTTATATTGCCCTTAATTATTTTTAGGACAGTTTAATTAGTTAATTATGCAAAAATCCTACTTTAATTTCTCTGAAAAAATACTTTTTCAAAGAAATGTAAATACCTTTGCAATGAGAGCCATCAATTTAGCATATTCAAATTTTTTTCAATTAACACACTTAAATATCTTGTCTGAGAGCATGGTGAAGTGACATACATGTACGTGTAATTAAATGCATTGTTAATATTACCTGAATTCCAGATTTTCTCCACACAATTCCATGTAAGATTTGGCTTCAAAGTCAAACTCTGAAAGTTAAATGTAAGTGTCTATGAATCTAAAACATTTCATATTTTGCTGTATTTAGTGCTGCTCTGAATATTTTAAATGTCCTTCAAGTATCAAGACTAACTTTGAGCTAATATTGTGTAAAAAATGAATGCTATCAAAACCCCATAGTAATCCATGAATTGCATTTACTGATTCACAAAGGTGTCCTTTTAGAGTTCTTTTATGTTAACTTCTATTATAAATGTTCCACTTGATTCAAAGTCAGTATAGATTCAAGGTCACTTAATTTAGATTATATTATGATGCACTTCTTATTTTCTGAGAAACTGGCTTATCAGCATTTTACATATGCCATTTGAAGAATACTGTATAAATACAGGGTACACATAGCAAGTATATATATACCAAATAGTATTTGAAAACTTCCGTTTAACTGGATAATTTCAATCAATCAAATGTAATATAGCAATTGGAAATACCTTTAGGAGGATACCACTGTCTAGTTAAATGCCTCCTTGACACACCCTTTGGCTGTAAAATCAAATTAGAACCTTATATACTCTGATACACACTAAGAACACCAGCCTGTGAATGAAAAGATGGGACACCTTTTTGGCAAATAAACATTTGAAGTTTAAATGTGGCTTTCACAGCTTTTTACAAGCTCATTATAGGCTGTGATTTTCTGACGACAAATTCTGATTGTATATCGGCTGGATTAAGTAATAATTTCTCATGTGGACAAGTTCAGCTTTTGTGAAAGATATTTTCTTTAATTTCAAATATTTCATGTCTAAACAATGCCATAATGGTTACAACAATACATAACATACAAAACTAGTCATAAAGTATCACTATACTACAACGAAGACTCCCAGGCCAATACTATGATACAATGAAACACTTACTGCTAAATCATGCACATAATTGGGCAGCTGTAAAACAAATGTAATCACTTTCTCTTCTAAATCAGCAAACTTAACCTATAAAAACAAAACAAAGTAAGTATATTAAAATTAAAACTAGGATCTACATGTATCATAATTATTAGCATAGGATTTTCAGTTAACATCTAATATACATTTTACTTCATTTCCATGAAAATAAGAAGTGAAAGTGCTGCCATCTTTCAAAGAAGCATATGCGTGAGTGAAATTATGAAAACCCTCACAACCCATACCGTTAAATGTCAGATGGTTCTTCATGTAACTTCATGTCAAATTCAAACAACCCTATATGCAATCATGAAGCAGACTGCTGATATCATATCATAATATAATATCATATCAGTAGCAAAGCTCTACAACCTTCTGTGTTAGTCAGAGGAAAATAAGACTTCTTGAAATACATTCAGGGTAGAATGTGTTTAACCAACCTGAGTGTCTTTCAGTTGTTGCTTCACTTCCTTCCCTTTCTCCTGCAGCAGCCTCTTCTCTTCATCTAAAGTCTTCTTGTCAACAGCATCCTATGGATAGTCAGCAACATTAATGAAGAAATGTTTAATTGTTTTAAGCCCTTCAGACACCCTCCCCTTAACAGTTAACACCCCATTCACTGAGAGTGAAGCTGATAGGGGTACAGAGATGTGATATGGGATAAAGGAAGTCATAAAAAAAATCTGTTTACTAGGAGGGATAAAAATTCAGTTTTGAAAGTTTGACAATATCCACTTTTTCATAACATTTTTAGAACACTTAATTCAACTGTGAGAAAAAGTATTTGAATGGCAAAACATATTTCCAAAGCAAATCTAATTTTGATATCCATATCCTTAATAGGGGGATGCAGTCAGATTATCAATCCTATCATGACTATTAACCCTTTCCCAACGTGAATATCATGACTATTAAGCAAAGAGAAATCCTGCAAATATGTACATTTACTTAAGGCAAGAGATTTTCTGATATATTAATTCATGAATTTGTTAAGAGGCACCCTGTATTTGAATCACCTTGTTTTTCATAAGCTCACTAAACTTCTGAGATATGGTATCCTTTTCTAACTCCAAATTTTCTCTCTGCTGTTTCAGCTCATCATATTCTGCATAGGTTTCTTTCTGCAAACATATAAATAATTTATCTAATATCGTATATTAGATCATGGCACAAGGAAAATGAGTCACTACAAAGATGTCACCCAAAAATTAAATTTAAGAGCAGGTAAACAACATTCATGTCCATGGAAGCATCAGTAGTTTAGTACATTGTACATAATTTTGAAACAATCAATGTTAGTTTGGAAACAACAATTCCAGTTCCAACAATGTCTGGAGAATGTTTAAATATTTTGAACAATAAGTTCCAAATTGATTATTATATTTGGCATAAATAGATGCAGATATTTGTTTAGTTATTGAATTGCCATAGAAGCATGACAATATGTTGTTACTCTAAAGTCCATATATGTCAATTAGATGACATAATAATTGATGGGTGTTAATATCAAAGGAATTTATATTGATTCTTCCAAGAGAGTCAATAAATTGCTCACTTATTTTAAGTTAACGTCCACTGTATGTTGCTAAGATGAACTGATGAAGTCAACACTTATGGGAACTGCAACAATAAGCAACTATAAGGAATATTACACTTCTTATTAAATATGTATTACTGATTAACTAAAACAATTGAAAAATACCTAAAAATTTAGTTTGCAAGATGCCTAAAACAAAGATGCCTAAAGAAATTAAAGTAATTCTTGCCAAGGAAAAGGAGGACAGACATTTACAAGCTAAACTAGACACTATAGAAAAACTAAAGCAATCTCAACTGACCAATCTTCTCAAAGAGACGAGTTTACTGAAAATAGATCATCATGCTAACGAATGTAGAAAACTTGTGATATCAATGAAAAAGCTTCAGAGCAAATCACCAAACAATATATCGACACAACAAGACACAAACTCTGGAAACGGTAGGAATTATGGTAACCCGACTTCAAGATTTACATCCCATAATGACAATTCACCTGGCATAACGAGCCAATGGCAGACTGGGACTCAATGCAATTCGAACAACACGATTAGCAGAAGATCATCTTACACATGTACTTTTCCAAGAATTCACCAATCATCAAGTGTGATGTCATCCACACAAGGATCTGCAATAGAATCTAAATCAGAAAGTACAATAAAATCGAGCAGAGAATCTGTTAAGAAGCATACAGAAAAGGACAATGCTGTGTCTGATGTAGAGATTCAAAGATATAAAAAGCCTACGAAAAAGGCAAACACGACACTTAGCCAATTAGAAGAGTTCAATCGGTACACAGATGGCGCTATGCACCTTGCTTTAAGACGCAACGATTACTTATGGCAGGAAATCATGCCACCATTAGTGGGCCACTTACCCTACAGGCCAAGGGAAACAACCAAGGAATACATGAAAAAGAATCAAACAATATCTAAACCAAAACAGTTTGGGATGATCAGCACTTTTGGCAAGAAACAAATTTGTCCTGTAGATGCTGAGAAAGAGAATGAGGAGAATAGAAAAGTAAAACTCAGACAACATCAAAGATCAATGAAAAGCATGAACCTTGATCAAAATGCACATTTTATTTCAAAACAACTTAAGGATGGTGCAGATCGAAACCAAGAAGAGTTAAAAAGACTGACTAAGCTACGCAAAGCAGATGAGATGTATAAGTACAACACATATCTGTCAAAATCATCAACTTGGCTCCACCCTCAAATACCCCTAAGACTGAACTTAGATGATATCTTAGAAGAAGATGACAAAAAGATATTGTCCAAAATGAATGAATCCCATATTTTGGTCACACTTGGTAGGACTGTTCACCATATGAAGAACCCGAATAAACACAAGACATGGTCCTATGAGCAGTTCATTAGTAAACTGAAGCAGAAATATATAACAAAATTGAATAAAATATGCAGTAGCCACAATTTCGATATAAAATGAAATTAAAAGTGATTTAATTGACGATCTGGACATATTTGACAAATAGCGTGAATCTGATACATTTTTGTCTAATCTGAGGGTACAATGCAATGGTTTTAATTATTGACATTAGAGAGTTTAAGCTTGCAATTGTTTTCACAACCTAAACGTTTGAGTATAATATTATATTATTACAAATTATTATTCTAATGTTAATGGTGTCATAATCTCAATAATAATCGTATGCTTCATGTACATTGATTGTCTTATTTAACTGTTTATGCTTGAATCTTTTTCTTGGGAGATCTTGGCAAAAGTCATTCTGTTAAATCAGTTTATTCCTACAGTCTACAGCCAAAAGAATCGCTTTGTCGTCTCAACTGAATGACACGCAAAAATTGAATCAAGAGAAAATTACAATGGATTGAATATGACGTCGCTTATCAAAAATCAATATTTTTTTTATTTCATTGAGTATTTTCCTGGTTCATCATAGAAAAAGCTATCAGATTAAAACATGGCTTTCAGCCCATATACTGTACATGTTGTAATGATAATGGTAAAGATAAATTATGAAATATATCCCTACTGGACTCTGATGTACAGTTTAGAAATCTCCATGAAATCAATTCTAAAGCTACAGCAAACCTGTTTAGTGAACTGCCCTAAGACCACAAAAAAGTGTTTCCCTAATGAGATATATTAACACACATTCAAACGTAACATTAACTTACCATGTCTTTGAGTTTTAAATGAACCAGCCCTCTTGAGTTTATACTCTTCCACATTCTCAGGTATGACTCCTTATCAACTAAGACGTCCATATTGAGATCTAACTCAACCACTGCAGCTTCACCTACAGCTTTGAGCCTATTGCAGAACAATGAAGTGGCCTTGGAGTGTTTCAAACATCTTGTCACATGTTGCTTAATGTCAGGCTTGATGTGTAGACTTTTCAAAGTTCTCCAATGACTTCTGATTATTGAAAATGTCAATGTGGAATGTCTCGTGAGAATCATGTTCCTGGTTTAATCATCTATGTGTACTAGCTATACTTGATTGGTAACATGTGTGAGTGTTTCCATAATCCTGGAAGGTAAGTCACAGTTTGCAATCATTAGTTAAAATCTTACTTTTTAGATTTGATTGATAAAGAAAAACAATTCAATAGGGAATAGTGACTACAGTTATAATGAAAAGCACACTATGCACTAATGCGCCAATTTACTAATAGTCCATTTGTCATTTTCATAACGTATGAATATTTAAAAACATGATGTTTTTCTGTGCAAATACTATCATTAGGGTTTATTGGAGTGATTTAGCAGGGTTGCCAAAAAATTAACGTTGGGGAAAATTTTTGTATCTATATCACCATGGTAACATACCAGGTACAATACATGGTGGTATCCCGACGCTAAGTCAATAGTCAACTCCATGTTAAGCCAATGCACCCCTCCCTAATTAGCCGATATACTTTTTTCCCCAAACTAACTTTTTGTCCAACCCAGTTAAATCACTTCAGAAAACCCTTGTTATTATAAATTAACCATAAAACATCGTGTTTTTAACAATTCATAGGTTCACTATAGTATGTATAGGGGTGACACATGGACTATAATAGGAAATGATCGCTCCTCCACGAGGTGTATGCATGTTATAAGTGCATGTTTATAATTGATCTATATTCAAGGCCCAGGAAATATGTGTAATTAATTTCTGAAAGTTCAGTTGCTTTCAAGGTCACATTGACAACATGGTACATAGGTCACATAGTGTGTCACGTGATTAAGCTATGTAAAATCAACATGTCAGTTTTTCTTTTATTTCCCTGATATAGCATGGACAAAAACAAGGGTTAATTTCATTTCGCTATTACCTAAAAGTAAATCAGTGACATTACAAATAATACTCATAAAAGTGATGGAAAGTGATATGAAAGCAAAAAGGAAAGTAAAAGTGGGTAACTGGGCACAGTTATGGAAAATAAAAATACATGTAAATAACAAGCCTTGAAATTTGCATTGCGAAGGTTGCAATTTGCTACCTGTTTTACCTCAAACACTACAATGTACTTGCCATTTCCTCCAGCTAGCAAACTTCACTGGTACCTCATCTAACAAGACTAATTAGTAATTTGTCAATCAGCTGATCTTTGTTTTTTCTTGTATGAACTGACTCACAACTTTTACAATATTGCACAAAAGCTGACCAATCATAATCGACTTCATCCTTACTATCAATGAAATGTATATGCACATTGCAGTAAATCGTTGTAATATCCGGGTAAATATGCATGCAATACAGTGTAATATCTTATTATTGCGTTGGAAAGTCATAAGAATAAAGTTCACGCTCATCAAAATCATCACTACCTTTTTCTCTCAAATAGCTACTTGTACTCTCTACTGAAGAAGAACAGTACATGTATTGCCTAGCCTGTGCCAAAACAACTACCTGTTGAAGACTCAATCTTAAACTCTGACGATGATGTCTTAGTAGAATGTTTATTTGGTAGTCGCACAGATGTACTACAGAATTACGATTTTGCTGAATGGCAACAATTTACCTTTGTTCCAATCAAATAAGCGCTATGCTTAAAGAATTCACGTCGTAAGTAAATATTACCTTATCTTACTCATTTTGCCATATATTGTTATTTTGTATCTAATGTATATATTGTAATTTAATCATTTGTTTTTGTATTAAATTGCTCTTCAAATTGGAGGAAATAAAGAACCATACCATACCATACCACTACAAAGCAATGGGCTTGGGATCAAACATTTCATACTGAACAGTGCGCAAGTGTGCAAGCGTGTTCAAAATGATGCATGTTATCATTTTAACCAGTGACTACCAGTGTCATAGCCAGGAAGAAAAAAGAGAAAGGGCGAAAAATATCCAAAATGGTTACTTTAGCTCAGTCAGAAATATATTTAACCTAAAGTTGGGTAAAACACCAAATTGTGCGCATGCGCATTAAAGTTTAAACCAATCAGATTATTTGATTATTTTGCGCATATTTTTTTGCTTCTGAGCACTTTATTAAAAGCTAACCACAATAAACCATGGGCATTCAATAGAGCCCATGAATAAACAGGAGATTACCCTTACTTCATTTTAGCGAAATTTCAGCTCAAACTCATGACAAATGCATTATGCATAAGCTTAACGGTGTATACTTTTCTGCAGTTTTTGGGAGTTTGGGACGTCATGTTAAAATTCAAGAAAATGTGCCATCAATTAATTTGTATCAGCATTGTAGATCTAACACAGATACAAAAACACTAACAAAATACTTAATAAAGCAGAAAAACCAGAGACATATAAAACATGTCTCTGAGAAAAACACATAAAGAAATAAGATTGAATTTTGTCCAGTTCAATCCGTACCTACAGTGCCTTACCTCGAGAGGTAGTGAAGGTTACCTTCTTCTAAGGCCACTGTATCATGGCCTTCCTGGAAAGATAATTTCCTGCATGAACAATTGGTCATGTCGTAATCATAAAATTTGAAATCATATGTCCGCCATTTTTCCACATCACAATTTGAATTGCGAGTTTTGGTCTTATTACCTCACCAAAAATTCCAAAACACACATGAAGTGATCAGTATATTAGTTCACATCTTCTGGATCGCTAACTTACTAATGTCAGACGTTAACGACATTTCGTCCATTTTTCGAATATCGCCATTTTTCTTGGAGCCATTACAGTGTATGTTTTAATTTTAGACGAAATCCTGACGAAATCATGTCAAATCTCATCAAGGAGTTGAGTCTGTTACGATTCAATTGATAAAATATTCAATAAATTTATGACACTGCGGCCAGCTTTTTTCAAATGGAGTTCACAGTATTCCAGATGAAATCACCTCTAGCCAAGTATTGGCTAGAGACTCGAGTAAAGTGAAGGTACGCAACGAACGAAATGAATTTTGAGAATGCAACCACAGAGACATGTAGCACTATGATATGAGATGAGCACTATGATAGGCCCTATATAAAGCCCCATATCAGGCAGCCCCATATCAGTCATCATAAGGTGATACAAGATCCTGTGAATGCAACGTTGTGTCTGACTGAATAAAAATAGGAAAAAGAGTGACATTATTTATTATGTAAATCTGTTGGATACTCACATGTTTATCTCACGATCGTTGACTACATTGGACGTGATATAACCTGCCTGTATAAATTTACACGAATATACACATTTCGATAAGACTTATATGACCTAAAAACTTAAAATAGACAACTTTTTATTTTGAATTTCCAAAATATGGGAAATCCCTAAGCTTTTTAAAACGAGGCCGAGGAATTCCTACAGCGATCACTTATGCTTAAGTTTCTTTGTAATGAATATTAGTCATTTTCGATGACCTTCTCTTCAAACTAAGAACAGTTAATTTGAAAAATCATTATTTTGATTTACCTGTATATCACTTGACGATTCACCATTGTACTATTTCGAGATCAAAAGGTTTGACAACTCTGACCAGAATGACAGGTTTCAGAAAATATTGCGCGCGCAATTTAAACGCCGGAAGTTGACCAATGTCAAAAGGCGAAACCTGCAAGGTAAACGTTATTTTAGTTATTTAGAACTTGTCCTTAGCATCTGTTGGAAGGAAACACTTAGAGAACTTTATCTGGTGACATTCCCTCAAGTGTGTTAGATTTTGTAGACAAATCAACCAACCACTGGAGCTTCAGCATTGGTCTACCTAGTCTATATCCAATAGATCTAGGCTAGAGGCCAATAGAATTCAGTCTGAATATTTTCATTCCAAATTTCAAAAAAATTTCAGACAAGAGGATATAGTCTATTGGTCTACCGGCGCCAATGAAAATGCTGATTCTTTCAATTCCATAGATCTAAAGTCTGAAGTGGGAGACATGAACAGGCCCGTAGCCAGAATTTTCCAAGGAGGTTCACTTTTCCAAAATATTCTAGGGGGGTTCACTTTGGCAAATTTGTCCAAAAATCACTCAAAAATTAGTCAAAATGGTGAAAAAGTGCATCATGTAATTTTGAAAGGATTTTGGCCCCCGAACTGCCCCTGGCCACGGGCCTGCATGAATAAACCTCAACTATCAAAAGTTGTCACAATGAGCTAAATTCTAAGTTTCATATCTCAAACTCTCCAAAAGCGGGTATAAAGGACTCGGTGGAGAGAAAAATTGATAAATTTTACCTTTTGGTTAGTCTTGCTCAAAGACCACTGCCCCCAGGATTCCGTGTTTGCAGAGCGCGGACGGAATTTGCCTCTGCCCGCGGAATTGCAGAATCAACTATTTTGGTCAATTTCCGCGGAATTTTCCGCAGAATCCATATATTTTCCAAAAGTTTAAAAAGTCAGTCTTACCTGTAACAATTTGACACGTTTTCAGTCAAATCCCTTGCAGAAATAACCCAAATTATGCGAAGTGAAAATTCTAAACGCCATCGTTTGATTTCTGCCGTTAGATGGCAGCATGTATGTAGTGACTGACTACCTGACTATCACGATATTTTCCCGTTTACTGGTTCGAAAACCATTAGTTTTTCTTTCGGTTCTCGTCAGAAAGTTAAACAAAGACATAAATTAATAACAGTTATTTTATATTATTTTAATAACCGCAAAAAAATGCCGCGAATATCCGCGGAATTTCTGCAGAATTAGCCCTTTCTTCTTGCAGAATTCACTAATTTCACTTGCAGAATTGAGCATTTTAACTTGCAGAAAACTGGGGGGAGTGAAAGACTAAATATCCAAAATTATAAACAAACAGATTCAAATGTGATAATCCAGTTTACAAACTATTCTAAACAATTGTAATTTAGCACAATGTAATAAATAATTTAAAAAAAAATATATATAATAAAATACAATTAAAAAAATAAAATAAATATCAACTTAAAATATTTTTCAGTTGCTGTCCGACGGTCGAAAAATCCATTTATTTTTAGCTCACATGGTGAGCTTTTGCAATCGCTCACTTGTCCGTCTGTCTGTCCGTCCGTCCGTTCGTCTGTCCGTCAACAATAGTGGCACGTTTTAAAATCTCTGTCGATAGGATTCCTGTTTTAAGTTATTTCTGTTCAACATCAATACAGAAAACTCCCCTATGACTCCTGGTTCAAAAGCTCGCCTATTTTCAAAATGTCCGCCATTTTTGTCGAAATTCACTTTTGACCCATTTCCTAGCTTTACAAATGATTTCAGCCTAGTTAACATTGATTTGTCCATCTGACTTGTGAAATCCACTTTTCCGTCAACAACAGTGGCACGTTTTAAAACCTCTGTCGATAGGATTCCTGTTTTAAGTTATTTCTGTTCAACATCAATACAGAAAACTCCCCTATGACTCCTGGCTCAAAAGCTCGCCTATTTTCAAAATGGCCGCCATTTTTGTCTCGCGAAATTCACTTTTGACCTATTTCCTAGCTTTACAAATAATTTCAAGTGTCCTACATTGTAAAAATCCATGTCAATGTAAAGAGTAGATGTATGAAATAATTTTGTTACGAAAAATCAGCAAAAAATTATATCCATTTTTTTTATTTTCAGCCATTTTAGTTAACATTGATTTGTCCATCTGTCTCGCAAAATCCACTTTTGGACCATTTGCCTTAAACACTCTGTCGATAGGATTCCTGTTTTAAGTTAATTTTGTTCAACATCAATACAAAAAACTCTCCTATGACTCTTGGTTCAAAAGCTCGCCTATTTTCAAAATGGTCACCATTCTTGTCTCGTGAAATTCACTTTTGGCCCATTTCCTAGCTTTACAAATAATTTCAGCTGTCCTGCATTGTAAAAAGCCATGTCACTGTAAAGAGTAGTTGTATGAAATAACGGCAAAATATTATATCAGTTTTTTTTATTTTATTTTCAGCCATTTTAGTTAACATTGATTCGTCCATCTGTCTCTCAGTCAGTCCAAAAAAGTGGCAAGTTTTAAACCTCTGTCAACACTTTTTAAATCCTCTGTAGATAGGATTCCCGATTTAAAATAATTTTGTTCAACATCAATAAAGAAAAAAAAACTGACTCCTGCTTCAAAATCTCGCCTAATTTCAAAAAGGCCACCATTTTTGTCTCAGGAAATTCACTTTTGGCCCATTTCCTAGCTTTACAAATAAGTTCAGGTGTCCTGCATTGTAAAAAAACATGTCTTTGTAAAGAGTAGTTGTATGAAATAATTTTGTCACAAAAAATCTGCAAAAAATTATACCCGTCTTTTTTATTTTCACTTTTGAGCAACACCATGTGAGCCCAGTACCCACGGTACTAATTTTTATCTCATTTGGCCGTATTTTTACGTTTTTCCCCCATATATAAAAAAATTGGCTGATGACTTATCTTCACCTCCTGCCTTTCGCAGAGAGCTGGGTAAAATTATGTCCAATTACATGTTCTACTTCTTAATCCTCTTAATTTCAAAATGTTGGATGATTCAAAAAAATTACATGACATGACAAGTCATTATATTTTGTAAACTTTACAATCAGACTTGAGACTTGAGATTGTTAATTACATTTATTACATTATGTGAAATTACATATGTTTAGAATAGTTTGTAAACTGGATTATCACATTTGAATCTGTTTATTTATTATTCTGAATATTTATCACCCCTTCAAAAATCTAACCGTAGTTCATTTATGGAATTCTAGCAAATTCTTGGAATCTGACGTCACTTGAACAGAGAAATAGGAGAAACTTTTCTCAAGAAAATGACTGAGTTTCTTATTGCAATTTGATCCAATTTCGTGAATCTACCTACTGACTATGCGAATAGTCACACATTTGACTTCAAAAAATAAGTCATGTAAATATGAGTAAATATACCAAATGATTCGATTAAGGCATTTTAACTTTTTCTAAAAATTGATTTTCCGACTGACAGACAGAAAGTGAAAAATATTTTGATTTGTATTTTCTACCCATGAAAACCCAGGATACTCTAGCGATAATTTTTTGATCTATTGTAGTGTTATATAAACTGACTCATATTAGACTGACTGTCATCTGAATGGTTCATCCTTTTATTGTCAAATTTTAATCTCTTTAATTCTTTGTTGTTTTATGATAATCTCAATTGAGATGATCCTTTAAATAGTGGAATCCTTGACACATTTGAGTCAGTTAAAGGACTTTATTGAATTAATCAAAGGACATGATAGAGTCAATAAAGGGTGATCATTTTAATTTAAGTCCAATCTATTTTTCAAATTGATGGGGATGAGAAAAATATTAAATTGGGACTTAGCAGGTCGAGGTAATAATAGTTAAAGTCCCCATCTAAAGTTTAAACCACTTTGGCTTATTGTAGTCTTACCCAATGTTATCAAAGTGTGATATGTGAAACTTTTTTTTAAATTTCAAAAAGTGGTTTTTGATAGACTTTTTTTTCCCAAATTTGTGAATTTATTTAAAACTAACTTTTAGAGGTCACACATATCTTTTAATCAGCCACAATTCATACCAATGCATAGCATTTATCCTCCCATGTTTTTTGCCGAAAAAATTAAGAAAATCGGTTCATAAATAAGCGAGAAATGAACTTATCAGTGAATGAAAATGGTTCCGAGAAAAATGCATTTCAAAATTTTAGTTCTCATAGAAACCAATGGTACAATGATATCTGAAACATAATATATTCTTCCTTTTAACCCGGTTAGACAATCAACATTGGTTTATTATTGAAGTCTAGCATATTTAGAAAAGATTGACATCGAAGCAAATGTTCAAGCTTTGCATTGGTGTTAAAAAGATAATCTTTTTTGAAATGCATTAAGAAATATTTGATGATTAAAAATTTTTTTTGAAAATTGGCGGGAAATTTTTCTTTTTCAAAAATCTCTAAAATAACTTTTTAAGTCATGACAAATAGTAAATGAATGATAAAAAAATATTTTCAAACTTTAGACGGGGACTTTAACCAGATTATCCCCAAAACGATGGATGCTAGACGAATATCCTGTCTTACAAAAACAAAGCTTATTAATAATTATAATTAGTCACACCTGTTTCAACAGAAGATGAGATCAAGATATCTAATTGACATTTTGATTATTTTGGCAGTTAATATTAACATAAACTGCTTAACTCTAATATTCCCTGCGTGCAGAGTCTAGTTAAACTACACTCTGCCTAGTAGAGACCAAATTACAGTTTAGTAGCCCCGCCCCCACGACGGGTACCTGTGACAGTTTGGCTAATAAATCACTTCTGACTTATGTGCTGGCCTTTCTTCAACCATTCAGTGAGCTTAAAGAAACATACGCCAATTGCGTTCTAATTAAATATGCGCATGTCATTGGTCAATTCCGGGCTCAACGATGACGTCAGAAGGAATGACCATATATAGAACGTCGGTCAAATTTGGCCGACGAACACTGATTGGCGCGGTGAGTTCACAGGTTTATTTTAGTTTGAAAGAGTGAAGACGAAGCTCTCTTTTAAGAAGTGAAGTCAAACGAATGCAAAGGGTACTCTAATAAGGCACTTGCAGAAAATCTGCGAGAAATCTTATATCTGATTCAATGTTCACCAGAGACAGGATAATTCAACTGATTTTGCAAAGATTTAGTGTTCACTGTTCACAGTAGGTAGGTGTTAACTTTAGGATCGTACTTTAACATGGGAGTCAATGGGAGAAAAAGGTTTTGTCGAAAAAAACATTCACTGTTGATAGGTGTTCACTAGGTGAGATAGATAGGTGAGAGATGTGTTCACTAACTACATGTACATGTAACTCAGGTTTTCTGCATTGGCTAGCTTTATGATGTCATACAGTCATACATATAGGTTTTTTTTTTAAATGAGCAATAAGTTAATCTTGTTTTTGCATGGTCAGATTTCTACCTACAACCTATGACATCATCAATTTAGCCAATATATCATAGTTTTCTGATATATCAAAAGGCGGCAGGGTTTATCTGAACAATCTATTAATGTGTCATGTTTTGCAAAGTATGCAATTATGGTTATTTAGGTTCAATAAGTCTAATCTCTATTACAATCATCTAGGTTAGTCAATGTGTCATGTTTTGCCTTGCAGAAGACCACAAGCTGCAGGGTCTTTTTATTGCATCCCAGGAAATGTCTAGAGAACAAGCAACAAGAGAACAAGCAACTTTGACCTCAATATCCTTTATAATAATGTTCTAAAAACAAAACTGTAACTAAAGGTGAAAAATTCAATGAAGACATGAGTCAAAGGAAAGTAGTTGAAAATCAAAACCTGGGGATGTATAGTACTGTTCTTGTCCCACAGCCAGATGGAAAGATTTGGGTACCTATGCAATTTCCCGCTGTTGTCAGAGCATCAAACATTTCAGTATATCCCCCTCCAAAGCATTATGTCCAGTCAGCTGGAATCAATCTCCCATTGAGTCATCTCATTCAAGCAAGGCCATGTTATCCAAGTCAACAGCAACACCTATTAGGAAACAACACTACATCTCCAAGAAAAATATTACCAAAGGTCACTGTAAAGCAGGCACTTGTTATCAAACCAATAACTACTTCCAAACCTAGGATTAATCAAAATGAAGCAACTGCAACACATGCTCACACTGGTGACAGAGATATTGCTGTACTGGTAGATGTCGCACATCGCTATAGAGATGAGGTATCAACTGCTCGCACTGCAGCAAATAATGCAAGCTATAAAGATGAGGTATCAACTGCTCGCACTGCAGCAAATAATGCAAGCTATAAAGATGAGGTATCCACTGCTCGCACTGCAGCAAATAATACAAGCTATAAAGATGAGGTATCAACTGCATCCTCTGCAGCAAATAGTACAAGCAAAAAGACTGAAGAGCTAAAACACAAATTGGACAATAGATTTAATTTTAAGTCAGTCAAACACTATCAAGATATTTATAACTGTGATGAAGAACAAGTTAAAAACTGTATCACCACGTCAGCTGTAGAAGAAAAACGAACCCTAGTTAAACAAATTCCTTGTAATAAATTCACACTCAAACATTCAAAACTGACATCACAAAAAGTTGTAACTGATGCTGATATGACAAACAATATTATAGCAAAAGACACATATCTACCGAAGAAACACTTTAAATTCACAACATCAAAATTGAAGCCCAGGAATATTTCTATGGTTGATAAAAGCACCGATGGGTGTAGTGCATCAACAAATGATGTAAATGTAGTCCAAGAGATTAAAGATAAACTAACTGATGTTGAACTTATTAAGCCACAGAGCACAAATTCTCTAAATTCACCTAGAAGTGATGACAGACTGCATGGACACATCAGATGTGAGGAGCAGCTAAAATATGAAGAAGCAACTAGTAGTGATCCAAATGCAGAGGAGACTGGCAATGGTAAAGGCTGGGGAACTCCTGATACAAACAAGATGGCCCCTGCACTAAATGATGAACACTTCAAACTACACTCAACCAGTCAGTCCATCCATACAGATGGAACAGATTTGGAAACTAGTGAAATTAAAAAGAAGATCGTCAGTGGAGGTAGACATGATCCAAACAAGGAAGAAACTGAAGCACTCACTAGCTATTCCGATGGAACACTTAGCACAATGACAAGCATATGCTGCTGCAGTTCTCCTGAATCGATCACCTTAGATGACTGGATTCACCAACAAGATTCAGAGAGGATTATCAAGGAAAGAAATGTAGAGGAGAATCAGTTAGCTGAGACCTGTAAAAGTGATCTATCACTGAAAGGGAGCAAAGACCAACCCAAAGGACTTTATAAACATAGTGATGGAGAGGGCAACATATGTGTAGTCGGTGATCCTATATCACTACAGAGTAAATCAGATGACACTAAGATATACAAGCCTGAACAAATGGAACATGACAGCATAATAAGTGAATCTGGTTCAACTATTGACTATGTGTACCCTGATGTTGAAAATCACATATTGGAAAGTCTGCCAGAATATGTTGACATTTCTACATTGGACAAATCTACATATATTGATTGCCAAGAGGACATCACAAGCACTCTTGATGATATTCTTTCACCTGATAAAATCTCTGATGGATTTGATGCCCAAGTTTCCTCTGTCCAAAATGAAGAAAACCTTGTTCCTATGACTTTAACTGAAGATGGCAAAACAAAATCTAACATTAAAATTGAAACAGTTCATGCCATCAGTGGATCAGAGTTGGGTACATCCGTTGAAATACACAATAATTCAAAAATGAATGAAGACAATTCAGAACATGTTATTGTAAATGAAACCAAATGGAATGAAGAGTCTCCAACTGGGTCTAATTTGACTGGAACTTCCTTCAGTATTGACATGACCAATTTGGTTACAAGCTCCAATACCCAAGATGGAGAAAACATTCCAATAAATGAAAAATTGAATGTGATTAGACACACCCCACCAACATTGTATCCATATGATTACTACCAAGTTAAGATGAGTAATCCAACAGCATCAATATCCAATACAACTACATCTTCTTCACCATTGCCCATATTTTATGAAACAGAAAGTCAGTATTTGGAGAGAACTGTTTCCCAAAATGAGGAAGGATTATCTGGAGATAGTGTTCATCATGCACAAGTGGGTGTTATGGTGAGAGGGATGTTGTCCTATGCTGATATTACTATGCAAAATATTAATTCATGTATAGAAACCATTGATGGGAAGTTTGACCTTGAGGGAGGTAGTGACATGGTTGAGACTGTCCAACAGTTAAGTGAAACAATGGCATCATGTGCCAAGCTGTCTGGAGACTTAAAAGTCATGTTGAAGGACAAGACCAGAGGAAGGAAAATGGGAACAACAGCTCAGACCACACTCAAATCTGAGTATACAAAAGAAACCCCTAAAATGAAAAAACGTTTAAGTCATGCAGATGAGCCCTCCATGAAAAAGGATGGGGGTGAATTATACAATCTTAACATCAAAGAGACTGTCAGCTGTTGTGAGATAAAACAAGAATGTGGAGATTTGAGTGATTTGAAAAAAGGGCAAAGCCACATGACAAATAAGAAAAATGACATGAGAAATAACATAGATAAATATTTTCCTCGAACCAACACCACAGTTATGTCACCTTCAACTGGTATTCATGATAAATCATTGAACAGTTCCTGTGTAAGTGAAGGAAATGATGAAATGGATCTTCCAGATATTAATGTTAGACCAAAGATAAAAGTAAAACTCAAAGTTAAAAGGAAGGAAAACTCTATTTCCCTAAAAAGATCAAATTCTGAGATGAGACATAACAATTCAAAAGTAAAACCAAAAAAGAAAAAGGGAAAGGCAACGCAAAAGGGAAAAGTTCAGAAAACTAAAGTGGATACCCCAAGGCCAAAAATATCTAAAGATAAGTATCTTGTGGGAATTTATGAGAAAGATAATCAAATGATGAAGTCACATGTGTACACACAACCCAGGGTACAAAAGAGACATATCAATAATGATGAATTACATGTTGTTTCAAATCCTGGTTCTGATCAACACAATTTGCCAGCAAAGAGAGTGAGGTCCAATATTGTCCAACCCGAATGTGAACATTCTCTGCAACACAGGGGGAAATTAATGACCAACAAATTTAAATCAGGTCTATATGATGAAAATAACAACCTAATTGAGCTGGATATAGGAAATCTAGAACAGGGTAGGATTGAAACTATTGAAAATAATGATGATACTGGAAAAGCTGGTCAAACAGTGATAAATATCAAACAAGCAGGGACTGAATCTCTATCAGAACACCGCACAGAGTCAATAATTGGTGGAAGGTTACCTGAACTCTCGAGATCTTCCAGCTTTAGTACCCCACCCAAAACAGGTAAATATCATTTAATCCATGTACACTTGGATTATCTTCACGCATATCATAATTATGCATGTCAAAGTTTGTTTCTTGTTCTTAATCATTATCATTATGCCTCATCTAGAATTACAGTAATTTAGAGTAATTTCTTGGCCATTCAGTTAAAAGCTGCCAATCAACTAATTCTGATGTAAAAATGGAATGTTAAACCTGTATGCTATTTCTGTTGACAATTAACTGAGTGTATTTTGTAGCCATATCCCCCTTCCTCAAGTCCATCAATAGGGATAGCCCATTCCTATTTAAGCATTAGAGACACAGTCCCACTCATCCCGTGATATCTTGCTGTGTAGCCATATCCCACATTTCTAAAATCTACCACTAATTATAGCCCATTCCTGTTAAAGCATCTAAGACACAATCCAACTCATCGCTTGATATCTTGCTGTGTAGCCATATCCCACATTTCTAAAATCTACCACTAATGATAGCCCATTACTGTTAAAGCATCTGAGACGCAGTCAAACTCATCACGTGATATCCTGCTGTGTAGCCATATCCCAAATTTCTAAAATCCACCACTAATGATATCCCATTCCTGTTAAAGCATCTAAGACACAGTCCAACTCATCACGTGATATCTTGCTGTGTAGCAGTATTCTACCTTCCTAAAATCCACCACTAAAATGATAGCCCATTCTCGTTTAAGCATCTGAGATACAATCCAGCTCATCACGTGATATCTTGCTTACCAAAAGTGGCAGAAGACGGTCACCTTACATCAAGCTTTGTAGACTGAAGCCTACTAGCACTAGGAGGTCTATGTCTTATGGTGAGATCATCCCTCCTCCAGTTACAAGGAGCTTTGTATTTAAAGATGTAAGTTGTGAGAACTGTATTCCTCAGCCCTGAACTTTATATGAAATATATGTTTCTATGTTTTCAATCAGCTGAGTTATTTCGATACTTGCAGTATTTCCCCTATTTCAATATGTTTGTCAACCATTTCAACAGTTTTAATTCTTTCAACCATTTCATTTGTTTTGAAAAATAGAAATATTAGTCGATATCACTCTGATAAATACTGCTCACTTTCTTCATTATAATGTTATGTATTACATTTGTTTTCTATTTTAGCAATGTGAAGAGATACTTAATAAGGTCTTCAATATGCCAGAGAGTGAGATGTTCCACAATGAAATCACATCCAAAGAGGTAAAACATTTGATAACAGTTGTGCATTGATGTTCATATGATTTACACTACCCTTCATAAGTTTGACAAGACGTTCCCATTGGATAGCATATTAAAACTAAGCTGGATACCAATGCCAAAAGTCATCCGACTTTTGAAAAAAATTAGGATAGGCAGGGACTTTTAATTGCTAAAAGGTTGAGTATCAAAATGCATTTGTATCTACCTTAGTTCATGTTTGAATCTTTTTTTGTGGACAGGGGTTGGTGTTCAGCTGTTGGATCAACTTTTTTGTGGACAGGGGTTGGTGTTCAGCTGTTGGTGAGAATAATTGTTTCCAGATTCCCTGAGTGTAGCGAAAGATGGCAGGGGTTATTGAAGCTCTTCTAGGAGGGTCATGATAGCCTGCCTCGAAGTCAATTGTTTTATCACCTTGATCAGACAGGTTGGAGACATTCTCAATGCTTCATTTGTGTCCTATACTATTAATAAGCTTTACATGATATATGCTGTTAAATCCAGGTCCCAGACTACCCTAAGATTGTGAAGTTCCCCATGTATTTGAAGTTGGTTGCTCAAAAGTTGCGCCGTGGCTCCTATAGAGACCTTATGGATTATGTCAGTGATATGCGCAGAATATTCTGGAACTGTAGGCTTTATAACAAGGTAGGCAATTATTAAGGGAAACTTATGTAAAATGGCCCCCACCATGTTTATAAATTCTTATCAAACATTTGTTAAGTTACAATACCAACCACTCAATTTTTCATTTTTCCACAAAAAGTGGCTTCATCTTCATGAACTTTATATTTTTAAATACAATTAAGCCCATCTAATTCGATTCAGCAACTTAGGACTGGCCAAAGTGTTCAAATAAGCAGGTTAACATATTTCAAGGTTTCTTAAATTCTTAATGTATGAGGCAATGATACATTGGGACCATTTGCTGTATGGCTGCCAAAGTAGATGTGAATACTGAATACTGAAGTATGTAACCATTGACATTGAATGGCATCTGTACATGTAGGATTGCTATTGACCATAGAAATATCAGACTGTAGAGTTGCATTAGCATATGGGAATACTGAAGTATGTAACCATTGACATTGAATGGCATCTGTACATGTCGGATTGTTATTGACCATAGAAATATCAGACTGTAGAGTTGCCATAGCATAAGTGAATACTGAAGTATATAACCATTGACATTGAATGGCATCTGTACATGTCGGATTGCTATTGACCATAGAAATATCAGACTGTTGAGTTGCATTAGCATATGGGAATACTGAAGTATGTAACCATTGACATTGAATGGCATCTGTACATGTAGGATTGCTATTGACCATAGAAATATCAGACTGGAGAGTTGTGTTAGCATATATGAATACTGAAGTATGTAACCATTGACATTGAATGGCATCTGTACATGTCGGATTGCTATTGACCATAGAAATATCAGACTGTAGAGTTGCATTAGCATATGGGAATACTGAAGTATGTAACCATTGACATTGAATGGCATCTGTACATGTCGGATTGCTATTGACCAAAGAAATATCAGACTGTAGAGTTGCGTTAGCATATGTGAATACTGAAGTATGTAACCATTGACATTGAATGGCATCTGTACATGTCGGATTGCTATTGACCATAGAAATATTAGACTTTAGAGTTGCGTTAGCATATGTGAATATGAAGTATGTAACCATTGACATTGAATGGCATCTGTACATGTCGGATTGCTATTGACCATGGAAATATTAGACTTTAGAGTTGCGTTAGCATATGGGAATACTGAAGTATGTAACCATTGACATTGAATGACATCTGTACATGTCGGATTGCTATTGACCATAGAAATATCAGACTGTAGAGTTGTATTAGCATATGTGAATATGAAGTATGTAACCATTGACATTGAATGGCATCTGTACATGTCGGATTGCTATTGACCATAGAAATATTAGACTGTAGAGTTGCATTAGCATATGGGAATATGAAGTATGTAACCATTGACATTGAATGGCATCTGTACATGTAGGATTGCTATTGACCATAGAAATATCAGACTGTAGAGTTGTATTAGCATATGTGAATATGAAGTATGTAACCATTGACATTGAATGGCATCTGTACATGTCAGATTGCTATTGACCATAGAAATATCAGACTGTAGAGTTGCGTTAGCATATGTGAATATGAAGTATGTAACCATTGACATTGAATGGCATCTGTACATGTCAGATTGCTATTGACCATAGAAATATCAGACTGTAGAGTTGCGTTAGCATATGTGAATACTGAAGTATGTAACCATTGACATTGAATGGCATCTACATGTCGGATTGCTATTGACCATAGAAATATCAGACTGTAGAGTTGCATTAGCATATGTGAATACTGAAGTATGTAACCATTGACATTGAATGGCATCTGTACATGTAGGATTGCTATTGACCATAGGAATATCAGACTGTAGAGTTGCCATAGCATAAGTGAATACTGATGTATGTAACCATTGACATTGAATGGCATCTGTACATGTCAGATTGCTATTGACCATGGAAATGTCAGACTGTAGAGTTGCGTTAGCATATGTGAATATGAAGTATGTAACCATTGACATTGAATGACATCTACATGTCGGATTGCTATTGACCATAGAAATATCAGACTGTAGAGTTGCATTAGCATATGTGAATATGAAGTATGTAACCATTGACATTGAATGGCATCTGTTCATGTAGGATTGCTATTGACCATAGAAATATCAGACTGTAGAGTTGTGTTAGCATATATGAATACTGAAGTATGTAACCATTGACATTGAATGGCATCTGTACATGTAGGATTGCTATTGACCATAGAAATATCAGACTGTAGAGTTGCATTAGCATATGGGAATACTGAAGTATGTAACCATTGACATTGAATGGCATCTGTACATGTCAGATTGCTATTGACCATGGAAATATCAGACTGTAGAGTTGCATTAGCATATGTAAATACTGAAGTATGTAACCATTGACATTGAATGACATCTACATGTCGGATTGCTATTGACCATAGAAATATCAGACTGTAGAGTTGCGTTAGCATATGTGAATACTGAAGTATGTAACCATTGACATTGAATGGCATCTGTACATGTATGATTGCTATTGACCATAGGAATATCAGACTGTAGAGTTGCCATAGCATAAGTGAATACTGAAGTATGTAACCATTGACATTGAATGGCATCTGTACATGTCAGATTGCTATTGACCATGGAAATATCAGACTGTAGAGTTGCATTAGCATATGGGAATACTGAAGTATGTAACCATTGACATTGAATGGCATCTGTACATGTCGGATTGCTATTGACCATAGAAATATAAGACTGTAGAGTTGCGTTAGCATATGGGAATACTGAAGTATGTAACCATTGACATTGAATGGCATCTGTACACGTCAGATTGCTATTGACTATAGAAATATCAGACTGTAGAGTTGCATTAGCATATGGGAATACTGAAGTATGTAACCATTGACATTGAATGGCATCTGTACATGTCAGATTGCTATTGACCATAGAAATATCAGACTGTAGAGTTGCATTAGCATATGGGAATACTGAAGTATGTAACCATTGACATTGAATGGCATCTGTACATGTCGGATTGTTATTGACCATAGAAATATCAGACTGTAGAGTTGCGTTAGCATATGTGAATATGAAGTATGTAACCATTGACATTGAATGGCATCTACATGTCGGATTGCTATTGACCAAAGAAATATCAGACTTTAGAGTTGCGTTAGCATATGGGAATACTGAAGTATGTAACCATTGACATTGAATGACATCTGTACATGTCGGATTGCTATTGACCATAGAAATATCAGACTGTAGAGTTGCATTAGCATATGGGAATACTGAAGTATGTTACCATTGACATTGAATGGCATCTGTACATGTAGGATTGCTATTGACCATAGAAATATCAGACTGAAGAGTTGTGTTAGCATATATGAGTACTGAAGTATGTAACCATTGACATTGAATGACATCTGTACATGTCGGATTGCTATTGACCATAGAAATATCAGACTGTTGAGTTGCATTAGCATATGGGAATACTGAAGTATGTAACCATTGACATTGAATGGCATCTACATGTCAGATTGCTATTGACCATAGAAATGTCAGACTAGAGTTGCCTTAATATATGTGAATACTGAAGTATGTAACCATTGACATTGAATGGCATCTGTACATGTCAGATTGCTATTGACCATAGAAATATCAGACTGTAGAGTTGCATTAGCATATGGGAATACTGAAGTATGTAACCATTGACATTGAATGGCATCTGTACATGTCGGATTGCTATTGACCATAGAAATATCAGACTGTAGAGTTGCGTTAGCATATATGACTACTGAAGTATGTAACCATTGACATTGAATGGCATCTGTACATGTAGGATTGCTATTGACCATAGAAACATCAGACTGTAGAGTTGCGTTAGCATATGTGAATATGAAGTATGTAACCATTGACATTGAATGGCATCTGTACATGTCGGATTGCTATTGACCATAGAAATATCAGACTGTAGAGTTGCGTTAGCATATATGACTACTGAAGTATGTAACCATTGACATTGAATGGCATCTGTACATGTAGGATTGCTATTGACCATAGAAACATCAGACTGTAGAGTTGCGTTAGCATATGTGAATATGAAGTATGTAACCATTGACATTGAATGACATCTGTACATGTAGGATTGCTATTGACCATAGAAATATCAGACTTTAGAGTTGCGTTAGCATATGTGAATACTGAAGTATGTAACCATTGACATTAAATGGCATCTGTACATGTAGGATAGCTATTGACCATAGAAATATCAGACTGTAGAGTTGCATTAGCATATGTGAATACTGAAGTATGTAACCATTGACATTGAATGGCATCTGCACATGTAGGATTGCTATTGACCATGAAAATATCAGACTGGAGAGTTGCGCTAGCATATGTGAATACTGAAGTATGTAACCATTGACATTGAATGGCATCTGTACATGTAGGATTGCTATTGACCATAGAAATATCAGACTGTAGAGTTGCGTTAGCATATGTGAATACTGAAGTATGTAACCATTTACATTGAATGGCATCTGTACATGTCGGATTGGGTAACAGGACAACTCATCCCTAAGACAACTCATCCCAAGACAACTCATCCCCAAGACATCTCATCCCAAGACAACTCATCCCAAGACATCTCATCCCAAGACATCTCATCCCAAGACAACTCATCCCAAGACATCTCATCCCAAGACATCTCATCCCAAGACAACTCATCCCCTAGACAACTCTACCCAACTTGAAATAAAACATAATTTATACAATTAATTTTCACTTTTGAAAGAATGAAAAATATTTAGAGATTTTAGCAGTTAGCACACTACTCATGGAATATCTTTTTTTATAATATACATTTTCATGCTGTATTTTAAATTGACACATTTTATATTTTGTCATGCTGTATTTACTTAATATTTTTGTATTTTGTAGTTGGTTTAGCCTAGTTTTAGTTAATTTTTGTCGACTGATTGGGATAAAGTTAAACATGTTCAAATTAATATATACTTTGATAATTAAATCAAAGATCATCAAAGGTGTAGGATTAACTCAGTTAGAATGTTTTATCCAAGGTGCTATCAGAATAATTCTCTCAGATTAATTCAGTCTTTGTTTAAAAATATTTTGGCCTTAGCCAATTTCAAACTTTAAGATTTATGATGATTAAATTTGGAAATAATGTCTATGACTTTTATGTTCAATTCTATATTCTCAAATATATTTAGAAAAACTCAGAATTAATCAAAATAGCGGCAGTACTAACAAGTAAAACATAACTTTCAAGTACCATTCAAAACGCTAAAAATCAGTATTAAAAATTGAGTGTGTAATCAAAAATCACTTTGTAATCATAAAAATGAAAAAGGGATATATATAATATAGAGGACAAAATAATTTATCAATTATACAAGTGGGATGAGTTGTCTTGGGATGAGATGTCTTGGGATGAGTTGTCTTGGGATGAGATGTCTTGGGATGAGTTGTCTTGGGGATGACTTGTCTTGGGATGAGTTGTCTTAGGGATGACTTGTCTTGGGATGAGTTGTCTTGGGATGAGTTGTCTAGAAACCTCGGATTGCTATTGACCATAGAAATATCAGACTGGAGAGTTGCATTAGCATATGTGAATACTGAAGTATGTAACCATTTACATTAAATGGCATCTGTACATGTAGGATTGCTATTGACCATAGAAATATCAGACTTGAGAGTTGCGTTAGCATATGTGAATATGAAGTATGTAACCATTGACATTGAATGGCATCTGTACATGTCGGATTGCTATTGACCATAGAAATATCAGACTGTAGAGTTGCGTTAGCATATGTGAATATGAAGTATGTAACCATTGACATTGAATGGCATCTGTACATGTAGGATTGCTATTGACCATAGAAATATCAGACTGTAGAGTTGTGTTAGCATATGGGAATACTGAAGTATGTAACCATTGACATTGAATGGCATCTGTACATGTCGGATTGCTATTGACCATAGAAATATCAGACTGTAGAGTTGTGTTAGCATATGGGAATACTGAAGTATGTAACCATTGACATTGAATGGCATCTGTACATGTAGGATTGCTATTGACCATAGAAATATCAGACTGTAGAGTTGTGTTAGCATATGGGAATACTGAAGTATGTAACCATTGACATTGAATGGCATCTGTACATGTCGGATTGCTATTGACCATAGAAATATTAGACTGTAGAGTTGCGTTAGCATATGTAAATACTGAAGTATGTAACCATTGACATTGAATGGCATCTACATGTCGGATTGCTATTGACCATAGAAATATCAGACTGTAGAGTTGCGTTAGCATATGTGAATACTGAAGTATGTAACCATTGACATTGAATGGCATCTACATGTCAGATTGCTATTGACCATAGAAATATCAGACTTTAGAGTTGCGTTAGCATATGTGAATACTGAAGTATGTAACCATTGACATTGAATGGCATCTGTTCATGTCGGATTGCTATTGACCATAGAAATATCAGACTTTAGAGTTGCGTTAGCATATGGGAATACTGAAGTATGTAACCATTGACATTGAATGGCATCTGTACATGTCGGATTGCTATTGACCATAGAAATATCAGACTGGAGAGTTGCATTAGCATATGGGAATACTGAAGTATGTAACCATTGACATTGAATGGCATCTACATGTCAGATTGCTATTGACCATAGAAATGTCAGACTAGAGTTGCCTTAATATATGTGAATACTGAAGTATGTAACCATTGACATTGAATGGCATCTGTAAATGTCAGATTGCTATTGACCATAGAAATATCAGACTGTAGAGTTGCGTTAGCATATGGGAATACTGAAGTATGTAACCATTGACATTGAATGGCATCTGTACATGTCAGATTGCTATTGACCATAGAAATATCAGACTGTAGAGTTGCATTAGCATATGGGAATACTGAAGTATGTAACCATTGACATTGAATGGCATCTGTACATGTCGGATTGTTATTGACCATAGAAATATCAGACTGGAGAGTTGCATTAGCATATGGGAATACTGAAGTATGTAACCATTGACATTGAATGGCATCTGTACATGTAGGATAGATATTGACCATAGAAATATCAGACTGTAGAGTTGCGTTAGCATATGTGAATATGAAGTATGTAACCATTGACATTGAATGGCATCTACATGTCGGATTGCTATTGACCATAGAAATATCAGACTGTAGAATTGCATTAGCATATGTGAATACTGAAGTATGTAACCATTGACATTGAATGGCATCTGTACATGTCGGATTGTTATTGACCATAGAAATATCAGACTGGAGAGTTGCGTTAGCATATGTGAATACTGAAGTATGTAACCATTGACATTGAATGGGATCTGTACATGTAGGATTGCTATTGACCATAGAAATATCAGACTGTAGAGTTGTGTTAGCATATGGGAATACTGAAGTATGTAACCATTGACATTGAATGGCATCTGTACATGTAGGATTGCTATTGACCATAGAAATATCAGACTGGAGAGTTGCGTTAGCATATATGAATACTGAAGTATGTAACCATTGACATTGAATGGCATCTGTACATGTCGGATTGCTATTGACCATAGAAATATCAGACTGTAGAGTTGCATTAGCATATGTGAATACTGAAGTATGTAACCATTGACATTGAATGGCATCTGTACATGTAGGATTGCTATTGACCATAGAAATATCAGACTGTAGAGTTGTATTAGCATATGTGAATATGAAGTATGTAACCATTGACATTGAATGGCATCTGTACATGTCGGATTGCTATTGACCATAGAAATATTAGACTTTAGAGTTGCATTAGCATATATGAATACTGAAGTATGTAACCATTGACATTGAATGGCATCTGTACATGTAGGATTGCTATTGACCATAGAAATATCAGACTGTAGAGTTGTATTAGCATATGTGAATATGAAGTATGTAACCATTGACATTGAATGGCATCTGTACATGTAGAATTGCTATTGACCATAGAAATATCAGACTTTAGAGTTGCATTAGCATATATGAATACTGAAGTATGTAACCATTGACATTGAATGGCATCTGTACATGTCGGATTGCTATTGACCATAGAAATATCAGACTTTAGAGTTGCATTAGCATATATGAATACTGAAGTATGTAACCATTGACATTGAATGGCATCTGTACATGTCGGATTGCTATTGACCATAGAAATATCAGACTGGAGAGTTGTGTTAGCATATATGAATACTGAAGTATGTAACCATTGACATTGAATGGCATCTGTACATGTCGGATTGCTATTGACCATAGAAATATCAGACTGTAGAGTTGCGTTAGCATATGTGAATATGAAGTATGTAACCATTGACATTGAATGGCATCTGTGCATGTAGGATTGCTATTGACCATATAAATATCAGACTGTAGAGTTGCGTTAGCATATATGAATACTGAAGTATGTAACCATTGACATTGAATGGCATCTGTACATGTCGGATTGCTATTGACCATAGAAATATCAGACTGGAGAGTTGCGTTAGCATATGTGAATACTGAAGTATGTAACCATTGACATTGAATGGCATCTGTACATGTCGGATTGCTATTGACCATTAGAGAAAAGTCAGACTGTACATTTTCCTTTAACAAATGTGACGGAGACATAACTGATAGTTTTGATTCTGTATTTCAGGAAGGAACCCCCATTATTGAAAGCTGCAACAAGATTCAAAGTCAATTTGAGATACTTCTGCAAAATATGTTTCCTAAAACTGACTTTTCAAGTGAGTAAAAATAACCTACAAGTTGTCAATTAAGTCCCCCCCCCCTCCCCTATAGCTAAAACCTTAATATATGGTACCTAATGTGATTTACCTTTGGAAAGATTATCCAAACTCACCATTTTGGTTTTGGATTATTTGACACCATTTATAAAACTAATTCCTGTATTTAGAAAAAAAGAATACCAGAAATACATTGATAATGGGACTATTTCCTTTTGGAAAAAGCACATCTATGTCAGCTTAGAGAACTCATAACCTTTGCTGTCATTACAAGGTATGTCATGTAATACTGAACGTCTTATTTTATTTGATAATTTACTTTCAGGTATATCTGGGTCACCCCAACACAACAGCATTGTACAGGTGAAGCCTGAAAAGCAAGAACATTCACCCAACACAGACAATCAAGGTGAACAACAGGATATAATCAAGATACCAGGCATGATCAAGCAACTGTATTGAGAATTCAGCTGTTGACCCTAAATATAGGAGGGTTGACTAGAAAGTCATCAGACTTGTGAATTAATAAATAAGTCATCTGAAAACTATTTATTTATGATTCACCAGAAGACTATTATGTGATGACTGATGAATTATCAAAAATAGTATAATGACAGAGTACGTAGTCATCATTAAAGAATATGCTATTCAAATCCTTAATATACAGTCATTGTTCTTTATTGATAATGATATTCTAAATTACCATACAGAATCAAATTAAATACAGAATCATTCCTGGCAAGGACCATTCCATCACAAGCACTTCAAAGTGTTGTTTTAGTCACCAGCAAATAGGTACGCTTTATTAAATTATAATAATAAAAAACATGTGGCATGTTGGACTTTTCTCCTGCTCTACTGTATTTTGTTAATGCCTTGTTCAATAATGTTATTGAAGTGTTTAACATGAATATATTAAAGGATAAAAACTGATGATTTAAATATCATATTTTTATTATTATTTATTGGAAACATTAGTTCAGGAGTTGTTGACATTTTTATGAATAGATATATTGATCCATGACATAAAGGTACTGGAGTATCTGAGTCCCTAATGAAAAATTATTTTTGCTTTCAAAGTTTAATGCTTTAAAGAATATATCCATCATTTTTTCTCTTCATATATTTTTTGGTTATAATTCAACCCAAAAATATATATGTTACAGTAGAACCAGTGTAAGTGAACTCTGTTCCATGTGAGGTGTTCCACTTACAGAAGTGTTCCATTTGGCAGGTTCTATATTAATTATATCATTGACTAATATCAGGACTAGTCAACCTATTTTATTTCTGCCATTTCCAACACTACACTTTTAAGTCGTTCATAATCCTCTGGAGTATTGTAGACATGGGCGCTTATTCTTAACCACAGTTCATCCTCGATACACTCAACTGCTGCAAGTACCCCCTTTTCGTACAGTGTATTCATAAGCTTGATAGCATCATCCTGTAATAAAACAAGGGAGATGATGAAGTATGACATTCTGTTCCATCAGAGGTAAATATCACAATCCACCTCATAGTAATACAGCGTTGTTGGGGAACATCAAAACCTTGTTAATATTGATACGATGTTCAGGTAGCTAACTTTTGCCAAGGAGATTCAGTCTTTAACAAATTGTTTCTTGACAATGTTGGCCCAGAATCTCTTGAAAAGTATTCAAAACGGTGGAAACTGCATGATTTTAAAATAATTTTTGCCCCCCCCCCAACCCCGCGGCTACGAGACTACACTATAATGTTATTCATGGCAAAAACCATGAAGAATATGAAACCATGTCTACATTTCTCTGTTCTGATAGACTGATGAATAGTAAATACACAAACCTGCGTTCCCTGCCAACCGGGAAGTTCTGGTAGTTTCACGTGCCTCATAAATGGGCTTCTCATATCAACCGGGATCTGCAGCTGACTTGTGCCAAATGCGTTGACTAGATCTTCAGTGAATCGTTCCACAAGGCTACAATTATGTGCCAGGACCTCATCCTAATATTGTATAAAGCAATTGAATACAAAACAGTGATATTTTTAAAGAAAATTCCCAGAATTCATAAATGAATCTATCTCTAAGTAATATCAACATGTAGAGGTTCTTCAACGATTTCCTGGGTATTCACCCTCCTCATTCTACATGTAAGCCCAGGTGAATGACCATAAATGTGGTAAGGATAATACAGTTTTATTTTCTATAATGTAATTACCCATCCTCCAGCAATATCATGATAGAATTTGATTGCATCTGGCACGCATGCATAGGCCGTCAAGTCTCTGGTGCCTTGAAGGTCGAAGTCACCTGGGAATGGTTGCTTTTTGTCATAAATGTGTGATGTAACAGTTGGACGGACAAGATGATGGTGAGCTTGATGGACCCATATAACTGCACAACCACGTGGACAGAAGCTCCATTTGTGAAGATTTCCTGAAATTGTCTCATATGTAAAATTCTAATTTGTAAACCAATTGGAGTTAAACCCGGCAGCTCCACCATTAACGCGTCTTTAAACTGCTTTTATATGTACATGTACTTGTACAGATGCTTTGAAACTTTCATAGCGTTCAAAGAACACATTTTACCTACGAAAAAGTCGGCTCCACATTCTTCTAAAGCAATTCGTAGCTGACCAGGGACGTGTGCTCCGTCTAGACAGGCCAATATCCCCCTCTCCCTACAGGCCGCAGTCAGCTCTTTCCAAGGAAGCAACATGGATGGAAAGCTGGAGATTACATCTGAATAATATAAAAGGAATCAAGAATATTAGCAAAAGAATATTCCGAACGAATGTAAATTGTTGGAAATGATATATATTTTGTAATGTCAACAAAATGCATTATACGACAGCACGATGAAAAATAATTGTCGACATAGACATATTATGAGTGAGAATACATACTAGTATTATCCTGAACGAATTGATGTAGAACATGTATTACAAAGTTGAAAGTACATCAAACAAAATGTACATATCCTCTGAACGCAGGGGTCTAAATATTATCCCCTCTGTTTCTTTGAAGGAAGAGAGGGCATATAATGGATGATGTATGGAGTCCTGCGTTCGGAGGATGAAAGAACAACTCACCAATTACCGCAACTTTAATGTTTTTATGAGCATCTAAGAAATCTGTGTAATTCTTTATGAATGCCTCCCTACTGGAGATCGGGAATGTTATGTTGAAAGCAACCACCTCTGTACCTGATAATGATATATAAAACAACAAGTTTGAATTTCATAGCTAATTGTCTGAGCCAATCAGAATTCCTAATTGAATGGTATGTTAATTTGGTCTTTTGAAATGCTTTGGTAGATTCTTTATAATATATAACATATAATACAACTATGACTTTTAGCACATACCCTGACTTTTGGCTGATGCTGCTCTACAAGCATTTGCAACTGCGTTGTATGTAAAGTTTGTAGCTAATATTGCATCCCCTGGTGAGAGTGGGATAGACTTCAAAATGCTGTTCAAACCTGTAATGTATCAGATGTACCTTGTAAACTTAGATTATAGTTTATATAAAACAAACTCGGAACATCGAAATTCTAAATGAAACAATATCTTAAAACGAAGCAAAATCAAACTAGGCTATTGGAATTTAGTAAGAATCTGTCAAATGTAAGCCCTACCTCGAGTTGCATTTTCCACAAAGTTAATATTTGCCACATTTGCACCCAGGAAGTCAGCTGCGGCCTGTTTGGCTGCATTGACGTATTTATCAGAACTTCTTCTAAACCAATGGTCAACATTCTGCTCTACTTCTTCAAGATATCTGGATAAGAGAGAGTAGTCTATCAGATTCTGCTTCTTTAAAATGGATGATGATGGGACTGGATGTTCATACTTTTTATGGTATATTATGGTATATTTATGGAACCAGGTGCACAAATATAAATAACAACTTTCATACTAAGAATTATCAAATTAATGCAGGAGTTCCTCAGAGTTCAGTATTACGACCCCTCCTATTTTTGCTATACATTAACCGGATGATCTTGTCTCTAAGACATTTATATTTGCTGATGACACCCCACATCATAATCTTTCGATAGTAATCAAATATTTTTTGATATTTATGAACCGATTCAAAGTGATTTGGACCATTTAGACCAATGGGCCTCAACATGGAAATTGGTATTCAAAGCACAGAAACGTAATAATACTCATAAACACCTCGGACTTACTCTTGATCAGCACCTAAATTTCAAGGCTTTGTATAAAACACCTCCTACCTCATACCCACCTACCCACGTACGTTGGACATGATACAGTCTTTGAAGGGTTCATTTTTAAAGATCTTAGTTTATTAAATCTTAGTTTATGATGAATTATAGATGCATTGTAACGACCCTTGCTAGTAAGTTGCTGCGACAGCCCAGCTGGGTTCGATTCCCATCCGGGGCATTGAATTTAGCACACTTTCTTTCAATTTCTTTATCTGGTTTGTTGGACCGATGCTCGCGGTCGTTAGTTAATTATTCCTCCGGGACGCCCTCGGGTCATTACATATAACAATGCACCCATATATGCCTTTATTTATGAATCTGTCATCCGTCTAGTCATAAAATAAAACCGGAATTGTAGAAATAATTAGAGCAATTTCGAGATTTAAAAATCTTTAAAATTGAACCCTTCAATGACTGTATCATGTCCCACGTAGGTGGGTAGGTGGGTATGAGGTAGGAGGTTTTTTATACAAAGCCTAAATTTCAACGCTCACTTTGATCACTTATCTAATAAGGTAATAAGCCTGATGAGACCCATGAAGAAACTCTGCAAAATCTTGTCAAGCAAGCATCTTGGAACATTATATATGCGTATATACTCCCTCACTTGGCTAAAAAATTAACGACCATAGAATTGGTGAGCCAATATCAAAGATTTAAAAGATTAGTAGGAGGCGATAGAAGCCCTGCTTCTATCCTATCAGACGAAACTAAAAAATGCCAAGCCTTTTTTCCTTCTCTACATTCAACTATAAAATGACATGAAGAAACTCATTGTGTAAGATTTACACAGACCTTATTTAAAATTGCCGTCAATGTTATTCGACTGAGGCAATTGTTTGGTATGTTATTTTTGGAATAAAATTTATGATGATTAAAAAGAATATGGTCACATTATATAAAGGAACTAAGAGATGCACTAATTCCACTAATGCTCTAAGTCCTAAATCCCTGCTAACAGGGAAGATAAAAAGTACTAATAACGAGTAAGGTCATGTGACCAGTCATAAGTACCTTTTATCTTTTCTGCTAGCTGGCATTATAGGAGGTGAATGGCAAAATGCCTTTAAATGCCGATAAGAACCTGTAAGCATTATATATATGAAATTGAGACTTCTCATTTTGTGTACATATGGCGTATACATGTCAGTGGACACTGGACAGGATCTTCCCTCTGAAAAATATGTTGCACTATTTCCCTCAATGGCAGTCACCATTTGTATAATATCTCACTAAAATATCTTCACCTCGACGTCTTATCTCTTAATGAAATGTGAAGTCAACCCGACATATCTTATCAATGGCAATGTTAGACCGCACTCGACACTGGTCATGGTCCACATGGATCTCAGTATTAAATACCATACGCTGTTGGCCCTGTACAGAATGATCGATGTGGGGAAATATATTCGAGGGGATATGGAATTTTGAGTTCATTCATGATTTACATGTAGGCAAGTCTGATGAATTATTGATTTTACCTATTATTGTGAGATCAGCCTTGCAATAATATGATTGTATAAAATGCAAACCTCAATGTATACCTCTCGTCTGAGATTAATCTCCAAATACAGAATTGATGTGGTGTGTATCATGTTTATATTCACCTCTTCTGGACGTCCAACACTCTCCGAGGTACAGTTCCCCATGCACCGTGGTTTGTGAATCCATAATCTTCGGAGTGGTAAAACTCCTTTTGTCGTATAGCTTTACCCAGCTCACAGGCCATGATTTCAAGTTACTATGTCAGCTGTGTACACTTACTTATAAATACTCAAAGCTAGTTGTACACTTTAATTGTGTGTATGTATTCAATCTAAAACTCTCGTTATTAATGTGAGAGTATTAAACGTACCCCAGACAAGGTAAAGATTAAAAGGTGGATTGGATCGAGTGGATTGGATTCATGTAAAAGGTGGATTGGATCGGGAATCTTCAAAATATGGAGTTTCCTTAAAAAATCTATTGATCTCCCTCTAAGAAGATTGGTCCTCTCTTCACTTCCATAATGTCAAATAAAAGATGTAATATTATTTTGCTTGGGTGGTCTAGAATCTTATTCATTCCAAGTATAATTTTAAGGACATTTCATAAATCATAGACAGACTGGTCTGAAGATCCATAACATCCGTTTTTAGACCAATCAGAACATAAATATGTAGCAGACATTGTTTTAGAACATTCGCACATCAACTTGAATGACAGCTTTTATCTACAGATCTTTGTTTTTTATGTCTTACAAAAGTTGATTTACAAGGGAAAGCAGTTGAATACTTAGGAGTATTCATCAACTTATCAGAGTATGTGTTTGTCTTTGCTTTGTTCTAATTTCTCAAAGGGACCCAATTATTTATAGAGGGAAATAGCCAGAGACAAATTAACAGAAAAATCAAAAGAAAGAAATTCCATATTTTGAAGATTCCTGATCCAATCCACCTTTTACATGAATCCAATCTACTCGATCCAATCCACCTTTTAATCTCTACCCCAGACAACGTTTTATTCAATCCAGATGGTGAATTGCAATACGTCCAATGGCGGTTCATTACAATCCAATTGATACATGGTGTCATATACATTTATTTATTGTACCAATAATCCCTTTAAGGTACAGCTGGAAAGTAACATTTTGGTAAAAAAATGCTATACCAGCACATGTTATTTTCTGGTACAAAATAAAGTATGAAAGCATGTGTCAATTTCCTTGCTTTTTTCAGGAAAGTATCATTACAGTGTCTTCTTTAAGAATATCTAGTAGGAGTTCAATGGGAACTCCAGGAAATTCTGATATTTCACACTTTCTTTTTTCCAAATTTTCTTTCAAAGTTTCCGGACAACACAGGTGCTACCATTGACATGTTTCCAGGTTTACTAAAAGTAGACAGTGTAATGATACTTTCCTGAAAAAAGCAAGGAAATACACTCATGCCTTCATACTTAATTTTGTACCAGAAAATAACATGTGCAGGTATAGCAATTTTTTACCAAAATGTTACTTTCCAGTTGACCTTAAGGCCAAATGTACAAAAGAGGAGAAAGAAAAACTTACATAGACATAATAACGTACAAGTAGAAAAGTACATAAATACAGATGTATTAACTGGATCACGTCGTTACTGGGTGAGTCTGTCTAGTAGAAATCTACCTACTGAGAAAAGTACTCCTTAATTCATTTACCATGTTTGAAAAGATGCTGCAATATTGCTCCTCAGCATTAGGCTAAATAAGAAAGCTAGTAAATTCATATCTGATAGCGAGCCGATATTACTTAGGGCATTTGGTATAAAGCAATTCTAAATATTTATTTGTGATATGTTTGAGCTCACTACACTTGAGCAAAAAATGTTCTCCGGTCTCCTGTGCGTTTTTACATAGTTTACAGATTCTGAGTTCGGGTGGAAGATGTGGTCTTTTATATCTACCCACCTCGACTTCAAGCTTGTGACTGCTAATTCTAAGCGATGTTAAATTGCGGCGGGCATCTTTATTCTTAATATGGTCAAGATAATTTTCATAATGAAATGAAAATTTGATTTGTTTATAAAACCTTAATTTGCCATTGGTATCTTTTAGCATGTTTTCAAAGTATTGTTCGTATCTTTCTTTAAGCCTAGATTTTAATTTCTTAGTGTTGACATTATGATAATCATTAAAACCTATAAATTTGAGTACTTTTAGCAAGTCATTATACCAAGAAGGCTGATTACTATTGGCCAAAGATTTACTTAGTTTTAGTGTATCTCTTATAAACTTTGAAGAGTGATTTTCTAAGTGATTGACAAATTTAACTTGTTGGGGGATAATATCAACGAATAAAGGTAGTCTCGCCAATTCGCCTTTAATTCCCAAGTTACTAGCTTTCTTATGTACACCCAACACAAATCTTAGGAACGACATGTGGGTTGACTCAATTTTGATCTTGTCATACGAATTTTCTAGTGCCCATTTAGGATCAGTTTTGATAATTCTATTATTAAGATAGCCGGTTCCCCATATTTCTGCTCCATACATACATATTGGTTTGACAATTTGGTCAAATATTTTAATTGCCAATTTTGGCATTACATCAGCATCAGACAGTAAAGAGAACAATTTAAACTTTGGTTTATCCGCCTTTTGTTTTATAAACTGGGCCGCTGGTATTAAAGACCCGTAGGAACTGATTTCCATTCCAAGATGAATGTATCATTTTCTATTAGTATATTTCCAATATGAAAAGATTCATTACTTATTTTCCCTGTTTTAGTTATCTTCATGATTTTTGTTTTCTTAATGTTAATAGAGAGATACCACCGTTCGCAGTATTTCTTGAGTTTGTCTAACTTGACTTGCATGTCTTCTTTCGCGGAAGCAATTATAACTAGGTCATGTGATAAGCAGAATTACACATATATATCTTAGTGATAGCTAACGCAATCAAATTAATAAGACTGACGCATATATCTAAGAGGCAGCTAATGCAATGCAATTGATATGATGAAGACTCACGCACTTGTGGCAGCTAATGCAATCCAATTGCAAAGTTACAGACTTGCGCATATATCTTAGTTCTATAGTGACAACTAATGCAATCCAATTGCAAAGTTACAGACTTGCGCATATATCTTAGTTCTATAGTGACAACTAATGCAATCCAATTGCAAAGTTACAGACTTGCGCATATATCTTAGTTCTATAGTGACAACTAATGCAATCCAATTGCAAAGTTACAGACTTGCGCATATATCTTAGTTCTATAATGACAACTAATGCAATCCAATTGCAAAGTTACAGACTTGCGCAAATATCTTAGTTCTATAGTGACAACTAATGCAATCCAATTGCAAAGTTACAGACTTGCGCATATATCTTAGTTCTATAATGACAACTAATGCAATCCAATTGCAAAGTTACAGACTTGCACATATATCTTAGTTCTATAATGACAACTAATGCAATCCAATTGCAAAGTTACAGACTTGCGCATTTATCTTAGTTCTATAGTGACAACTAATGCAATCCAATTGCAAAGTTACAGACTTGCGCATATATCTTAGTTCTATAATGACAACTAATGCAATCCAATTGCAAAGTTACAGACTTGCGCATATATATTAGTTCTATAGTGACAACTAATGCAATCCAATTGCAAAGTTACAGACTTGCGCATATATCTTAGTTCTATAATGACAACTAATGCAATCCAATTGCAAAGTTACAGACTTGCGCATATATCTTAGTTCTATAGTGACAACTAATGCAATCCAATTGCAAAGTTGTAAAATTGCGCATATATCTTAGTTCTATAATGACAACTAATGCAATCCAATTGCAAAGTTACAGACTTGCGCATATATCTTAGTTCTATAGTGACAACTAATGCAATCCAATTGCAAAGTTACAGACTTGCGCATATATCTTAGTTCTATAATGACAACTAATGCAATCCAATTGCAAAGTTACAGACTTACGCATATATCTTAGTTCTATAGTGACAACTAATGCAATCCAATTGCAAAGTTACAGACTTACGCATATATCTTAGTTCTATAGTGACAACTAATGCAATCCAATTGCAAAGTTACAGACCTACGCATATATCTTAGTTCTATAGTGACAACTAATGCAATCCAATTGCAAAGTTGCAAACTTGCGCATATATCTTAGTTTTATAATGACAACTAATGCAATCCAATTGCAAAGTTACAGACGTACGCATATATCTTAGTTCTATAGTGACAACTAATGCAATCCAATTGCAAAGTTGCAAACTTGCGCATATATCTTAGTTTTATAATGACAACTAATGCAATCCAATTGCAAAGTTACAGACTTGCGCATATATCTTAGTTCTATAATGACAACTAATGCAATCCAATTGCAAAGTTGCAAACTTGCGCATATATCTTAGTTTTATAATGACAACTAATGCAATCCAATTGCAAAGTTACAGACTTGCGCATATATCTTAGTTCTATAGTGACAACTAATGCAATCCAATTGCAAAGTTACAGACTTGCGCATATATCTTAGTTCTATAGTGACAACTAATGCAATCCAATTGCAAAGATACAGACTTACGCATATATCTTAGTTCTATAGTGACAACTAATGCAATCCAATTGCAAAGTTGCAGACTTACGCATATATCTTAGTTCTATAGTGACAACTAATGCAATCCAATTGCAAAGTTGCAAACTTGCGCATATATCTTAGTTTTATAATGACAACTAATGCAATCCAATTGCAAAGTTACAGACTTGCGCATATATCTTAGTTCTATAGTGACAACTAATGCAATCCAATTGCAAAGTTACAGACTTGTGCATATATCTTAGTTCTATAATGACAACTAATGCAATCCAATTGCAAAGTTACAGACTTACGCATATATCTTAGTTTTATAGTGACACCCAATGGAATCCGATTGATTAGTTTTCAGACTAATGCAATCCACGCATATACGCATATATCTAAGAGGCAGCTAGAATGCAATTTAATTAATATGATACAGACATACGCACATGTGGCAGCTAATGCAATCCAATTGCAAAGTTACAGACTGCTTGCGCATATATATTAGTTCTATAATGACAACTAATGCAATCCAATTGCAAAGTTACAGACTTACGCATATATCTTAGTTCTATAGTGACAACTAATGCAATCCAATTGCAAAGTGACAGACTTACGCATATATCTTAGTTCTATAGTGACAACTAATGCAATCCAATTACAAAGTTACAGACTTACGCATATATCTTAGTTCTATAGTGACAACTAATGCAATCCAATTGCAAAGTTACAGACTTACGCATATATCTTAGTTCTATAGTGACAACTAATGCAATCCAATTGCAAAGTTGCAGACTTACGCATATATCTTAGTTCTATAGTGACAACTAATGCAATCCAATTGCAAAGTTGCAAACTTGCGCATATATCTTAGTTTTATAATGACAACTAATGCAATCCAATTGCAAAGTTACAGACTTGCGCATATATCTTAGTTCTATAGTGACAACTAATGCAATCCAATTGCAAAGTTACAGACTTGTGCATATATCTTAGTTCTATAATGACAACTAATGCAATCCAATTGCAAAGTTACAGACTTACGCATATATCTTAGTTTTATAGTGACACCCAATGGAATCCGATTGATTAGTTTTCAGACTAATGCAATCCACGCATATACGCATATATCTAAGAGGTAGCTAGAATGCAATTTAATTAATATGATACAGACATACGCACATGTGGCAGCTAATGCAATCCAATTGCAAAGTTACAGACTGCTTGCGCATATATATTAGTTCTATAATGACAACTAATGCAATCCAATTGCAAAGTTACAGACTTACGCATATATCTTAGTTCTATAGTGACAACTAATGCAATCCAATTGCAAAGTAAAAGACTTGCGCATATATCTTAGATCTATAGTGACAGCTAATGGAATCCGTGTGATAAGTTCACAGACTGGCGAATATACTTATATGATAATACAAGAATTTTTGTGGAAGCTAATGCAATCCAGTTGTTATGTTTCAGATTTACGCATATATCTTAGTGACAGTTAATTGTGCTTCCATTGATGATTTGCAGACGTTCGCATTCATTTTGGTTATAGCTACTGCAATTAATCCTATAAAAAAGTTGCTTACGCCTAAGTAACTTACGCCTTAAGTATATCTTAATAACAGCTAATGCAATCCAATTGATTATTTTCAGATTTGCGCATATATCGATTAATTAGTGGCAGCTGATGGGATTCAATTGATAAGTTGCAGATTTATGTCTATATTTTGGTGGCAGCTAATACAATCTTATTGAAAAGTCTAATTGCAGACTTACGCAGATATCTGAAAGGCAGCTAATGTCATCCAATTGATAAGTAACAGAACCGGTCCGTCTTCTCGCTGCAAGCAGATTGCCCCGAACCGGTCCGTCTTCTCGCTGCAAGCAGGATGAAATGTGAAACAATGCATTTTTTTTTAAACTGTATAATTATATGTAAATGTCTTGTAATTGATTTTGTGAGGAAACCAAGTGTTTGGTTTGAAACACAATAAAATCTTGAATCTTGAATCTTCTTTGTCACAAAGTTTGGCATTTTTTATAAAATCAAACGCGCGTCATTGAAACTCACAAGATGTAAATAGCATGTCATTTACATTATACCTTGATGGGGGAAAATAGATCTTATATGTTAGAAGTACTAGATAAAAGTTATCGTGAAAATGAGACAGTCGTTCTCGAGAGAAAAGAGCATAAATGCGCATTTAGAGAGTTTTGGTCCGTTTAAAAATCTGTAAAAAATTGGGGTACTTAAAAGCATCGAGAGGCATCATATATTTCAAATTAGACACGAGGAAGTCAATATTGAGCAAGTTATGGCTATTTTAAATTCAAATAAATCAATTTTCGTTAGCTGCGTATACCAAGGGTGAAACAGTAACAACAAACATTTCTCATTCGATCTGCATAGAAATTAAGTGGTCGAACACATTCATTGATGCGATAAACGATGTCATGTGATGATGCATGGAGTTGTTGAATTCGCACATTCTTCATCAGTTTTGCTTATTGTAAATGTATGAAATCAGCCATTTTCTCGTGGTTTTAATTGTTAACTTAATTTGGTCACTCTCATTGGATCATGCTAGAAATTTAACATTTCGCCCTGTCACTGCAACACCCCCTCCCAACTACAGTAGCTAAACAGTTGATCAAAATCCCATTACAAGGTTGCTTAAGTCAACAAATGGCTGTTTTAATAGTAACTTTATGTCCTATTCTCATGTGTGAAATCATTGTAAATCTTGTATTATACAGAAAACATTAAAGCCTCGTGATGCATTAGACAAGACATGAGACACTAATAAGCTTTCAGTTTGCCTACGTAAAGCAATGCGTAAAAAGTGACCGAACAGAGCCATAGCTAGATTCAAACATGTTATAACTAGGACAACACATCATGTCAAAAATCTGGCATGATCTACATAAAGGTTCTTATATGAGTACTTGTGCAAGATCGTTCATTCTTGATAAGCTTTGATAATTCCCCGGATAATTCCTCTTTATCGAGTCGCAGTAGTTTGGGTATGGGGTCAAGGGGCTTTAGCAAGACTATGGGCAAATCAATAAAAAGTACATCCACATGATGATTGATGAGTGGATGTGTATCATTATTAAGCTAAAATATACTTCTTAACACTGTGAGCAAATCATAATATTAAATATCAAGTTTTCAAAAAGTATTCATCATACTGTTGAATTTTATAATATTAAAGGTTATATATGTACGGTTTCAACTATAACTGTTATTTCCTTAAGGCAAATTAACAGTCGATAATTATAATTTGAAACTGAATTTTATAACGATGTTCCAATCCATAATTAAAGTTTTGTGATCACAGCCTGACAAAGAAACTACAATTAACAATGCTCGCGGCAAAGTTTACTAACCGGCAATCATGTCATAGTTAAAATTGCCGAAACTGAGGATGTTACAAAAACTAAACGTGATACTAAAATCATAAACTTTAACTATAGGAAAAACACGAAGGATTTTATTCTAAATGAGTCAGTGCATTCCGGAGTACGTTACTCAAGTTTTTGATTTTGAGGACTATTATACTTGTACGCTATACTCAAGTTTTTGATTTTGAGGACTATTATAGAGGTATCAAACGGGATTAATTACAACACATCGATCCCTAATTCTCTATATAACAGCCTGCAGATTCAGCATGTGTTCAAGTTATCACATCTCATTATATTTGATGTGGATATACCTAAATGTTGTTGTTGGTTCAAACTATACAGCGTATCCACAAATATCAGATCCTCATTCATCAACCGTAGACGTTAGTGACGTTCATTCGACTACTACAATAACACGGAATACAATGAATGCGAAAACAAACACATTGGAAGTAACAACTTCGGCTGAAACCAGCACAACTAATAGACCTACTGCATCATCATATTCATCATCACCACTTCGCCGCTCATCGAGCACAACGACCGACGGTACCTCCAAAACCCCTGTCATGCACTTTAAGTCTTCAACTACACCCGTCACTCCCTCGTCCACCACAACTCCAATGCCGTCATTGACAGTGTTTTGTCAGGGCAGTATGTCAGTGGACTACCTTGGAAAAAGCATGGGAGCGAATGGGCGACTGTACCAGCTTAACTGCAAAGGACTAAGACCGTTCGGTAAAATAGATGAGAATATCAAAACAAGGTAAATAAACAAGATATATTTCTGGTTTTCTATCATTCTGAGATTTTTCAGTATTTTTGAAAAATATAGGTCTATGGTTTTGAGCTTGGATATTCACATATACTTCAGGAACAGTCTAGGCTGGTGATTGGGGTTTGATGGTTTATCTTTTGCATTGGGGGGTTATTTTCCAAGCGAGATTCATCGGAGAGTGGGCTTAACCCTTATATCGAAATTTTGATTCGTGCTTCGGATGTTCGGCGGAACCTTATTAATTAACTAGGTTACATGTAAATATATTGCATTCTGCATAAAGTCCCTCGGCTTAATTGTTGCCCATTAATTAAATAGATATTTCTAATTTGAATTGGGGCAGGCCATTTCGAATTTTGTTGATATCAAACTTTTTATAATTTGTTTTAGTGATAATACCGGAATCTCCGTTGATCAATCTTCGACTATCCAAGTTGACTACAATGACGTCACTGATACTTCCGTCCATCTTAATTGGACGATGAATACTACCAAAGTCGAGGACATCAACGGTCTCAAGGTTATATATCGAGAGTTTGGATCCAAAGAACTCCTGGAAACCACTCATCTCCATTCAACGGCAAGGTCGCATACAATTTCTGGATTAAAAACAAGAGGGAAGTTCACATTTTGTGTTGTACCATTGGATACTGACTTCAGCGCCATCTACTGGAGACATCAATGCGTTGAGGTGACGATAGATGGCCATAGTGGTTTATTCTCTGTTGATCGTTTTAACGAGATCACACTCTACGCAATAGGTGGCGCTGCACTTTTGTTTGTCATTCTTATAATACTAGTCATAATTTGCCTATGTAAGAAATCGAGGTTCAGTCATCTTTCAGAGTCGAGATCACTATCAATGAGTGAGGTTTTCCCGAGCATATCCACCAAGAAGGCTTACAGTTATGACAGTCGATTTAACGATGTCGCCCACATTCTCAGCACCGCCCCACATAGAGATAGCGGCATGTATGATGCCACGAGCGTTCACACCGCGACGGGGTCGGGCTCCGGGAGAGTGCCGTCACCCCCACCGCCACCGCCACTCCCAGGCACTACCACCATTGAAATTCCAAATGGTACTTTGTGTGTACAAGATGGTCGAGGCACCGTCACAAGCAGGGTGATCAACGGTACCCTCAGATTAAAGGGCACTGATGTATTTAAGGAGGTGGAGAATCGCAATCAATCCCCAGTATATAGCCAATCCCTCAAACAACAGAACGTAGACAATCGGGATGAAAACTCCTATGCCAATGTAGGTGATATAAGTCATGGTATAACGCTGGAAAACCCCTACCCCGAGAGCCCGTATTACTCTACTACAATGGAGCTAGGATATAATGAAGATACAACTCAAGTCTAGTTGAATGAGTTAGGAACGTGTAAAATATTCTAGAATGGCTCTATTAGTTGAGGTTTAACAAAGGTATCACTTTAGGAACAGACACCATATTTGTGAATCACTGCATGGTTGTTGTGAAGTATTGTCAGGGGACTCAATATGTCTTATATGTTGTTCAAAGGTATGTCGTTAAAATGTAACAATGACATCTTCCTGAATATACCATCTTACTATATGGATAAGCATCCAACTGTAGTGCTGTAGTGCCTGTAGTGAATATCGTTGTCACTGCTACTAGATGTAAAGCTGCTGAATGCTGATTGTTTTAATTGAGATTTTGACAACAGGTTCACATTTTAGGTTTAAGCCTTAGTTTACGACAGTCTTAGGGGGTTGAATTTCTCTTAAAACTCAATGAGTGAAGACGAAGCTATCTTTTAAGAAGATAAGTCAATGAATGTGAGGGGTATTCCATTGGCGGTGTTCAATGGTAGAGGGGTTAGAGGCATATGACGCATTTCGGTTCAGGTTTTAAACTTGTATTGGTCTTCTCACGTTTGCTGTAAGTACCAATGGCGCAGGGTTGTTGGCATCATGAGAAAGCATGGCCTGCTTCTATTAGCTTCTTTCTAGTTGAAGGCAGAAAGGTGTGACGAGTATCAGAATTGGATGTTGGGATTCCGAACAGATTGAAATGAGACTATCTGGTGACATCAATAGGTTGCATTTAAACTCGTATCTCATTAAAAGATGTCTCTTACGTCTTCTGCAGTGATTACTGTGATGACAACCATCCATCTTATCACCTTGGCGGAAAATCAATGCAACTGATAACTGGAAGGTCAAGCTACACATTTTAAGAGAACTTAATAGTTTTAATGACTCCTGGGATTGATGTCCCTATCTCAATTTTGTCTTTCAGGGACCGAATTATAATTTTCTTTATACCTTATACCTAGCCAAGTATTACGAATGGGTGAACTAACGACGAGAGGACAATAATTCCACATCTTAAAAACGTGTTGCTAACCCTTTCTAATGATCATTGTCATTACCGTCCCTATCTATGCAGTCCGACGCAACGCTGTTGAAATCAGGACCAGCGTCCAATGAAATCAATTGATAGGCTAGATATTGATTCCATCACTTTCATGACTATGCGTTAAAAGTAACCTACTATTATTTAGTTCAAATGAGGACATTGCACAGCGAGCTTTTCCCTGAAATGCTTTTTACTTAGCTAAGTATTTATATATATAGCATGTCTGAAGAGTACAATTGAGGACAACTTTCTATAGAGTGCAACTGAGGACAACGTTGTTTGTTATAAAGTAGTGAACACTGTTCGCCATTTTTATTATTCAAATGTATCACTTAAAAGCAAATGCAAACATTGGCCACAACTAGGCTACACAGTTTCCCTTTCATTTTTCTTTCATTCACGTTTACAAATGTTCTTCAATGCCGATTTATCTTAAAGCAACCCTTGTTGTCATGCCTTTTTTCATAGCTAGTTTACAGAAATAAAAAAACACCGTGACCTTCAAATACAACATGTTGCACTCAATTCAATTTAGTCGACGACGATGCAATATCTGTTTGAAAGAAACTAAGCAGAGAATCAATAATCTGGCATGTTGTGCATTAGAGGTTTTTTACATCAGTGTCAATATTAACGGCATACGCATGCGCTGACTGGTTTAGAAGGCAAAGACTCGGTCGCGAGTAAATCTCAGGCACGACATGGAAATCTGAAATTATAGAGGGCGCATATTCATTTTACACACGGCGAAATGAAATGAGATTTCCCGGGAAATTTTGGACAATACTAGTATATTAATAGTCTATTGTACATTGTACAACCACATTTGACCAGCACGATCACAAATCACATAGGGACCAATTAATATGATCTAAAACAATCAACCACGTACTGACCGAGCTTAGTAAAGAAAAAAATATCAAGGATCAAGGTAAATCACTTATGATCAGGAACAATCACCTAAACCAGGGACAATCAACTAAGATTAGAACAATTGAGTACAATCACAGTATCAAAACAAAATATTAAGAATCACAACCAAACAATTGCCCAGAAGAGTCAAGAAAAATTTAAAGTAATAAAAACAATCACTTAAGATTAAGAACAATCACCTGTAAAATTGTTTAGGATCGACCCAATCCCTAAGGATCAAGACAGATACCAAAGATCAAGATCATGAGGATATTTCTAAGGATCAAAAACATTATCACTTAAGATCAATAACAATCACCTAGGATCAAGATTAATCACTTAGAATTAAGAACACCAAGGGCTCAGAAGAAATTTTTGGATCGGGAAAAATCACTTAGTGTGCTGTTAATGGGTTCAATAATGTAACTTAAAAGTCCAATATAAGATGAGATATAGGCCTAATGCATTTTTATTTGAGACATAAATACTATAACTTGACAGACATCTAGCAGCCCCTCGGCTATTGGCTAAAACACATCACGTGGTACAAAAGTAGTTCGAATTTGTGTAGTCCCGCCATATTTTGACAGACTTCCGGTACAAGTGCACTTGGATTTGCGCCCTCTATAATTTCAGATTTCCATGTCGTGCCTGAGATTTACTCGCGACCGCAAAGACTCTTCCACATCATCACTGTATGACAATATATAGTACATGGGTTGCAAATGTGATGTTCATCAAATATGAGACTAACATAAACATATGTTAACATATGTCAGTCTCAGATCAAATGTAAGCTTATAATACTGGTCATGGTTAGATTAATTGTAATTATATTGACATTGGTTACATACATTGGCATTTATATTGATATAATTGGTTATGTGAATCGACCCAAATAAGGACAATCCCGTTTTGAATTATAAGATATTTGTTATCGTGATAATCCAAAATAAGTTGACTTATCTATTCGAGCCAATAGTGTATTTGGTGGTTTTGAATGATTCACTTTCAACGAAAGTACCTGACTGAAGACCATATACCTTTTAAATACAAGGTGGGCCACAAAAACGCCACTTTTTTCAAGACACTACAACTTTTTTTTATTTTCCAACCTACATACCCCAAATTTTGCAGTTATATAGTGCCAAGGGTTCTTAGTAATAATATAATGTAACAGGTCCTTCAACTTGGATTATATTTGATCTAAAAGGGGAGGTCAATTGGTCCGCCACCCTAATTGATTTAGTTGAGCAATTTTCTAGATTGGGCGCCTTCATACAATCTCCTGGAGACCTTCCCATACCCTATCAGTGTTCGCACCAGGGCTATTAGCTTGGCGATCATCAGGCCGTATCAGTTAAAGAACATTTTGCAAATTGTTCTAATTTCTCATGGCACACCACATGTTTAAGTGAGACGCTGGCGACATATTTTATTCAAGTAAAAGTGTATAATTTATGATCCATGGCTAGATAACAACCTCAAGTTCCATTTAGTATGCAAATTATGATTTAATATCAAACATTAAAAAAGTTGTAGCATTTTGAAAAGAGTGGCGATTTTTGGCCCACCCTGTACATACAAAAATGTCACCCCCTAGACCTAGTTCATCCCTTGGACAACTCAACAAATGAAAAAAATTAATTTTCATCTCGAATATTTCCCAAATCTCAGAATCTAGTGGAACTAAACATGATCGTTGTAATAATTTGTAAATATATTTCTGTCTATGGCACAATCTCCAACATTTGGTTCACAAACATTGTAAAAACAAAGAGTAAACAAAGTATGTAAAATACAATACAACGTAAACTAGCTAAAACGGATATTGCTGCACATAATCTAAAGTTTACCTTCATTTACGAGTTGCCATCATTGCCTTCAAAAAATTACCAGATGTTAAATGATTATCGGTTAATAGCCGCAGAGGTAAAAGCGACATTGTGCAAAGTAATTTACAGAGTTGTGACCTCACTTGTCTGTTTCGTTTAGAGCATGTAAACAATTTAATTCGTTCAGAGCTAATCATCTATTTCAACATGCAAGAGAAACATGACCTGCTGAACGGGCAGTGAGTACGAATGAGTTGCAATTGCCGATTTATTAAAAAGCCAATACTGATTGATTTGGGGTATCTTTGTAGCAAATTGTTCGTCTCAGGATTGACCACTCTATGTGTCTTTATGTTAGCACCACCACTTCCACTAATTAATCTATTCTTATACCATTATACATGTCTAGATGTTACACTACATTCACTAAGATATGACTCATCAATTGAGGATGTCGTCGAGGGTATAGAAACCATATTTCTGTGGGGCACGTGTCGACGCGACATCTTTACCTACTAATTTGCCATCAACCAGATATTCTTTTCCCATTTTTTCCTGACACCATTTTAACACCATATCTGTAACAGGCACTGGGGTGCCAACAATCTCAGCTATCCCCTTGGTGACAGTGAGGCCATATGGGATGTCCTCACCTAGGTAACGATGACTGAAATCGGGCAGTACTTTACCATCTCCCGCTGGGACACAAGGATGCCTCAACCCATTGTAAGCCTTGTTGGTTTTAAGCGTTGACTGCAGAGTGGTCGGGTCGGTGATATCCGCAGCGTAGACAGTCGTATACCAGTCGTGAATATGAACTACCGTTGACATGTCGACATTTTGTCGTTTTGCAGTTACCATCTTTGCGATTGAGACTACTTCTCGTGTCATGGCGTCCAGTATGTCGGTACTATGTTCGTCCAGTCCTTGGTAGAAAAGCGGGGCCTCCGCTACCGGTGTCCCGTCCCACACTTCGGGCCCCCATCGCCCATAGAGAATGGCACTGTGGAGATACGAGTTGACGGACATAAGAGATACGGCAAGAAGGTGACCTTTGATGTTTAGGACAGGCTCGGGGCCAAGCAGAAACTGAAACGTGTCTTGAGGATCCGGTCCCGCAGGGGGATCTGCATATTTTATGGCTCCCGTCATCGATACTTTACAACCGAGTATCTCCACTTGTCGGCCGAACTCCTTTATTCTACACGCCCATGGTAATGTTTCTATGCAAACAACATTGCACTGTGATACGCCTTCTCCTAGTTTGCTCTTCACCTCAAACTCAAAGCCCGGTTGACCAGGGGTAGCAACGATGATTAGGCCTGGTTTGAGGTAGGATTTGATAGCGTCGAGATAGGCAGCGTGTGCGAATGCAGGAACAGCGATAATGATAATGTCGGCACCCGGAAGCGACTTGCTAGGGTCGTTCGTTATAACATTGGGCTTACTTTTAATGTCAGTAATTTTTCCTTCTCTGTGCACAGATACAGTTAAATCATCGTTACCCAAAGCTTTAGCCCAGCGTTCTGCTTCGTCGCTGAACAGATCAAAAACCCGAACGTCTGTATTTTGTCTCGAGGCTGCAAGACCTGCCATTGTGTGGGCCGCATTGCCCCCACCACAAACCACGACCTTTAAATCCCCCGGCATGACCTGGAACAAAAAGGGAATTATTAGTTCCTGTTCTCTTTGCAGTTTATTGGTTTTTGTCCCCACAATGTCAATATAAAACATACTTGAGATATACTCAAAGACAGAATCAGATATGAGTGATTGTACATAATTGCAACGATGTACATTTAAAATATTTCATCCAATGGACCCCAGCCTACCACAAATATGATATCTCAAAAAGATTTTAAATTTTAAACTCCTAAATTTAATCAATGGCACGTAAACATAGGTATTAACCTACGTAAGTGTATCAATTGATCAACGTATTGATTAATAATGGAGGATAGTCAGCTCGAGAGTGATACTAGATATATTATTATAAAATACAAATTTCATTCTATTTTCTGTGAATACCGGTAGCACTTTCACAGGATGATATTCCACTAGATTCAGGGTCTCGTGTTTAATCAGTTGTGAAAGATGCACAGGTATTCACATCAATAGAATGAAATATTTGTATGAATTTTGTATGTCTAATTCTTGAAATTGATTGCAATAAAGCAATTAAAATGAGACAAAAACCTACCATTTAATAATTTTTGTAAGGGTTACTTTTTATTTTAGATTCTACCTTTAAATGATATTACGCACTATATTCGTTTCATCTGTAAGTTTGTTGTGTACGTAGATATCATACAATTCATCCTTTCACTGAGGCCATAAAACAAGAATGTTCAGTAAACTGAATTAATTCCTAGGCTATTAACTACCAAGGGGCTAGCAAGAAATCTAGGTACAACATAGTTAGTTACGGAAAAAATAAATTCCCGAGCCGTGACATTTTTAGGTGGAATGAGCTACTGATAATGAAGATGAATTCAGAACATTATGTCATTTTATCTTCTATACGGAATTACTAATCAGACATTAAAAATAGTTATCATTATATTTTTATTCCCATTCAGACTTGATATATCTCAATGTATCACGACATATTTTATATGGTTTTGATTTAAACATGGGCTTTCAACTAGAATTGAAAGCCCATGATTTAAATGAATAAAATAAATAAGGCCTTGCAGATGATTATTTGCTTTAATTTGATATAGTCCCTTCAATATAAAATCCAGAAAAACTGGTTATACGAAAAATGAAGTTTTAGTCTACCGATCAAAGGTCGAAAAGTACGACTTAGCTCTCCCCGCCATATATGATAATAAGTAGGGCACGAATCCCGGGCACGAATCATACAACCACGGCCTCTCGTACCGTTCCTTATTTTAACACCGCTCATGAAATAAATCATCAATGACCCAGTTTGAAGATGTTTTCAGCAGCTGCTCCAACTGTTCTATGCACCTGAGAACGATTTAAACTTGCTTAAAGCTCAAACGAACAACATTATGAAACAGGAACGGATTCATGGAATCTCAACAAGTAAAATTAATAGACAATGAACCATACAGCTTATGGTTCACTTTATATGCATGGTTATTTCATCCAGTGTTTTATGTGTCTCTGGTTCAAGCAAATACGAGAACTTCCCCCGTCTGTTCTAAATCTTGGAAACAAAGAAAGTTTTATTGATAATACAGAATGAAATGAAATCATTGTGTTATATTTGTAAACATGAAAAATAGCTAGCAGGGCAGACACAAAATGCAATGACAAACATTGATACGCCCATATGACATGCCATTGACACGCCCATATACAAGGTGGTCAAAAAACAGCAACCCTAATTTTTCCTCATATCTATGTCATTTTTAGAAATTTTGCCCTGATATTTGGCACACATGTACATCATTCAATTGCATACTAGACTGTATTATTTCATGAACATTGAGCTGATAGTCGCAATGTTACAGCACTTTAAGCAAGGTGCCCCAGTTTTCCAATATCGTGCTGTAGGCAAACGACATTTTCCAAACCTGTCAATGACATAACTGCATTCCTCAGCAAGTATGGCCTGAACGACACATGTGATCTTTATTTTGAGGTCAAATGTCTCTCTAGTGTTATTACCCTACACTCTATCTTTGGGATATCCCCACTGGTAAAGATTAAATGGGGCCATATCTGGGCTATGGGGTGCCCATTCATTGTCTGTTGTACTGCTGATAATGTGGTCATTGAAGTGGTCCCAAAGCCATTATTGTGCATCATTGGGTTATGGGGTATGGATCTGTCTTGTTGGAACCACTGTTGCAGCCTATCAACCCCTTGGGTTCACCGAAAGTCCCCAAAACTCCATGGGAATCACAAAATAGAGTTTGATGTTGACAGCTATTGCATATCCGTTGATATCATCAAAGGTAAAGGACCCTATCTTCTGTAGTGAGAACACACTAAACTGTGCATCTGTCTGTGTGAAGGTGCCTCTCCACTACTTCATCAAGTGCTTGGCTCACGAAGAATACATAATTGTTAGAGTTTACCAGTGCATCAAGTTGGAAATGGAGTTCATTTGAATAACAGGCCAGCTCAGACAGCCCGAAAGTGGCCATCTGGGGCATGTTGCTTAAAATGCAGTAATATTGTGACTGTCAGTCCGATGGTCATGGAATATAGTAGGTTGGTAGGAAATTGAATGATGTACAAATGTGTAAAATATCAGGGAGTTATTTTTTAGAATGACAAAGATATTAGGAAAAACTAGGGTTGCCGTTTTTTGACCACCCTGTACATAAACACACGCTAATGTATATTAAATGTCACTGTCTCTGGTCACACGTTGACATTATCGTTGTATGTGCTACAAGTATTTCATATCAATTGATGTTTACCAGTTTACTGTTTATTGTTTGCTTCAACCGCCAGCTTTTTACCCTGCGTGCAGAATCTAGTTAAACTACAGAAGACGAAGAAGACGAATCTCTCTTTTAAGAAGTGAAGTCAAACGAATGCAAAGGGTACCAGCTTTTAAAGCTGACAACGACACTGAAAAAGTATTTAACATACTTGTATGAACTACTGAATAATCGATAGAAGTTCTTTCTGATATACTCCTCTTCCTAAAAAACAACTAGCATATTTCAAAACACGATGATATTCATTCAGATAACGTTTTCTTCATTACTGAGGTTTCCCATGTACCGCATATAAAAAAATCAGAAAAACTACATACCCGACGATCGAGCCTCGTTGTAACAAATTATGTCTATGACTTATGGGTCATGATGCTCGTTGTGAGTCGGCATTCCATAATATATATATTGAGATTTTAATATCAGCGAAAATGCCAATATTTCAGAAAACTGGAGTGCTTTAAATAGAGCAGGACACATGAGTTCAAGGGGAAACGGGAAATCAAGCCGAAATACGGAAAAAGCAAAATTAACACGGTATTAATAACACTTTTTAATTTAATCTTTTCAGCATTCACCACACGTCTTTGTCGATTTGTCAATATGTCATTTATGGAGGATATCAAATAGAATTGCAAACTCATCAAAAACTTAATAATCATTTGCGAGATAAATAACACTCGATGGCATTCGATTATGAGCGCAGGCAGTAAATTATTCTCATGGTTTACTTTGTCTAACTATCTTCCCTGTACATAATAGACGCACATGATTAGAATATAGATTTCCTAAATGTATCAAATCCCAAAGGATCTAATCTGACCCAATCTAAAAGAACTAAACTTGACTTTTTAAGAGGAAAATTAGATAGGGAAAGAATTCAACCTCTCATATCCTCTACACACTACATGCACTGGTGGATCTGGGGGGAGGGGCTGGGGGCCCCCTCCTTTGGTGGTCCCAGAAAAAAATGGGTCCAAAAAAATTTTGACCAAAAAAGGCCTTAAGGCCCCTAAAAGTGGGACTTTTTGGTCATTACTGGGTCTTTTAAGGCCTTATTTTTTAATTTCAGGCCAAATTTTCAAGAAAATGGGCCTCAAAATTTCAAAGTTTGAGCCAACTTTTGGGTTTTAGGGGCCCAAACTTTTTTTCTCTGACCTGAAATTTGCCCCCCCCCCTTGTTGGTTCCCAGATCCGCCCCTGACATGCTTTTATTTCCCTATTACCATTTCGCAGTTTCATTAAGTACATGAACACTAAGAACGAGTCTGTATTACTGGGATTATCCTGTATATGTTTTTCCAACAGGTTCTGGTGTAAACGTATGTTTTTAGGAGAAGATTTGTGAAAAATATGGTATATGGTATAAAAAGTTTGAATGGGAATCGTGGTCTGAAATATCATACATGGAAAACATCGTATTATGATATGGTATGAGAAGACTTGGGAATGTCGAATAGAAGAACTCTGATGCACCTCCTCCCCTCAAAGTTATGATATTCCGGTTGCAATCGACCGGATTCCCGGATTTCTATCATGAAAAAAGTTTTGTCAAATCCGAAGATGTTCGGTTTCACTGAAAATATGACATCAGCTTAATAATGATAAGGTTCCTACAATAATAAGCCATTGTAAATATTAAATTACAGCGTTCACACCTGTTCTTAACCAAAGAAGTAACAATAGAAATATGAAGATCCAAGCGAAACATTTAGTGCTAGATCTGTCGCAGGAGAGCAGGTACAATTTGCATAAGGAACGTTCTTGATTGTGATTTTTAATGCATTTTTTCTTTTCAAGTTCCATGCCTTATCTTGAAATTATTGTTGAGTTACTGATTGGATTAACATGCTTATACAAAACAATCTGGCCTGAATCTATTTTTCAAACCATAATATTTAATGTAATATCTTAACAAATGTGAAGTATTTTTCATATGGGAAGTCGACCTTTTATTCAAGTGCTATTTACTCGCTATGAAGATAAGGTCTATTCTGTTAACTTAGCAAAATCAATCAATAGCAATATCCTGTTTCAAGGTAATTAACTGCAGAAGAATATGGTAAATCATAAAAACTACGACTTTATATAAGTATCAGAAAATAATGGAGAATGTACAATGTTAGAAGCAACTTTAAAGAAACAGACATTTGACGAATTTGGTTGGAATGTTATATGTTGGTTATAGTTCTACCGCAATGTTTTCAAAATGTGCAGTATATGTGAAACTTTTCAGTGAAAAAATTTGAAAAAATACTTAGCCACCTGAGTCACATCACAGCGTATCATTATCATTTCATAAAAATTCTTTTAAAATTAATAAATGCATAAAATTCAAATATTGGAATATTTTGAGATGAATAACTTTAAAAATGTTAAACTTTTCAAAACCTGTCTTGAATGTTTTTCCAAGTCAAGTTAATGTACATTATTGTAGTTGTGTAAAAGTGTCTAAACTCAGAATTGAAAAAGGAGATGCTCATGAATGTTTAATAAAATTGTCGCTTACAAACTTTAGAAATCTAAGCATCGTGCATTAAATGTTCAAATATTTATAGCTATAGCGAGGACAGCAGGCAAGCAAAGTTACACCAAATGTCCCATATAACACAATTCATTCCAACCATGAAGTAGACTTATGTGAGCAACTTGGCTACTGTTGATGCATATTTAAGACAGCATGCAAACTGTGATAGGCGGTCAGGATACAAAGGTTATTCATTGGGAAGGACCGAATATGATTTTTGTATTATATTGACCTAAGCATAAGATCCATATTTAATTCCGACCAGTGCATTTAGTGTTTTTAACCATGATCTATGCTGGGGTTTAAAATGAAAATTTTGGAGGAAATGAAAAAGTGAACTTTTTCAAACAATGTTACTTGACAAAATGAGACTTTTTAAAAAAATGAAAGAAAAATGACAACTTTAAGGAAGGTATTTCAAAAAGTAAAACAATTGGAAAATAAATTACAGGGACGGCCAGGTTAATACGCTTCAAATACGGAGATTACCACGTGATTTACGATTTTCGAGGAGGGATTTTTCAACATCAATAATTATATTCCCTGGTGTTATTCATCGGGAAGTAAACGTATCATTATCTTTGTAGGATAATAGTGTATCGACCTATTATTGCAATTACCTACCATCAGTAATTTAACGCATATCAAGGATATTTGGCCCTCGAACGACTTGAAATCAATTCTAAATGGTTAAATATTAATAACTTGAATCGCAGGTGTTTTTATATCCTGGTGTGTCGGATGTATATCGATGATGAAAAACGGTCACATTCGTCTCAAAACCCGTTTTCGCCTCTTATCAGTTCCATTCATATTTCATCTAAGATTGACCTTGAATGATCCGGACCCTCCCCCTCGGGCTTAACTATTAAACAGGAAGATATTACTAACATCCACAGCATCAGCCTTGGAATTAACTATTATGCATACATGTAGGGGTACCAAACGTAGTAAAATATCACTGTCATTTATGCATTATACGTACATGTAAGCCTCAGAATGTGCCTTCCATCCCCATCCCGACTTAACCTTTTCTACGATACCAGTTGTCAGACTAAATGGCCCTACCATTGTGACAAATTATATTATTTATGCCATTCAATATTCATACAGCTCGCTTTTATGCAAACATAAAAAACTTATTTTGTGCCCATGCGATAGATACACTCACAAAACACGTTTTCAATAGGGGGTAAACGTAATCAACATTTTGTCAGCAACTAAAAATGTTTTAAGGGAGATGACCTTTATTTACGAGAATCAATAAAAGTAATAATAGATTTAAAAAAGTATCGAATCAGCGACGATTGTATGAAATAAACCACGTATGAACATCGTGGTCTCTTTAATGTACATTGTACCTGTGCTTTTTCTAATTTATAGCTTTTTAATTGATGTTTTGACCCTAGAGTGCATACACTTGTTTACATTTTATAGGTCTGCCGTGTTCCTCTTTTCTGCTTTGGCTTCAAAGTTCAGCTTGCCAATTTGCCATACAACTCCGATATTTGAACCCAGTTCTCACTCCGCAAGTAATAATTCTAAATTTTGCAAATGATTTGTTTACTTGCATTTGAGTATATATGGTATCGATTTATAGAATAATTCAGTCAAAGCGAGTGTAAACTTACCATTTTCAAAACTGGAACAAAATGTTTATATCGGCGACCCTAATTCGATTTATTTTGAATGTTGACCTTAATTGTTAATTGTAAATATTGATTGTAATATATCAATAAAGTCCATTGTCCGACAGATGTGTGAATATATATAATAGATAAGTTGGTTGAAATAAACATTGACATTTAATCAACATACCACCACCTGTTATAAGCTGGACACACTGTTACAATTACTTCATATGTCCTCAGCAGGTGAAACTTACTATAGCAGCTACTTGGAGTGGGGAATAAATCATTTTCATTTCATGATGAATGATATGAAAACCATATTTATTTTAATGATTTATGATAGGAAATCTAAAATACTTGTTTCTCATCTCATCTCATCTTAAGTTATTATGAGGACACATTTCCAATCCACCTCGACCTAATCTGCCGAAAGTATGTGAAAACGATGATGACATGATAGATCAAACTAAAGAGTTAAAGCAAATATTTGCACCACTTTAAACGTGAAATATCTGATAAAACTACCTGTAACCACACTTATAGGCCTATATGTTAATGAGATTAACCCACATTTTCCAAGACTATACTTGTGAATGTTTAACTAATTCTAACACCAATAATTTGAGCGAGCAAGATGCGTTAGAGATAATGCTTACTGTATGTATTTGATCCTCGTGTCAAACCAAGCTTCCCTTCGTGTATGTTTTAAGCGATCTGATTTCCTAGTCGGCGGTTAAAATGACTTTTTGCAATACTGCATAACTCAAAAGCATAAGTACTTTGAACTTACCTACCCGCTAAATATTTCTTATTAGTTACCTCATATTATAAAATGAACACGTGTGGATTACAGTAACTTATTAATAATATAATATTATTAATATGTTACTCTTATCCACATGTGTACATCCAGAAATCGACACATAATATGATATTATATAACCATTATCATTCATTGTACAATATTGCTAATATTTACTTCAATAGTAAGATAAATGATTTACCTTCTGAAAGCACAGCAATCGCCCAAAAAGCTTCTGTTAAGTCCTAGATGATATTAGAGGTCGAGAGCGGTGAAGGACGAATCAAGGTGACCCGACTTCCCCATACAACATCAAATGCAGCGCAGTAGTATAGAACACTAAGGAACTGCGAAATTGTGGTTTTAGTATGTAGATTGCTGTTTTCCAATAAACGAAAGCTGATCTCCACTTTTTCTGTAGAACACATTCTACTGGTTATATTACGAGAGCATCATCGCTGAACCTCAAAATATAACTCAAGCGGATTGGTTGAATTTCTGATATCGTACGTTATTGTAGTGAAGAAATGTTTGGGCGTCAGGTTTATGTAAGACCAATTAAAGCAAAAATCAACGATTGATGCAAGGTCCATCTCACTCCCATCTCCCTCCTTCCCGGGTCGATAATATAATCCGTCAAAGTCATATATTATAAGTATATATTTACGATTACATTAGGTTATTTCAATATCCGAGACCAAAGCAAAAGTAAATTAAACTAATGTAGAATCCATCTCCATCCCAAGTCGTTCATGTCGTTATGATATACTATTCTAGCAATCCGTCCAATAATTCATGTATTAGTATATTGGATTTACACGATTACATAATCACATTATTTCATTAGAAATGTATCTCCTTACATTAATAGGGGGCAATAATCACATTACACTCATTAGGAGAAGGGTACATGTATTTGTATCGAGTTGCATCGAAGAAAACTTAGCAAAATGAGAATTAAACTTTGAGAGGTCTTCTAGTCGAGCATTGAAAAATGGGAGGGGTCGAGAAACGCTCACTCTACGAAGAAGATTCAATGTATTATCAAGTCTGTCTCATTGAAGAAATATTTACTACTAGAGACATCTATCAATAAATCAGTTACTTTATAAATTCTTAACGCTTTAAATGTACGATTAATATATTCGATAGCCATTGCAAGCGCCAATTGCATTAATTGCACTACTAATCACTGAAGTCAGCGTGAAATTACCAGAATTTCTGTGATAGTGGAGAATGTAAAAAATGCTATATCTACCTGTCGCTTGCCCCATGGGAGAATTGGTAGTTATTTCGAAAATTCTTTTTGCATGAAGTTTAGAATATCCCGATGCTCACATTGGTAACGAATACGTACATAATGCAAATATTTCAAAATTGCCAAAACAGACAACATACTGTAGTACAAACAACTCAAACGCATGTACAGGGTGGGCCAAAAACGTATATTCCTTCAATTTCTTTCAGAACGCTATTCTCGTCTCTTTGTATTTGCTGTATTATTTGTAAAGTCAAATTGCAAATAAGTAAAATTAAAATAGCTCGATCTCCCGATAGGGATTATTGCAATATGGAACATTCGTATACTTCAAACGAAACTCCTTAAGTGTATCAGAAACATATGTCTCTGCATGCATGTATGAAGGGCTGTATGAAGAACATAACACAGTTGTTTTCTTCTGTTGAAGGGGACAACTATGCATCTTACACGTCAAGTAACATTCACCGAACTAAAGGCGAAGGAAATATTTGATTTAAAAAGTTGCACGGGGCTTCACAGTCAAGTCGAGTAACTAAGTCAACATTCAAAAATAAAAATCTCAAAAATCGTACATCTTTGATTTCAAAAATAATTTGTGAGGTGGTTATTATGATGATAATACACATTTTTACGTTTTAATTTTGAGTACATCTCGAATTCATTCTCAACAAAGCGTTCTCAAAATAAGTATTCCAAAATATTTGACTTCGGGATGATGAAAGTACGTTAAGATATACCGCTCCTTAACAAACTTCTTTGGGAACAAGATATTAATCAAATGCATATTCTTCTTATTTACTCCCTGACACATGCCAACGAATGTAACATAAGTAAATGTCTCCGTTTTAAATAATTTTGTGAACGTTGTTCTCTACAGGTGCCATTTTTATAATTGAAAAACAAAATTGAACATTTTGCATTTCTAAATTGATAAGTTTCTAGGAATACAACTTAACCGTTGGCGATTTAAGTTGTTAATAATATTTCCCTTAGTGATCCCATGCTAAATAGACAGTAACTAGGTCATTGTTTTGTGCTCAACCTTGTTTTCATGACTTTTAAACATGCGTCGACAATTATGTAGGGAATTTCAATTCCAAATGTAAGCGTGTCAAGCGTTATGAGAATTGATGATTTGAGTAAACTGTAAACTGTGGATATTTATATAAAATATAAGTCAGCATGTATTCGACCGTTAATGTACACACATGATGTATGCATCAACGTGTGACTTAAATATCAATTCGTGACTATCATATTTGGCTTTCAAAAATTAAGTTGGAAGTGACAGTGGTTGGAGATTAACGAAAACGTCAATCACATCCAAATATCCAAACGACGTCAAGTATTAACAATGCACTTTTCGTGCATCACGAACAAGGTAAGGTTCTGTGATCCAGCAATGTGCATTCCGAAAGAAAAAATTCACAAATATCAACAAATTTCATTGAGTTGGATATTACATTCGAAATCACAACTTTCGAAATATTTGTTTCAACCAAGAATTGTAAGAACTTAAAACATGTTGTTAGTTTTTCAAACCGCATATCCTCATTAACGTACTTTGACAAGGATGAATCCATTTGAAAACATGGATTTTCTTGATTATTCTTCAAAACTACCCTTGAAATATAAGTATGTGGGATATTACAGTATAAATTGACACGCAATTGTTTGCTCCATATTATGAAAAATAAATGCAGTACCATCTTTCAATATTTGAAAACAGAAAGTTCATTCTGTATGTAAAGAAGAAATAATACATTTATGGTTGATTCATAATGAAAAATGACAAATAACATACATCTTTTGAAGTAGGGGTATACAGGGACATAGTGGAAATTCAGAAATTTAGGCCATATCCCCAAGATTGCTTCACCAATATGTAACACTTACAGAACATCAAAATAATCATTTACACGTTTGCTGAAAGGTTTATTGAAAATAATTTAACAGCGTTTTACTTCAATTGTGGCACCATTCTTAGTTAATATTGATGGACATACGAATATAGAATGTTGACTAAGTTACATGGCTTGACCGTCTAATAAAATGTAATTTTCCATTGCTTCTTAGATCAGAATACAACAGTATACAAGAACACAAATGTGTACAAAATGTCCCCACCAAGTGGTGATCCCGTGAAATGGTTATCCTGAAAATGAGTAGACAAGACTTTACCAACACAATTTGAGGACGGAAAATCCAAAGTGGCCACCTTAAAATTTACCCAGAATGCCAAAAATTTAGTCAGTTCTAGATTTTCATACTAAGAACCAACCCTGAAAATTTGAAATTGATCCGTCCCACAGTTAACCAGAAAACATGTAAAGAAGACTTTACAGACAATATTTCAGGATGGAAAATCCAAAATGGCTGCCTTGACATTTACCAAGAATGTCAAAAAACTAATCTGTTTGTAGATTTTCATACTAAGAATCATCCCTGAAAATATGAAATTGATCTACCAAACGGTTCACCTGAAAACGGGTAGACAAGACTTTACAGACAAGATTTTAGGACAGAAAATCCAAAATGGCTGCCTTAACATTTACGCAGAATGCAAAAAAAGTAATCAGATGTAGATTTTCATACAAAGAATCATCCCTGAAAATTTGAAATTGATCTATCAAACCGTTCACCTAAAAACGCGTAGACAAGACTTTACAGGCAAGATTTTAAGACGGAAAATCCAAAATGGCTGCCTTGACATTTACCCAGAATGCCAAAAAACTAATGAGATCTAGATTTTTATACTAAGAATCATCCCTGAAAATTTGAAATTGATCCACCAAACGGTTCACCTGAAAACGCGCAGACAAGACTTCACAGACAAGATTTTAGGACCGAAAAATCCAAAATGGCCGACAATAAAAAAGTCCTTATGAGTTTTTGCTGATTTCTTTTTACAAAATTATCACATATAACTACTGTTAACAATAAAGTAGGCTTTTACAGCAAAGTACATCTGAAATTATTTATAAAGCTACTAAATAGTTAAAGTATGAAAACTGAAAAACACCATTCAATATGATACAAAGTATTATCGCACGCTAACTTTTCTTAAGACATTCAAAATGGCTGACATGACTGAGCTAGCAGGTCCAAAACCTAATCAGATCTAGAATGAAGTGAGCTGAACAAGATGTTAAAGTTTTAAAAGCAACTGTGAAGCAGTTTTTCTTAAAGTTTGCAGACAAGGATTTTAGCATTTGACTTCAAAATGGCCGACAGGAAGTAGGTTTCGAGTTAAATTTTTTTCATCCACATCTATAGGCACTCATAAGTTATTCCTGAAAATTAGAAGGTGATACCTGTAGCGGTTTTGGAGAAAACTGCCGGACGTACGGACGGACAGACAGACAACCAGACAGACGGACGGACGGACGGACGGACGCGCCTAGGACGACAATATGGCCCCACACTATGTGGTGGGGACATAAAAAATGGATATTTGTTGTTCGATTTGAATCATTACAAATTGTTAAATAAGAGAATTTATATAGCACGGAATACAACATTTTCAAGAGAGTGTCCAGGGTATCTACGACGTGCATGGACCCGGTGTAAAAGAAATTATGGTCCCCCGGGGATTATGGTCCCCCTTCTTAACGGACCTTACTGCCCGTGATTGTGTATTTGATAATAAGGGAAAGAGGTCTCCATATAAATCCATGGAGAGGGTCAATATAACCTACCTGAGATTTGTTTTGCTCATCGTATAGGAAAAGTAGTACTTAATACACTAGTTCGCTACTTTGTAGATGTATGGCACGTATATGTGTACATGTATTGGCAATTAATGTTTGGTGATAGCTAGTAGGAGTGTCAGGGACCGCTGACAGATTATTATTTTGAACCAAAAAATTGAATTAAATTTTTGGCGGTCTCAGTAAATCAATGGGGTAATCAGGTCCTACGTGCTTTTTACAGGCCCAGAAATCAATGCTCGCTTATAAATGTAGCAAAATCTTTTTTCGTTCGTGGGATATTTTTTTCACCATATAACCGAACGGGAAGTTTTTGAATAGGACTACATGATCTGAATGGATGTGAGGATTCGATGGGCTGGGATTTGAGAAATTATGATTTGAACTTTGCCAATTTTACATGTATTCCAATGGGTGAAAAAGTAAGTTGCTTTCTACCAGAGTAGGACCATAATTTGATCGGATCTCCGACTTGTTTACACCCGCACACACGTCACGGCTTTTGAGTGGCTTAGGCCTAACTCTAAAAACAGATGTTTGTTTATTTGGTTGTTTCTGGGAATACTAAACCATTTTATTCCAAGGTTGTTTGTTATGTTTGGCTTATTTGTTTCGACGCTTTTCATATGGCCTCCCAATCTGTTTGTGGTTATTAGGAATAGACGCACTTTCAAGGAGTGAGAAGTGAGTCTTCTCCGAATTTTACTAATCTAAAGAACTACATGCTGGTGATTTCAGGTCACTTTTAAAGTGAGAGACAATAAAATAAATAAATGGAGAAAAAGGGTTCTCCTTAATAAATTAATAAATTTAGGCCTAACGAGGTGCTATTAATGTTTTGGTACTTTTAAAGTGTCTGGGACAATAAATAAATTAAATTACTCGCACACAGAGATCCATGCACGCAAACCAGAGATCTGTGCTCGCGAACCACACATCTGATCTGTCTACTAAAACATTGATCCCCATTGATCATCTCTGTAGCAATACAGAAAATAGAGAATATGGCCAGGCTACAGAATATTTCCTATAGGGGTTAGCTTAGTAAAATGTATCTAGGATCACACTATAAAAACGTCAGTATAGAGTGATTTAAAGTGCAATACATGTTCGTCTCGTGCCAATACAGAATTTCTCGTCCTGAAGTGCAATATCACTAATCATGTATTGCACTTCAAATCATTCAATAACTTATAATATTGGAAATGCTAACAGTTTCTCAATCAATCATAAAGGAGTGCAATACCTGATGTTTTTATAATATCAAAAAATCTGATTCAACATTATATTTTAAGAAGCATTTCAAGCACACTCCTAAAACGTTAAGTCCAACATACTTTGCTCTTCTTAGTGAATTCATTTTACGAGCATTGCTCATTAACATCTCATCATGAAACAATCGTCACTATGTACGTTACCATTGGGAAGTCTATACCCTGCGTGCAGAGTCTAGTTAAACTACAGAAGACGGAGCTCTCTTTTTAAGAAGTGAAGTCGAACGAATGCAAAGGGTAGGAAGTCTAGTCTGTTAGTATTTTATTTTTATGTATACAGAAGCTTTATTGCATGTAGTCTTACAATTTTTTCTATTTAGAAAATTCTTTTTTTCGGACATATGATACTTGTTGTGGTGTCACATGTTGCATGTTTTGTATTTATTTTTATGATGAATAGATAAATAAATTTCTCAAGCACTTTTAAAAAATACCTTCTTTTGACATTGAGAAGGTCATTGAAGGTCAAATCTCAAATCAGATTTGAACTTAACTTCTAGATGATTTTGAAAAAAATTGGTCAATTTGAAGCATGTTGTAAAAATACCTTTTTTTGACGTTGAAAAGGTCATTGAAGGTCAAATCTTTAATATAAAGTCAGATTTGAACTTCTGAAAACATGTAGATGATTTTGAAAAAGATTGAAGTCAGTCTAAACAGTACTTTTAGAAGTTTTAAGAATTTGTTACAGACGCCGATCCCCAACCGCCGTAAAAACGGAGACCATAATATGTTACCACTTTTTGGTGGTGATAAGTCACCACTTTTTGGTGGTGACATAATGAGCTATTGTCAGTTGGCAATCTAAGACTCCTAGGGGATATGTGCATTTGGTATCAAAAATACAAAGTAATTCCAGCATGCTAAAGGTCACATTTTCTGGGATTTGTCATAGCTTACCTTTCATTATCTTTCAAGCCTTCTTCCTCAGACTGAGTGAGTTATGTATTTTTAGCGCATAAAAGTGTGAAAGCCTAAAACTTTAATCTACTAAACTCCATATATGATTGTGATGAGAAATACATGTTATTGGCCAGCCAAACAATATCATAACCAGTCGAGGTAGAACACTATCAAAAAAATTATGAACAAGTAAATATATTTTTTATTCAATGAACAATATGTGATTTTATTTATTTCAAAAGAAGAATATAGTTAGTAGATGAACATGATTTATCACAACAAACAGTGAATACATGACACTTGCTTCATCTTCACTCTTGCACCTGTTTAGTAAATTCATGTGAAGTTGTAAATGCATGTAAATCATCTTTTTTCACTTTTACAGTATAGTGTATATGTATCCTATAATATTTAATGGTTCTCTGATGACCTTGATTCAATCGTATCCCAATCATATCCAGTCTCCATTTATTAACAATTTTGGCTTCTAAATGTTAAGGAAAAATCAGATTTTCCAATTTTCAAGATATTCCATGTTATTTTAAGTATTCCCACAGTGGGGCAAAGTCTCGTGTGGGTCACTTATGAATTCTGAGAAATCTTCTCAGTGATCCAGTCAACATATTTGGAAATTCTAGTATAAACATCAGGATAATCCGGTTCAGTGCAGCCTCTGTATCCCCAGGATGTTGCCCCTGCAAGGTACCATTTACCATTCTTCTTACAGTTAAGAGGACCTCCAGAATCACCCTGTAATCAATTAAAAACATCTATATTTGATTTTAAAAGTGGGGAATATCTAGATGATAATCCACTGGCAAAACATATGCTTGAGAAGTAACTTGCCTATTCATAACTGTGTTCTATTCTTTGTGAATAGTTTTAAAACGAGATTTTAATATGTTTCCTGAATAATGTTTGAATATATAAAAATTCTTAAATCCCTTTTTGTATAAGTCATGCTGATGAGTAACTTTCTACCATCAGAGGAAAATATGTACATGTATTTATTGTCATAAAGTGGAATACTATTGATGACATATTCAAGTTGTATGTCTCTAAATTAGATTATAGAATTACTTACATTACAAGCTCCAGTTTCGCCAGTTCCAAGGCAGATATGTGTGTCAAGGATGTAACTCTGTCCCCATCTGGCGGCACAGTCTTCTTTCGACCAGATTGGAACGACAAGTTCTTGGAGAAGTTTGTTATTGCCAGTGTCTGATTAAAAGAATAGACATTGTCAAAAACAAGTTTTCACTATCAACTCTGATTGAATAAATCACAATGTCATATTTTTATAAACAATAAAGATACCATAGGCCTTATGTCAGTATGTAGCCCATTTAATAATAATACATGTAGGGCCATTCAAAACGTCCTACACATGTTGATAGACTATTTATTAAACCACATTTCTAATTGTAATTTTTCATGTACATGTATATTTCAAAATGTGATACTATTCTGATAAAATGTTGAATGGTTCTATGTTGTGATGAAAATCAAGTTTATTTCTATTAACATTCTATTGGACTATTGTTGCCATGCGATACATACATGTACATGCTAGGCTATATAACACAGGCCCTTAAATTTATCAATGAGGAATACTGCAAAGATAAAATCCCAGTTACTTCCCTTAAGCGGTGGAAGATATCGTTAAACAGTGGTGCCCACTACATTACATCAACTATAAAGTTGTTTAATTCGATAAAAACTAAAAATCGAAAATGACACTTCCCGTCCGCCATCTTTGATGCGAAGGTGACGACCGTTACCTTCGCTTGATACTGACCAGTGAACTTAGTACTTACCCTGTGTTGATCCCCAGCCAGTAATGAGACAATTGTCCTCAGTTGTGACAGACATGTTAGGATCTTCAGGCAGACAGGCAGGTTGGATGTAGTCATTGAATGTCACTGGCTGTTGTAGCTTGATCAATGCAATGTCATTGGGGTAGGGGGCTCCAGCTGCATAGCCTTCGTGCTGGAAATATAGAGTTCATTCAGTTAATCTAATTGGGATGGGGAACCTCAGCTACATAACTCTCACATTGAAAATCTAGAGATAGTTCAGTGTAATATCATCGGGGTATCATAAGGGGCCTTCGATGTCTTTCAACACTTAACCCAAAATAGCCAGATTCACATTTAAATATGCCTACTTGTGCATTAAACATATCGGTCTGTAAAAGGATTCAATCTTTATTCTAATATACAGGAAATACGACTGTTGGCAAGTAATACTAAGCTACTTACAGGAATGATCATTGCTGATGGAGCTCTGACTTCATTGCCGCTTGCAGTGTCACGGTCATGTTCACCAAGTACAACAGTTGTTGAGGTTTCACTGAAAAAACATCATTAGAGGTACATGTTAAGCTGAACTGAAAAACATCACAAGAGGTACAGTACATGTTTATGTTAAGCTGAACTGAAAAACATCACTAGAGGTACATGTTGATGTTAAGCTGAACTGAAAAACATCACTAGAGGTACATGTTGATGTTAAGCTGAACTGAAAAACATCACAAGAGGTACATGTTTATGTTAAGCTGAACTGAAAAACATCACAAGAGGTACATGTTTATGTTAAGCCTAACTGAAAAACATCACTAGAGGTACATGTTTATGTTAAGCTGAACTGAAAAACATCACTAGAGGTACATGTTTATGTTAAGCCTAACTGAAAAACATCACTAGAGGTACATGTTTATGTTAAGCTGAACTGAAAAACATCACTATATAGAGGTACATGTTTATGTTAAGCTGAACTGAAAAACATCACTATATAGAGGTACATGTTGATGTTAAGCTGAACTGAAAAACATCACTAGAGGTACATGTTGATGTTAAGCTGAACTGAAAAACATCACTAGAGGTACATGTTTATGTTAAGCTGAACTGAAAAACATCACTAGAGGTACATGTTTATGTTAAGCTGAACTGAAAAACATCACAAGAGGTACATGTTTATGTTAAGCTGAACTGAAAAACATCACTAGAGGTACATGTTTATGTTAAGCTGAACTGAAAAACATCACTAGAGGTACATGTTGATGTTAAGCTGAACTGAAAAACATCACTAGAGGTACATGTTTATGTTAAGCCTAACTGAAAAACATCACTAGAGGTACATGTTTATGTTAAGCTGAACTGAAAAACATCACAAGAGGTACATGTTTATGTTAAGCTGAACTGAAAAACATCACAAGAGGTACATGTTTATTGTTTATGTTAAGCTGAACTGAAAAACATCATTAGAGGTACATGTTTATTGTTTATGTTAAGCTGAACTGAAAAACATCATTAGAGGTACAGTACATGTTTATGTTAAGCTGAACTGAAAATGTCACTTTTTTGATGTAGCAGCTCTTTAAATGAAAATTGGATTAATAAGATTAATAAAATCATGGGCTTTCAATAATTTATTGTCTATTAGATCTTTATCCCTTATGGGTAAAATTAATTTAGTAAAAAGGTTTAGTGTCATCACAAATAACAAATTTATTAATATTTTTTTAAACATATCTAGAATTTAAAACAACAATTTAGAGGTAGGGAGAGAATTTAAAGGGAAAATACTTAGACAGAGCTTCACCAATTGTGGGCTTAATATGCTTGATATTACTTCAGTGCAAAGTGCTGCACTAATGGTATGGGTTTCAAAAGTTAAAAATCAGGATGCAGGTTGGAGGCATATGTTCTAATACATCATATGGTACTTTTAAAAAATGGGTCATGTTCATGTAAGTATTTGAATACAATATAAAATGTGATGCCTCTGCCTTGTGTGATATTTTAATGTATTTGAATACAATATAAAATGTGATGACTCTGCCTAGTGTGATATTTTATCTCTCAAGGTGATATTTGGATATATCACACTCTCCATCATGTAATAATGCTATAATATTGATCACGATTGAAAAAGCTATTTACTCACTCGACAATACAATGAGCTGCAGTGACGACCCACTGGGCTGTGATCAAAGAGGCACCACAATAATGGAAGGTACCATCTTGGAGAGATGCCTGCCATGGGTAGCTATTAGGCGTGGCAACACTTCCTCCAACAATCTTAGGGTGGCTGATCAAAGACACTTTTCTCTCTCCACATTCTAAAAGAAACCATATAGAGTTCATAAACTGGATTTTAACCCATATATAGGATAAAGTCAGAACAATGGTTTATAGGTAAAAGTGGGATTGACAAATCAACAAACACAAATTTAAAATATATTTTCTTTCTATTTGCTACATTCATGACAAATTGATCTTTCAACATTGCATACAATCATATTTTTAATTAATTAATTATCATATTGATAATGCATGATAGCTTTAATGTCCTGTTTAAGAACCCCTGTTGACATACAATTGAAAATGAATTTTACCAATATTCTCCCATATGAATCTTCTTGTTGAGATTCGACAAACTCGAGTTCTTCAGAGTTCTTCTGTATCTCACTGTTACATGTAAGGGGAGGCATCAAAAGTTCGATGTTGGATCGGAAACTAAATAAATCTAGTTTTGACTCTGACCCCCCCCTCCCCCAAAAAACTAAATACCATGAAAGTTGATCGCTGACTTCCGGTTTGAGAATTTGAAAAATTATTGCTAAACACGATCTAGTTCCTATCGTAATTTGCGGCTTTTAACAACTATTGATAGAATAGAATCAATTGGAATGATCTTGACGAGGAACGCTTCAGGTAAAATCTTTATTTTTAAACCATTCAAAGGCATTCTCAGTCGAAATTGCCAAAAATTTGAAATGTTGAAATTTGTTGGATAGTAAACTGAAATGGATTTGAACCCCCTCCCCCCCTAACTAGATTTATTTAGTTTTCTATCCGACATCAAACTTTTGATGCCTCCCCTAAGTCAATATGACTTTTTGTTTGCTGATCTCCCAATTCTAAAGCAAGTGCATTCTACTTACCCTTGAGAATTTCAAGAGGTTTCTACCCATTTAAATGCTTTTATTCAGTGTCAATGATCTCCTCAATTCTAAAGCAAGTGCATTCTACTGACACTTGAGAATTTCAAGAGGTTTCTACCCATTTAAATGGTTTTATTCAGTGTCAATGATCTCCCAAATTCTAAAGAAAGTGGGTTCTACTGACACTTGAGAATTTCAAGAGGTTTCTACCCATTTAAATGGTTTTACTCAGTGTCAATGATCTCCTCAATTCTAAAGCAAGTGCATTCTACTGACACTTGAGAATTTCAAGAGGTTTCTACCCATTTAAATGGTTTTATTCAGTGTCAATGGTCTCCCCAATTTTAAAGAAAGTGGGTTCTGCTGACACATGAGAATTTCAAGAGGTTTCTCCCCATTTAAATGGTTTTATTCAGTGTCAATGGTCTCCCCAATTTTAAAGAAAGTGGTTCTGCTGACACATGAGAATTTCAAGAGGTTTCTCCCCATTTAAATGGTTTTATTCAGTGTCAATGATCTCCCCAATTTTAAAGAAAGTGGGTTCTGCTGACACATGAGAATTTCAAGAGGTTTCTTCCCATTTAAATGGTTTTATTCAGTGTCAATGGTCTCCCCAATTTTAAAGAAAGTGGGTTCTGCTGACACATGAGAATTTCAAGAGGTTTCTCCCCATTTAAATGGTTTTACTCAGTGTCAATGATCTCCCAAATTCTAAAGCAAGTGCATTCTACTGACATTTGAGAATTTCAAGAGGTTTCTCCCCATTTAAATGGTTTTATTCAGTGTCAATGGTCTCCCCAATTTTAAAGAAAGTGGGTTCTACTTACACTTGAGAATTTCAAAAGGTTTCTCCCCATTTAAATGGTTTTATTCAGTGTCAATGGTCTCCCCAATTTTAAAGAAAGTGGGTTCTGCTGACACATGAGAATTTCAAGAGGTTTCTCCCCATTTAAATGGTTTTATTCAGTGTCAATGGTCTCCCCAATTTTAAAGCAAGTGCATTCTACTGACACTTGAGAATTTCAAGAGGTTTCTACCCATTTAAATGCTTTTATTCAGTGTCAATGATCTCCCCAATTTTAAAGAAAGTGGGTTCTGCTGACACATGAGAATTTCAAGAGGTTTCTCCCCATTTAAATGGTTTTATTCAGTGTCAATGATCTCCCCAATTTTAAAGAAAGTGGGTTCTGCTGACACATGAGAATTTCAAGAGGTTTCTCCCCATTTAAATGGTTTTATTCAGTGTCAATGGTCTCCCCAATTTTAAAGAAAGTGGGTTCTGCTGACACATGAGAATTTCAAGAGGTTTCTCCCCATTTAAATGGTTTTATTCAGTGTCAATGATCTCCCAAATTCTAAAGCAAGTGGATTCTACGGACACTTGAGAATCTCAAGAGGTTTCAACCCACCTGAAAACCTTTTAGGATCTACATAAAAATGTGAAAAATTATGAAAATGGGTATGAAATGTTGGTATGAAATGTGATTCACTATTCCCGTGAACATATATAAGTGTAATTATATAACAGAAGGCTACATACCACTTGGGAAAACATCTGGCTTGCAACACCTTTCTCCTGCATTATCACATGGGTAATTCCACTCCCCAGCATCAGAGCAGCTTGAGGAACAAGTCCCACCAAATGATTCACAAGTTGCTCCTAAAACAACAACAAGGTACATGGTGAACAATATTCCCATTAAAAATAAAACAAGAAAGACTGAACAATATCACGGTTATCCATTTCGTACCTAAAACTTGACTGTTTCCTTAGTTAACAAAAAAATCAAACATTTTCACTTACTGGACCAACTAAGGGACCAGCCCTTCTTTGTGACAGATGAGTCAGTCTTGAACCTCATGTAAATTGAACTACCAGATGTTGACACTTTGCCTGGGTTAGCTGAGCCGCAGAACTTGCCTAGTTGGCTGCCAGATGCTGAGTCCTCCCTGATCTAAGGTGGAAGATATTTATGATTTAGTTTTCTTGCTTGAGAATGTAGAACATATTAATGATTGATACGGTTTTGGTATAACTTCATTTTTCAATTTGCCCTTTGTTCATAATCAAGATAGAAAGCTACATAACCACAATACAGGCCTATGTTGCAATTTCATGAGTGAAAAGCCTGTAAATTACTTCATCAGTGTATAATATTCACATTTACAACTTATACAAAACCACAGTAATTAATAGATAATTTAATTCTTCAACTATTTTTTTATCAAATGCCCTGATTTTCAATAAATAATCTAATTTAAATAATGGTGATCACCTCACCCCCTTCCTTCTTCTAATAGTATTATTATTATGTGCTTTTTTATACCTCTATCCCTAATGCCTAGGTCACATTTGCTCCGATTGAGTGTTTTGCTCCATATTGTATTCAATTTTGAACAAAATACTCAATCGGCCGGGTGCCGTAGTGAAAATCGGAGCAAATGTGACTAAGGCATAAGTAAGAAGAGGGGGATGACATTCCATGGTTGAAATCCATATGTTATGATAAAATGACATTTATACCTCCAGGTAATCATAACTACAGCCAGATGCCTCCACATCAAAGTCTGAGAACTCCAGGATGAGAGGGCCTGCTGGAGCATTGATTTGGTATACACAATCCAAATTGTTGTCATAGTTACTAGGGTAGTTAGGTGAAACAAGGCTACCTGTGGCACCAGTGAAGGTTCCACCACAACCTGTTAACAGACAATCCAAAGTAGTAATAACTCATTTTTAATCTTTACATCTTTTACTGTCTACAATAGGACAATTTTAAATTTAAGTTTATACCAAAAAACATTTTATTAAGTGTAAGCCTCATCTACATGTATATCTGATATGCGCAAGTAATATGTTCTGATTATGATGTCAAGGCTAATGTCATATGTATGTGTGTGATATGAAGTCTCTGACATGTATAGCATTCTAAAATGTTAGTCAAACACATTTTTGAAAATTGTAAAATACTAGTCGAAAGCCCATGATATAGTGTAAGAAAAATACCCCATTTGAATTTCACATTTCAACTCTTTAACCTTTCCTTTGCCATATCTGAGTGCCTTACAGACAATATACGCACTACATGTATCTGGTCCAATTTCCTCAATTTGAATTTTACATTTCAACCACCTCTTTTGCTTTTCTGAGTATTTTCCCCAGCTTGAATTTCACATTTTAATTCTTAGCCCTACTTTGGCTTACATGAGTGCATAATAGACAATGTACTCACTTCTTTACCATATATGAGTGCATAATAGACAATGTACTCACTGTCTGGTCCATCAGTAGGTCCAGCAGTAGGTCCAGCAGTACTAGGCCCAGGAGTTGGGATGACGGGTGTCTCCCCTTCAACATGAGCAACAAATGTCAGCATAAAGCCAGAATAGTTCTCACTGCTATCAGTAATTAAGCCAACTCTCATGCTATTACCAGTGGTGGTATAGGACTCAGGAATCTCAGTTCCACAGAAGCTACAAATACAATAGATAATTTAAAAATACAATGGCATATAGTACATTATTTCAAATTCAGTTTCCATTGTCATTGACGATATCGAAGACGCTATTTTGTGGCGATTCACGATCCAATTTGATTGAAATTGGTATTTCATATGATACATCATCACAAGAGCTTAATACAAGCACAGAATTAGCGATGATAAAGTCCCATGAAATGAGGACAAAATGATTGAAGGGTTGCAGGGTTGCAGCGACAGTTATGTCCGCCATTTGTGAGAATGGTATCTGACTTTACCATTGTCAGGCTATTCCAGTGTGATAATGCAATCATATTTTGTCCAAATTTACTTCTAAGGGCAATCGAAGCATAAAACATTAATAAACTTTTGATTTGTTTATTTAGTCATATATCAAACATGGTTACTTACAAAGTTGCTTGTTGTTTGTTGTTGTCAAAGAGGTAGACATGGTCATATTCACAAAGTCCAGTGCTGCCAACACGATCCTCCACCTCAAAGGCACTGAAGACAACAGTGATCACCTTACCAGCAGGTACACTGATATCCCACTCGCAATCTGCGTTGGAGGGGTAGTTAGCAGGGTGATTGGGGGAGCTCAATGTGCCACTGTCAGCACTGATTGAACCTCCGCAGGAGATCTGAGCTGAAACAATAGTAGTGTGCATTATGGGATGTTTATCATGAGAGGTGGACCTCTAGATCATATAAATGTGACAAAATCCAAGTTTAAATCTCAAGCTGAATTTGTACCTGCCCTCTTACCATGTCCCAAAAACAAACTCTCCTTTATTGTGTTCAATTTACATTTAACTGGAAGACATTTATGTTAATAACTTGACTTAATGCTTACTACTTGCATTATTAAAATTTCATTTACAATTCTAAAATATCCGAGAAAACAAATCCAATCAAAAAAAAGTTGCTATTTTATTCATTGATTAATTTTTTTCCCAAATTAGTAATTTTTTCATATCTAGAACTGATTCATTTAAGGAAAATTTCAAACTATTTCTATTAAAAATCTTCTTACCATTGGTGCCTACAAAGGCTAGTGCTACAATAAGAAGCTGGAACATGGTGAGTGTCCCTTCTGTGTGCGCCTTGAATATAAATCTATCACAAATAATCTTAAGCTTTTAAACAGGTTGATAATCAAGAACATGATGTAAACGGCAATAAAATAATCTAACTGAAGTACTGATTGTGGTTCTTATTTCCGTTTAAACTTTCACTTGCAAGAGTTTAAAGTGTCAAGATAGGGTTTTATTGATGCTCTCCTAAAATATCCAGAAACATTATACAATGTACACATGAATTCATATAACTGGATGTGTTTTGGATATGTGTGTTAGCAAGTATATATAGGTAAATCTATATGTTATTGTTGTTTTCTATCCTAGAATATACTTGGGATATCATGTGTAACACATATACGTGTCTTCCTTGATTCATAATGTCAACAGAATTGTAATATATACTTGTCCACAACAGAGTACCAACGTTACAGTGGGACAATTTAACTTGTTCAATTCATACAGTAGAAGAAATGTATATGTTTTTCTACTGCTTTGTTGCTTAACCAAACTCTAAGAGTTATGTATATCTTTAGAATTATAGATGATAATAGATACATATTTCAATACTGGCAAAGGGTTCATCTATTTAGTTATTGCACTGCAAAAATGTATTCATGCAACTAATTGTTAGAGACAAAAAATGTGAGCCCAAATATATCTTGTCTTGTATCTTGTGAATGTTAGACTACATGGAAAATGGGAAACTATAGCCATGGTACGTGGTAAAGATGTTGATCATATTCGATTACAAGTATTATCATGTTCAATGAGCCATTTTCAAATAATGGTACCAAAGTGGGTTATGATGTAGCAGCTGATAGTGTTATCGCTTCAAGAGAGCTGCTGTACTAAAGCAAGATAGGTAAAACGTTGTGTTGTAATCACTCTGCTGTAATAACAGCAGCTGTGCGTGAGCACATAAAATATTACTGTCATATACTGGTGGAATATGAGTGTCAACTTGATAGTTCAAGATGTAAATTGATGTTAGCATTATTTAATCAGTTATAAAAACTTGATTATTTGTTTCAAAAATTTCTCCATTCATTTTTGTAATAAGTCAGTACTGTGATACAAAGATATCTTGATTAAAGTAATGTAGACCCATTACATATCAGCATATACTTTCAAATTTGGAGGAAAAAGTATTTTCATAGGAAAAAAATAAACAAATATGACCTTAATTTTGAAACCCTTGCTTTACCCCAAACTCCCCCCATCCTTGGAAATAAATCCGGATTTGTATTGAACTCAACAAGGTCAGATTTTGGTTAATTTTCTCTTTCTCTTAATTTCCTGAAATTCCTGAAGATTTTAAGCCATGGATTAGGTAGGTCTAGACCTAAAGTAGACTAAAAATAATCCTAGGTGATAGGGCTAGACTGAATCCTAACCTATTAATCGATCTATAGACTGAATTTTAACCTGTATTACTTCATCATTTCCAAAGGTAATCTTAATAGGACCAGATAAACTCTTAATAATATGCACAGACTGATAGTTGACCTGTTAATAGGTCTATAGACTGAAATTTGTCCTGTTTACTTCATCATTTCCAAAGTTAACTTAAATTGGTCCAAATAAACTCTAAATAATATGCATAGACTGATAGTTAACATGTTAATAGGTCTATAGACTGAAATTTGTCCTGTTTACTTCATCATTTCCAAAGTTAACTTAAATTGGACCAAATAAACTTTAAATAATACGCATAGACTGATAGAAAACATGTTAATAGATCTATAGACTGAATTGTAACCTGTTTTACTTCATCATTTCCAATGTTAACATACTTAAATTGGACCAAATAAACTCTAAATAATATGCATAGACTGATAGTTGGTAATGGACCATGGTAATAGGCCTATAGACTGAATTTTAACCTGTTTTACTTGATCATTTCCAATGTTAACCTAATAATTTGACCAAATAAACTCTAAAAATTATGCATAGATTGATAGTGAATCTGTTAATAGGTCTATAGACTGAATTTTACCTGTTTGTACTTTTCTTTTAGAAACTTTAACGATTTCAACCACCACATTTCTCAAAAATGCAACTTCTGTTAATGTTATTCATGATGAGAATTGATTTTATATTGGTATAATAGTTCAATGAATCATATTATATCTTAATAATAGCACTATATCAAACTTTTGTTTAACATAAAAAGGACAATTACATGAATTAGAAAAAGATACATTGGAGAAAATACAAATCAAAGATGTCAAATTATTTTGAAATTTTAATCTGTATCTATTATACTAAAACTTTACCTGTAGGTAAAGACCTAAAATAGACTAAAAGTTAATCTGTAGGTCTAGACTTAACTAGACTGAAAGCTAACCTAAAGTGGACCATAATTAAAATGTGCCCGTCAATGCAATTTTAACATTGGACATGTACCTGAAGTGAATTGAAAGTTAGCCTGACATAAAGACAGAGTACACCTAAAGTTAACCTGGCATTAGGGTGGAATAACAAAGCACAAGCCTCTAAACAAATTGTTTAAATACATGTACAGTGTAGGTATATAAAAAAGATGAATGGTTTCTCTTATCCCTACCTAAACTTTGTTTGAAGGGGTAATTATAAAAATAACATACAAATCAATATAAAGTTAACACAACAGTCTTTATTCTACTTCAACTTCAACAACTGTGTTTATATCAGACATTATGCATAAAAAATACCATTATCATCAACAATCGAACTAATCTTATCTATTTTAAAAACACTATTTACGATAGTATTAATGATGCATTTCATTTGTACTAGCTTTTTTACTGGACATATTAAATGTATAAGACACAATCCCCTTTATAAGTTTGAAACTCCTGTTTTTTCCAATGAAACTGCCTTTGCCTTTGAAAACTTTAAGGATGCAGCAATTCTTAATTGTTAAATGAAATAATAATATGTTCTGAACAAGCCCTCATATATAAAATTTTACATGATTTGCAAATTCAATAAATGCCATAAACTGAAGGTTGATTAATTCCTATTTAATGTAAACGATGGTCTTAATTCTAAGTGGATCTTAGCAGAAATAAGACACATAAACACTAATAGCTAAACATGATGATTAATACAATCATTTGATATTTTGCAATGGACAATATTTGTCTATCTACAATTTTTAGTTTAATTTCATTTACTGATCTAGCTTAAACTGGATTCTGCCAATCACTGACACATTAAATCAATTATCATTACATACAAATATTACACATTTTAACATTTTATGCGATTTGCATTAGTCCTCAAGACTGTTTCAAAAGAAAGAGAAACTTGCATCATGTGAAAGTATTTCTGTATACAAGATGGACTAACTGGAAAAAATCAACCAATTTAAGATGTACATACCTACAGAGTGGGCTAAAATTGTATATTCTATTTAACGATGTCATACATGTACGTATATCAATAGCTTATGAAAGTCCATTAAAGTTCCCATCATTTGATACATTCAAGGCTTTCTATAATGAGTGATGTTTAGTTATGATATTGAGAGTGTGCAGTCTCCATTTGTGATGATGTATTAAAAAATAACGCCTCTACACATACAGACATTAATTTGATATAGCCAGTTCTATTAACCTACATATTATGCATCTGTTCATATTCTTACAAACACATAGAAATACAAATTGTGCAGAACTAAATATTACAGTATTTACAATTCACAAAATATCCTTCATGGAAAGCTTTTGTGGTTCTTCACCAATATCATCACCAACAGTAACATTTTTTGCCCAAAACTTCTTCCACCGTCTGTAGAGTTTTAAGTACCTTAGCCCACTACACACCTTGAATTTCTTGATAACAAATGCCAAGATATCAGAAACACTTGCTGTGTCTCTTGTGCTATGGCTACCAGCTGTGAAACTATTATCCAATATTGACAACATCAAGTTTAGTGTCATTATATATACAAATGCAAGGAATGCAACCGTGAATATGATGCCCATTGGTAAACTGTACTCCACTATGTGAGCAGAGTCAAACTCTGCCAATAACATGTGTACTAATGTTATAAGTGTATGCATGCCTGTACTGAACTCATCAAAGGTTGACCCATAGTACATCATGGCAAAGTGGGTAAATGCCATTAAGACAATGGCAAACATGATGGCGAAATGAATGAGGGGCCTGCCAGCTATGACAAATACATCAGACAACATGCGCATTTTTGGGTTAAAGTTCAACAACTTGAACAACTTCATCACATTCAAGATCATTAAGAAAGCGAAGATGTAATTAAGAACATAGTCCCAGAAAACAGCTGGGTAGAAACTGACAAATCCCTGACCATTGGAGTCATAAAACTTGGATATAATACTATTCACTATCACCAAACGGTTGAAAAACACTGCAATAGCTGAATAGCTAATCAGAATTTCTAACACTTCCACAAATTTCCAGCTATCTTGGAAGTATCCTTTAAGTCCGCCATGTGCCTTAACAGATCTAATTTCCTTAACAGTGGAGATCAACAACAATACAAGAAACAATACTTCACATACAGCGACAAGTATCTCAGAACCATTGGAATAGTGGTAGAGTTTAACAGTTAGTATGCTTGGGAATGTAAGAATTTGACCTGGAGTGAGAAATTCGAACATTAAAGAGCAGACAGAGAATAGGTTTGTGTTTGGGTTGAAGGTTGTATATTCTACAATGATGACCCTTGTTCTCTCGTCCACCCAACCATCGTTTTTAGCATCATCTAAAGCACTCCGAGATCCATTTCTTGATTTTGTCAACTCCACAAGATATCCACCACCTGAGTATGTTCTATGATGGCCAGCCAATGGCAGCGTATTTAGCTCAGATGCTGTCTTGTAGCTCCATATATCTCGACTGGGAGGCCCATCTAAGGGGCTCCAGTAAGGACCATAGTCTGCATAGTCCTCATTGGTCCATGTAAATGTACCAGTGCAGTAAGAGAATTGTTTCTTTAGCAACGGATAAATGTCACATGTACCTGCAATTAATTAATTATGTCGTTCAATAAGTATTCCTAATTTTCCTATAACTTTTGTTATCCATAGCCACACAGATGTACTTTACATATTGTGAGGCCATGGCATTTTATTATTTTATACATCAAAATTTGACAATATCATCATTTTTCATTCATCAAAAAGTGTTTATTTGCTGAATAAAAATAATTCATCATGTAAACCATCATGTTAAGGCATTGGTCTGAAAAGCAGGAAGTCTGGCTTCAGGCTGAAAAGTAGAGGTCTTGGGTTCAAACCCAGGTCACAGCACTTCTTGTGATTTTTCTTTGACCTATGACTGCTGACCTTTACCAGCGATTACTAGAGTGCTGCTAACTCGATAAAAGGCTGGCGCTGGCTAGAATTGTCTATGGTTCTAGTCAGGATAAAGATACCAGTTCTTCAACTCGACAATGGGAAGAACTGCTCTACCTTATTGACTAATATGTCATGATATGACATCTAAAGAGTCAATAAAAGATATATATACAACATTGCCAATACTTAAATGATTGTCATACGATTTTAAAAGAATAAGGATAGATGTATGACTTATATTGTGCAAGTTTCATGAAGAAAAATAAAGATAACAAAAGTTATTGCAAAACTTGCATTTCTATCTGCCAATTTTGTTTATTCAATGTATCTGCAAGATTCAGTTTCATAGATTTCTTATATCAATTCCTTTTAACATGTTAATTTTGTGACACTTAAACTGATAGCAATCTTAAAAATACATGAAAATAAATAAATAATTATTATTGGAATACATAGTCCAAGCAACTTTATCTATTTATTTACTTTTTTGCATTCATATTCATGTTTGTGGTGGTAAATGTAATACAGAGATACAGATTTTACAAATTCAAATGTATGTGTTGTTATATGCAGTTCCAGACTGCATTGTCCAAAAAGGAATTATTACTTGTAAGCACACACTTTTTGAACCAAGAAACTCTTGATTTTAGCTTAGATGATATCGTAGCATGCTGGAAAGTTAAGTGAAAATGATTACCTTTCTCTATCCGCTGTTGTCTCAACCTTATCACACCAACTACAGTTGTAACTAGATCACTTGCAATCCCAAGATGAGATATACTGTCTCCATTGTACATGTATTCTGCATAGAGACTTGGAACCATTGTATTTCTCAGATAATCCCACATGCTGTCAACAGTTGACACCTGGAAATATTGTTGTTTACTATTCAGCCAGGCCTTATTATATTGCAAGTGATGCCCTCACTCAATATGTTCAGTTTAACCATGGTTTAACTAAGATCACTCATTTTCAATGGCTTTTCATGTACCTATACATACAGGGCATCAAAGAAGTGTTCTCCCACTCCCCTTAGCTTTAATTTAATAATAACAACATAGGGATATATCATCTTAAAGGGAATTTAATTTGCTGATCACAGAGCAAATTTCAGAGATAGGTAAAATTCCCAAAGAATGGGTATCGATATGGCGAACTTTTTGAACACACGTTTCTCTTAAACCAGTCATCAAAAATTTCTGAAAATCTTACAAATTGTCAATTTAATGGCCATCTTTTGAATGGTAACAATATAATTTGAAATAGATATACATACTTTCATCTATATTGTTTTGAAAAACACATCAAACACTTGTTTTTTCTTGGTATCATGTTTCCAGAGTGAAATGAAACATCTTTCCGAACCTCATTGGAACAAAACGACATAAACACAGTTTAGGTCTCTCGATATTGTAATTGTTCAAAGGAAATTTTGGTTGATTTTAAAGCGGCTCTAAGGTCTGTGGAGAGAAAAATTGAGAAATTTTACCTTTTCTGAGCTATCGGGGCAAAGTTTGGTCTAACATCTTCTTCCTTATTCCTATTTTATAAAAATGTATGCATATGGCAATATTCATCAACCAGTAGAACTGGCAAATCGTTTAGAATCTACAATTCCATACAAGGAGTCCCACTCATAGATTTTTTCAAATTCTTTCCAAGTCGACGTCGAAACACCTAGCGGGTGAAATTGACACTAATTTTTCTGGCCCCTCGAATCGATAAAATCTCTGACAGTGTGAGTCTTTTTATGAAAACTTTCTTATAGAAAACACTTGAAGATTATTAAAATGCATTAAAAGTTGAAACTGAAGCGTAATTTGAAATAAAAATGAAAAAAAATTGCGCGGACGACAGTGAACAAACTTCCGGTTTAATAAAAAATGGCGGACACGAAAGGAGAAAGGAAGACAAAAAATTGGAAAATTTTCCTTTGCCATTATCGATAAGGTATGTGCACAAATGCTAGTTGCATACATGGAAAATAGATATTTTTGAAGGCAACAACATATTCAAAGCTATCATTTTACGATAGGCCCAGGATCATTGGATACGACTCGGCAGTTGATATTTCCACTTTAAAAAAGTATCTTGTTAATGAAATAAAAGGTTTTTCTTGATTTTTGTCTATTTTTGGGGGATTTTGTTTTAATTTTTTGAATACTTTTTTAAAATCAACCAAAAATTCCTTTGTATAACTTTAATATTGAGAGGTCTAAAACATGTTGTATATGCTATTTGGTTCCAACAAGGTTCGGAAAGACATTTTATTTCACTAAAAAAAACAAAAAATGTTAACAAAAACAGTTGTTATTTCAAAATAATTTTCGCATTAAATTGTTGTCAATCAGTCAACATTACATAAAATACCATGTTTTTTTACAGAATGTTTTCAATGATTGGTTTAAGAGAAAGACGTTGTTGAATTCAGTTCTCCATATTGATACCTATCCTTTTAGGAGTATTTTTAGTGATGTTCAGATTTCACATTTTTATAGTATGTATGTTTCCCCGAAGCAGCTCGGAGAGATCCAGTTCTATGAGGATACAGTTCCAAAATGGGGGCATTTAGCATATGTGAGCACTTAAAAAGCTTCATTCATTTCATTGGCATTTCAATATCTTTGGAAATTAAAGAATTTTCTAGACTCAATAGTAAAAAATTCTAATGGGCAAACAGAAGACACAGAATGAGAAGGTAAAAGTACAGTACAGTATCAAATGTGATTAAATTGTTTGATAATTCTTACTTTTTGGATTCAGTGAATATTGGATACTTGGAAGAGACTCAATTAAATGACATTGGCAAGGCAATTTTACTCACATCACCAAAGGCAACATCACCCTCATAAGCTGCGTTAATGACCATATCTTCCATAGATTTGGTCTGTCTATATGCCCTCAGATCATGGTGCCCATGGACCACCACAGCAAGTGTGAGTATGAATACAACATATATAACAATATCTTGAAATGTCTCCCACATATGATGCTCTTTGAAACGTCGTTCTCGTTCCTGTGCAAGCCACTCAGAATCCAGGGGCTTGTATTGCATGTGTGAAACTTTGGTCTTCAAGTATTGCTCTAACTTCTCTGACTCTGTTAGACCTTTGTCATCTGGAATTTCAAAATTATGTCTCTAACTTCCTGAGGTACAAATTTTCAAAAGGTTGGAGGTATAAAAATGAACAAGAACTCCAAAAGTTGTACCTTCTACCATGAGTACTTTTTTGATCAAAATGTGACATTTCTGATTAACACAAAATGTTATCTTTCGGGTAATTTCTCAAGGAAGGAGCAGTTACAGTATTATCAATAAAGAGAGTAAGGAAGCGCAAATGACCTGGATAAACCAGCTCTGAACAGAGATTCAGGTTATCTCATAGACAAATCGTTGCTAGAAACCATGAAGCCAAGGTTAGGTTCAAGTTCAAGGGCAGTTTGGTTGACAGGAAACAAACAAAACATTACTGATAAAGGATGCAGTCACATTCGAAAGCTATAACTTCACAATTTTCAAGGTTAGTAAGAGAAGCTCACGGTTATTATCATTTACTAGTATATCCATGAGTGAATTGATATCTTTACGAGCGCAGTGAATGAGTAAAGATATAATTGATATTTTTGAAGAACCATAGGATTGTCCATTCATCCCATTGGAAATTATTACCTAGTGACAAAAAATATAGAAAAAACTTATTGAACTATTTTTAGAAAATAAGCCTTTTATTTTTTTTTAAAGTAACAAGGTTGGGTCCTAGATCCTAATCCATAACTTTCAGAGAGTTCAATTGATATTTTTTACTATCATGAGGACTTGTAAAATATCAATTGTAAAAATGGTGGTCATCTTTGAAATGGCTCATCACTGGCAAAGGTTTCATAGGATAAGTGTCATATGCTTCTTAGAAGTCACATATAACATTACAAGAAAATTGCTCAGTTTTGATTTATAGTAAAGAATGTAAATCAACACACATGAAATTGAAGGCCGTTTTTCAAAAGGCCAACAACTAGCAAAGTGTCATAAGACAGTGTGCCATACTTATCATATGAGCATTGACATATCAAATATGAACAAAATCGGTCCTCGCTTTTCTAGTTACAAATCAGAAATTGTAAATTAGCATGTACAAGAATGGCCACTTTTTTTCAAGATGGCAGCCATGTTTTTTTTTAATTAGACTTAAAGTTAATCCATATTCTATGTACTTTTTGCATTTAAACATATTATATATTACAGGCAGGGTCATTTTCTATACATGTATATCCAAAACATCCTTTTAGATCATGTTCACTTTTCAATGAAGACACTACTGAAGTTGAAATATATGTAGTAAACAATCCAGGAGTACACAATACAGGAACTCCTTTCACTATAATGATATGATCTTGCTCAGTTATAAATTACAGTTATCAATTGGATCTCAAACAAGTATATCTTCGGCACTTAAATTAATTGTCTGTATTCTGAAATCTTTCATTCTTCTTAAAATGTAAACCACATATGTATGACTAGACAAAATAAAGGAAAATAAAGGAAAAATCCCATGGTAGCAATGAGGAACATAGGTTGAATGCGGAATTAGTGAAGATCTCTGATTCAATCAAAAATTTGAACACATGAAAAATAGTATGAAGGTTACCCCCCCCCCCCCCCCAGCCCAACCCCAAAACAGTGGTCAAACTCATGAAGTAGTGCAGGAGACAGCGGGTATAACAGAATCACTCAGAGAATACAATGATCAGCAGCGCCGTAAAAATAATGTTATATTATTCAACATTCCAGAGAACCAAAGGCAGAATGATGACAAAAGAAAGGTGATGGACCTTTTCCAGGATGGTTTAGGCATCAATGTTGGGAACATAGAGAAAGTATACTGTTTGGGTAGACCAGATACAGGCAAAACAAGGCCCATCCTAATAACATTATCAACGACAGCAATAAAACACGAAATACTCAGAAAAGCCAAAGACTAAGAGGAAAAGGAGAACAATTCAGGAGCATCTACATTAAACCAGATTTGACTCCCTCTAGAGAGAGTCGAATCACGCAAATTACAGGAGCAGCTTAAACTAAGGAGATCAAGGACTGGAAATGATCTTACTATTCAAAAGGGTAGGATAGTGTTACGTAACCCCAGGGCGGAGGTTGAAAATGACAATGAAGCAAGCGATACTGCAGTGAAAAAATTTGTGACAACTAGCCAATCCCACAATACTATAAGGCCTACACCCCCAGTACAGAACAATGTTATAATTGACCTAAACAAAAGCATAGATGAATCCGATGGGGCACCAGGCTTACACAAGGAAACAGCGCAGGGTGTAAAGACTACACCTGCAATAAGCTCCCAAATAGTGAAAATGTAAATAGTGTAAATAATGTATATAGCAAGGACTTTTTAAAAACTTCAGATAAACTCAAGGTATTGTACACCAATGTCGATACACTACCATCTAAGAAAAATGAGCTTGAAATAATGATACAATTGGAAAAACCTGATGTAATTGTATTAACTGAGATAAACGTGAAAAGACGGGATTACCAACTGACCGAGGAACAAACATCCATCGAGGGATACAAGTCTTTTCAGAGTGATAAAGATGACACAGAGGCTAGAGGTAATACTGTACATAAAGGATGAAATCGCAGGAAGTTGCGACTTGATTAATGTGAATGAAAATGAACCTGCAAAGGAATCTGTTTGGATACAATTCAAACACAATAAGGAAAAAGCAATAATTGGATGTGTATATAGGAGCCCAAACCAAACAGAAGAGGAATCAATGAAATTGATACAGCAAATTAGTGACATATGTAACCGAAGGCCAAGCCACCTTTCCATTATGGGGGACTTCAACCTTCCGGTAATTGACTGGTCCCTAAACACTACTAAGCCAGGTTTCTCATCACGAAATATAGCTAATAATTTCATAAATATGTTGGATGATGAGTTCCTAACTCAGCACGTAGACTCACCAACGAGAAAGGACAATATCCTGGACTTAATTATTACAAATGAAGAAGATATGGTATCAAATGTAACAACATCACCTGGACTTGGCAAGAGTGATCACCAGGTACTAAACTTTCACTTCAACTTCCCGCCAGTAATTGATAACAGGACTAACGAAACACCAGTACATCTCCTAGACAAGGAGGATTATGAGGCTATGTGGGATGACATGAATATAGACTGGAATATGGAACTTAAGAGAACAGAAATGTGCACGAATGCTGGACTCTGTTTAAAAGTAAACTTCAAGACACATATGATAGAAATGTCCCAAAGATGATTCCCAAGCCACCAAAGAAAGCCTGGATGAATAAAAAATGCTTAGCCCAAATAAGGAAGAAACACTCAGCAGTGTAAAAATACTTGCAGACCAAGGAGGGCGAGGATTATACCAAATACATCAAAGCCAGGAATAAGTCAAAAAGTGAAATACGAGAATGGCATTGCCAGACTGGCCAAAACCAACTCATTACAGACCAGTTAGTTTGACATCGATTGTAAGCAAACTGATGGAATCCATCATTCGGGAAAAGGTTATTAACCACCTGGCTTCAAACAATCTACTAGCAGGATGTCAGCACAGTTTTCTGCCATGTAAATCATGTCTTACAAACTTACGTTAGAAGCCCTATCCAGAATCCTTGATGAAGGCAGTAATGTGGACGTCATCTACCTTGACTTTAGGAAAGCGTTTGATACAGTGCCCCATCTGCGACTAATAAGGAAAGTAGCGAGCCTAGGAATAGGAGGAAAAACTCTCGATTGGATAAAGGATTTCTTGGGCGCGAGAAACGAGTGAGACATAAACTGGGGTTCCCGAGAATAAAGACAGTATAAGTGAGGACGATTCCCAAAATGGACCTAGTACACCTAAGTATAGGAAACAGAAAGTCATCATTAACGGCACAGAATCAGGTTGGAAAGATGTTATATCTGGTATACCTCAAGAAACTCTCCGGTACTTTTTCTCATGTTCGTTAACGACATCTCGGAGTATGTAACCAACACAATAAATAAAAATTATTTGCTGACTATACAAAGCCATTCAAGGAAGTTAACTCAATTGAAGACTGTGAGGACCTACAGAAAGACCTCGTGGCCCTGGCACAATGGTCTGAAGACTGGCACTTAGGCTTCAACTTGGAAAAATGTCTGGTCCTCAGAATAGGTAACAATCCTCAAAGAGTTCAAATACAAACTTGGTACTTATGAAATAGAGCAATGTAAAAGTGAAGACAGGAAGACATTTGAGCATTTAACCCCAGATACCATGAACCACTTGTACAAAGCACTAGTTAGGCTTAGACTTGAGTATGCAGTCACAATATGGTCGCCATATCAGATGGATGATATTGAAGCCCTAGAGAAAGTCCAAAAGAGAGCCACCAAGATGATCCCAGGGTTCAACAAGCTTGAATACCCAGAGAGACTTGAAAAGTTGAAAATGACAACCTTAGCCTTCAGACGAAAACGAGGAGATATGATTGAGACTTATAAATTACTGAACGGACTATATAATATCCCTGTTGAGGATTTACTAACTAAAGCAGAGGATCAAGGAAGAACCAGAGGACACAGCATGAAACTAATAAAGCCTCACTCAAGGACAGTCAAGAAATCTAAGTTTTTCACTCAGAGGGTCATAAATTCCTGGAATAGTCTCCCTCAAAGTGTCATAGATTCCGACAATGTACTACAATTTAAGATCAACCTCGACAAACATTGGACAGATCACCCAGCCAAGCATGACTATAAGTACCAAGCCATCCTGTGAAGTTCTCCAGTATCCATGAAAGGCCAGTAAAGGTATCCCTTCCCATTACCCCCCCCCCCAGACGCACACTCTCAGATATGAATGGCAACAGGCAAAAATAGCCTTCGCCTAAATAAGTCATAGTCATAAATAGAAGATGGACTTTTGAAATGATATGAAATGATGCATCATAGTTATGTGACATATAAATGCTGATATCATCATGTAAAGCTGGCTCACCTTTGTCAATCTTGTCTCTGCGGTCCTGAATCTCAGGTTTCCTCTTGCAAATCAATGCACACAGTATTGCAATGGTAATCACTTTGACAGGTTGTATGAACAGTATACTTGTAGAAAAGGCAACAAAGATGGAGGTAAGCCACTCAATGCTAGCTTGGTAGCCATACTTCAGGCCATATAACATGATGAAGTAGGAAGCTGACAGGCATATTAGGACGCTTAGTGTCCAGTTGATGTAAATGAACCACCATGGTAGCCTAAAAGAAAATCCAGATCAAGTACTTATTGTTAATTTCAAAAATGGACTTCCATTAGTCTGATTGATGATATCAAGATATATTATTTATGTTGTCAGATTGTATATGTGTGTAACCACAATTTCAATGTATCGCCTCTTGATTTTAAAAGAATCACTTCAAAAGATCATTACAATTAGTACTTTTCTGAAACAGACTGATGGATGGAAGGCTTCACTATCTGTACCAGTTACTGGCACAGTTTTGACCATTCATCATGTTAGCCTCACCTGGGTGGGTGTAAGAAAATATCAGGTGTTTGGCTTTAAAGAGGTAAAAATCCTTTTCACAGCCAAATTAGACCTCAATTTCAAAGATTTCAGGGGGTACTATAATATTTTTTCATAACATAAAGAATATAGTTGCTATTGTTCTAACTTCTAAGGAATACATGTAGGTTGCTACAACATAGATAAAATATATCCTAAAGTTTTAGGCCGATAGCTACATGTATACTGGTCTTGGAAAAATTACAATTAACAGGAAAAAATTGTACTTCAGTAATTTTTAGCCCACATGTTTGATATTTGTAGCTTCAAGCAAACAATGACAGCATTAAAAATGTAGCATTCTTAAAAAATTCAAACCTTGTAATACAACTAATGGTGTACTATTTTGTATTTTTAATATGACTTTACAGTGCCCTACTCCTGAAAAATAAAATAAAGTCTGGATGGTCAATTTTGTCATTTTGCAGCATTGAAATATCATGTAATTTCTTGTCAAAAACAGAACAAAACATTTATCAAAATATGAATATTTTTTTGCGTATTCCTACTAAATATATTGTTAAGACCTGCAGTAGTTACAGGTAGATTCTGGAGAAGTTTAAAGAAGTAATTCATCATGTATCTTTGATGATAATTTATCTATTCAGATGCAAGAAATAATTTGTTGTCAATGCAATAATAACTTTATATGTAACCCTTAGTATACTGCAATGGAATATTGATCTTGCCCTTACCTGTGTGAATTGACCATCTGTATCACCAGTGTTACCCGTAAATATCTGTATAACCCTTTTTATCCTATGCCAAGTAGAGTTTTAGGGAGATAAGTTGGTAAGATATATCCCTTATCCTGATTTTGAGGTTTCCATATCCTGAACCTCCATATCTCTCGCCAGATCTCCCGCTCCAGGGCATATCTTCCCGCTTCGAAAAAAAGAAAAAATGTGAAAAAAGGAAAATTGAAAAAAAGAAAAAAAACTTATATAAAAATTTTAAAAATTGAAAAAAAGTAGAAAAATGTGAAAAATTGAAAAAATGAAAAAAAATTGAAAGAAAATTAGTGTTACGTTCGAAAATAACAGAAAGTAAAAACAGCAATTAAAATACGATAACAATATATTTATATTTTGAAAACTAAATAATATAACAATAATATAAAGGAGGTTTAATACTTATGTGATGTCCAATCAATGATACGGCTTATTCTTGATGTCGATAAATGTCGTTGACGATACTTGAGAATGTTCCGGATCACGAAATGTTTCAATAATCGTTAATAGTTCTCCAATGTTTGTAATAATCCAATAATGTTTGTTGTAATCCTATAATGTTCGTATCCAATAATGTTTGATGATAATCCACAAATGTTTGATGATAATCCACAAATGTTTATGATAATCCACGAATGTATATGATAATCCGTATATAGTGTGTGTTGTAATATATGTCCATATAAAGTCCTCAGGTTGTATGTTTGTAGTGTTATAAATGTTCCCACAGTATGTGTCTGTAATTTTCTGCTAAGAAGATGTCCTTTTGATAAACTTTGAAATTCTGCTTTATTTAGTTCCTTTTAGATGTCCAGTTATGATTACTTAATTATCTGCTACTGAGTCCACTTTGCAGTTTTATTTATAGTGTGAAAGAATCATCTAGAAAGAATCTTCTGGAACGGAGACTACTTGTTGAGTTTTGATTGGACATCTCCAGTCACATGATTAAGTCTTAATGAATGGTTATATTTTCTAGAACTCTCTGGATGGTCAAGAGTTAACGAGTCATTCAGTTCAGTTCTGTTTACAAGATACAGTGTATAATGTCATTGTGACCTTGACCCAAGATCTCTAATAAAGATCAGTTACAGTATATACATATAGATAAACTAAACTTAATGTGAATATAATAGAACATAATACTGTAACACCTCCCTCCTTAAAAGAAAAGTTTTGAATACAATGAAAAACTTTTACAATAATATCTGGTGTAGCGAGGGTTACATTTTTTTAAAGATGAGGTTGAGACTTACATAACATTTGTTTACAATAGTCAAATACAATAAAAAACATATTACAATAATATTATCAAATCACACTCTAAGTACAATCCTTTTATTATACCAACACAAAGCCTTAGGCAAATGCAGTATAAGTCAAATAGCCTCTTAAAAATAGAGGTATTACACTCTTGAAAGAGTATCAGCAATTAAATTATCCTTGCCTTTGATGTGTCTTATGTCAAGATTGTACTCTGACAATAACAGACTCCACCTCAACAATCTACGATTTTTGTTCTTCATTCTATGAAGGAATGTCAGCGGATTGTGATCAGTAAATACAGTAACTGCATGAACTGGTGCACTAACATATACTTCAAAATGTTGCAATGACAGAAGTAATGCTAGACATTCCTTTTCTATGGTAGAGTAGTTTTTCTGATGTTTATCAAATTTCTTTGAATAATAACACACTGGATGATCAATACCATCCTTTTCTTGTAATAGGACAGCCCCCATTCCTACATCAGAAGCATCTACTTGAATTTTGAATGGCTTGCTAAAATCAGGTGCAACAAGCACTGGTTCTTCACTAAGTATGGCCTTGATTTTATCAAAGGCTGTATGACATTGCTCAGACCACACATATTTGATGTTTTTCCCAAGTAAATTGGTCAATGGAAGAGCAATTGAAGAGAAATTTGGACAAAACTTCCTATAAAAGCCAGCCATTCCAAGACTTCTCATTAATTCTTTCTTGTTAGTAGGAGCTGGGAGTTGTGTAATTGATTCCACTTTGGCACTCACTGGTTTGACCTGTCCTTGACCTACCACATGGCCCAGATATTCAACTGTGGCTTTACAAAATTCACTCTTAGCCAAATTGATGGTTAAATTGGCCAGAGAGATTCTTTCAAACAACATACGCAGCAAACACATGTGTTCATCAAAAGTGTCAGAATAGACGATTACATCATCGATGTATACACCAGTGTTTTTGAGATCTGCTAATAAGCCGTTCATCATTCTTTGAAATGTGGCAGGTGCATTTTTCATACCAAATGGCATAACTTTAAATTGGTACAAACCATCAGGGGTAACAAAGGCAGATACCTGTTTTGCTCTTTCAGTTAATGGAACCCCTAGGAATCCTTTGAGGAGATCAAATTTACTAACATATTTAGCAGTTCCAATTTTGTCAATGCAGTCGTCAATTCGTGGTATGGGATAAGAATCGGTCTTTGTTACTCGATTCACCTTGATATAATTAACTACTAGCCTACGTCCACCATTTGATTTTGGAACAATGAAAGCAGGTGAACTCCATGGGCTATTGCTCTTTTCAATTATGTCATTTTCTAACATATAATTGACCTCAGCTCTCAAATCTTCAGATTTTGATGGATTAACTCTATAAGCATGTTGCTTAATAGGGGTTACATCTTGGACTTCAACATCATGATAAGCTATAGATGTCTTAGTCGGTACATCAGAGAAGATATCAGTGAAGTCATGAATTAATTCTGTGACTTGCTGTTTTTGATCATTTGTCACATGGTGCAATTTATGATCTAGATTTGATAATACTTCAGAGTTCTTTAACCTAGACAAACCTTTGATATCTTCATAGTCTAAATCAGTATAAGTGATATCATCTGAATCTTGTAGTTCAGTTTCTTTTACAAGGGCAGGTGCCAAAGTGACTACAGGTTTAATTGAGTCATACTCTTTGTCTGGCTCAAAGTACCTTTTCATCATATTGATGTGACACAGTTGTGTTTCTTTGCGCCTATCTGGAGTTTTGACAATATAATTGAGGTCATTGACCTTGGAATCCACTACATAAGGACCAAAGAATTTTGCTTGTAGCGGATTTGTCTGAAGTGGCAGTAATATAAGAACTTTGTCACCAGGCTGGAATGATCTTTCTTTGACTTTTCTGTCATACCAAGTTTTCATTTTATCTTGGCTATTTATCAAATTTTCTTTGGCTATTTCACAAGCCTTTGATAGGCGCTCTTTAAACCCAGTGGCATAGTTCAGCAGATTAAACTTTTCAGTTTCTGACAGCCACTTTTCTTTGAGCAATTTAAGTGGACCACGCACAGAATGACCAAATACTAGCTCAAATGGACTGAACCCTAAAGATTCTTGCTTAGCTTCTCTTGTAGCAAACAGAAGCAAGGGTATGCCCTCATCCCAGTCTTTCTCATATTCAAAACAGAAAGCTCTAATCATGGTCTTAAGAGTCTGATGGTAACGCTCTAGAGCTCCTTGAGACTCTGGGTGATAGGCACTTGACTTACACTGTTTGATACCCAAGGTATCCATGACTTGTTGGAATAAGCCTGACATGAAATTTGAGCCCTGATCAGACTGGAGATCTTTTGGTAGTCCAACTAAGGTGAAAAATTTTATGAGTGATTTCACTATGTTTTTGGCTTTGATATTTCTAAGTGGAATCGCTTCTGGAAACCGTGTGGCCATACAAAGAATAGTGAGTAAATATTGATTACCAGATTTTGTTTTTGGTAATGGACCAACACAGTCAATAAGAACCTTACTAAATGGTTCGTCAAATGCAGGTATTGGGTGTAAAGGAGCAATTGGAATTTTCTGGTTAGGTTTCCCTACCATTTGACATGTATGACAAGACCTACAATACTCTTGGACATCTTGTTTTAATTTGGGCCAAAAGAAATGATTGAGTATTTTATGGTATGTTTTAGTTACTCCTAAATGACCTGCCATGGGAGAATCATGAGCTAGACTCAAGATTTCCTTATGATACGATTTGGGGACAACAATTTGATGTACAATTGCCCAATCATCTTCAGGGGAAGCTTCAGGAGGTCTCCACTTTCGCATTAATATGCCATCCTTTTTGTAGAAACAAACAGGGACCTTGTCAGCTTCATCAATAGTAAGACATCTTCTATGAAGATCAATGAGTGATGGATCATGCTCTTGTTCATAAATTAACATGTGTTTAGAATGAGGATCATTTTTCAAAGAATCACTATCAGAAATAGAGGATGAAACCTCAGAACTAGAAGAGGATGAAACCTCAGAACAAGGAGGGGATGAAACCTCATGAACACTAGCAGAAGAAGATGAAACTTCATCAAGACTAGCAAGAGCGGGCGAAACCGCATTAAAATAGTGATCCTGCTCAGAAGGTGAATCACCTCTGGCAATAGGCTTTTTCAATGAAGAATTTGCCTCAATAGTTGACTGCTTGGCTCGAACAGAAGGCTGTTTCAATGAAGAATTTGCCTTTAAATTAGGATAAGGACCATCTTTAACAAGTGGTGAGTGACATTCATCATCAAACAAGGAGCTTAAAAACCCACTATCAAAGTCATCTCCCACAGACGAATCCCCGCTATCAGCTAACCTTTTAGCCATAGCCCTAGTAACAGCACAAGCAGGATATATATCAGAGTCCTGTTGGACAGAATCCTCAATAGAACAAGGCTGATCTGAAACAATGGGGTCTAATGATACCTTACCCCCAGCTAAATCATTGCCTAAAAGCAATGCGACTCCTTCAACGGGAAGTTGTGGCCTAACACCAACAATAACTGGCCCTTTGACTAACTCCGATGTGATATGAATACGATGGAGGGGAACTTTAGTAAAACCTAATTCAATACCTTGCATCAAAATATGGGTACCTGTGAATGACTCCTCAGATAAAGGAAGGACACCTTCTAACAACAAGGTCTGAGATGCACCCGTGTCTCTAAGAATCTTAACTGGCTTTGAATTGGTATCATCACTTGACAGTGACACAGATCCTTCCGACATGAAAGGCTTATAATCCTCCATAATATCACTATGAGTAGATTTCTTAGTATGAGTATATGAATCCCAAACAATGGGCTTTCTTGAAATGGGAACTGTAGCACAACCATTTGAATGAGCAGAACCAGACATCTCTCTTCTATTCTTAATCCTATAGCATTCAGAAATAAGATGACCAGGCTTTTTACAATAATTACAGGTGACGTTTGATTTTGGACCTGAAGAATTTGATTGATCTGATTTTGAGCTAGAATTCTGTGATGAATTAGACTGGTCTTTTGCTTTGTTTGATGCATTTGATGATGAGGCCTGATTTGATTTAGAGTCATATGAAGGTTTGTTACCTTGATAACCTCTAAAGTTAGAATTACCTTTGATAAAACTACCCTTATGAGTAAGAGCATAATCATCAGACAGGGTGGCAGCTTGACTTAAAGTTTCTACCTTGTGTTCATCTAAGTAAGTTCTAATGTGATATTGAACACAGTTTTTAAATTGTTCTATTAGCATAAGCTCTCTGAGCTTTTTGAACTCTTCAGATACATCTTTAGAGACAAGCCACCTGTCAAAAAGCTGCTCTTGCTCTCGAGCAAACTCAACATGGGTTTGGTCACTCTGTTTGTGGGCATTTCTAAATTTTTGTCTGTAAGCTTCTGGCACTAGTTCATAAGCTTTAAGAATTGCATTTTTAACTAGGTCATAATCAGAGCATGCTTCTGCTGAGAGAGAGGCAAATATTTCACTCGCTTTACCAATGAATACACTTTGAAGCATAACTGGCCATGCTGATTTAGGCCAATCGAGGCTTTGAGCGACTTTTTCAAAATGCGTAAAGTATTTATCAACATTTTTCTCCTGAAATTTAGGTACAAATTTGAGAAATTTTGAAGCGTCAAATCTATTTTCAAAATGTTGATGCATAGTAGCATGTTCATCAGTTTTGGATTGAGCTTCTATTTCCAAACGTTTTAATTCAATTTCTCTTTGAATTTCTTGTTCTCTCATTTGTCTTTCATTTTCTCTTTTTTCTCTTTCATTTTGCATTTCTAACTCTTTTTCTCTTAATTCTTTTTCATTTTGCAACTCTTTTTCTCTCCTTTCATTTTCAAGCTCTTTTTCTCTTATTTCAAGCTCTTTAAGCCTTATAGGATCTACAGGCTCAACATGCTGGACTGGCTCTACAATAAGCTTTAATGCTTCTTCTGGTAATATTTCTTCCGCTACCAAATATGGTACCAGAATATTTTTTATTGCACCTTTTCGGTATGAAGTTTTTACTGCCAAACCAACATGTTTTGCTAGTGCCAGAAGTTCAGTTTTCTTTAACTTGTCAAACTCCTCCAAAGAGGGCGCTTCTAAAAATGTCTCAACCTCAAAACTCATTTTTGATTAATTGCTGTCTTCACAATTTAGATATACAATTTTGGAATTTTGAATTTTAAGATTTATGAATTTTAGCTTGTTGTAGTTGTATCCCGGACGAGCCCCCAATTTCTGTTACGTTCGAAAATAACAGAAAGTAAAAACAGCAATTAAAATACGATAACAATATATTTATATTTTGAAAACTAAATAATATAACAATAATATAAAGGAGGTTTAATACTTATGTGATGTCCAATCAATGATACGGCTTATTCTTGATGTCGATAAATGTCGTTGACGATACTTGAGAATGTTCCGGATCACGAAATGTTTCAATAATCGTTAATAGTTCTCCAATGTTTGTAATAATCCAATAATGTTTGTTGTAATCCTATAATGTTCGTATCCAATAATGTTTGATGATAATCCACAAATGTTTGATGATAATCCACAAATGTTTATGATAATCCACGAATGTATATGATAATCCGTATATAGTGTGTGTTGTAATATATGTCCATATAAAGTCCTCAGGTTGTATGTTTGTAGTGTTATAAATGTTCCCACAGTATGTGTCTGTAATTTTCTGCTAAGAAGATGTCCTTTTGATAAACTTTGAAATTCTGCTTTATTTAGTTCCTTTTAGATGTCCAGTTATGATTACTTAATTATCTGCTACTGAGTCCACTTTGCAGTTTTATTTATAGTGTGAAAGAATCATCTAGAAAGAATCTTCTGGAACTGAGACTACTTGTTGAGTTTTGATTGGACATCTCCAGTCACATGATTAAGTCTTAATGAATGGTTATATTTTCTAGAACTCTCTGGATGGTCAAGAGTTAACGAGTCATTCAGTTCAGTTCTGTTTACAAGATACAGTGTATAATGTCATTGTGACCTTGACCCAAGATCTCTAATAAAGATCAGTTACAGTATATACATATAGATAAACTAAACTTAATGTGAATATAATAGAACATAATACTGTAACATTAGAAACTCTACTCGTATAGGATAAAGCAGTTATGTACGGTCAGTTTGGATATTGGGTTCATCCCTCGTGAGATATGCACATCTACCTTCGGTCCCTCAGGTAGATATGTATATCTCCCTCTGGATAAACCCCATATCCAAAACCTCCCAGTACAACCCTTATTTATCCGCATTACCCTTGGATATCTTTACCTATCTGTGCTAACCTTAAATATCTGTGTTACCCAGATTCACTGTATTAGTTTTATTTTGTATGTTACACTAATTATCTATCTGGGTTACTTTCTACTATCTGTGTTACCCTTAGAAGCTTGCATCACCTTTAACTATCTGGAACATCCTTTACTATCTGTGTTACATTTGACTAACTGTATGAGATGTTATTGTTAGATGTTATGCTGTTAAGTCTGCAATTATATTTTTATTTTACATTGGTCATTTTTAAATAATATAATTTTCATAGAAATATAAGTTGTGCAATTTTCATTTCATTTTTTTACTGTATAAAAGAAGATATCACATTATTAATACTATATAGAGTTTTTACATGAATTCCGTTGAAAAATGTGAATTAAATATAGCTTAAATTTATTAATAATAATACGAGACATAGCAAATTCACCTTTTTGTAATAATTTCAATTTAATTTCTACTTGTAAACATTGATTTTGTACTTTGTAAGAAAGTGTGAACATTTTTTACCACTTTAAAGCCAAACACCTGATATTTTTTACACCTACGGAGTTGATGTCTGGTCCAAAGTTATTTTGTCTCCACCTTCCGGCAAAATTGTGCCAGTAACTGGTACAGTTATTATGTCCAAACTTACAGTGGTTTGTTAGTTAATAAAATAGATACATACCCAAGTGGCTCTTTCTTCTTCTCTTGAAGTTCAACATAACTATCCTCCTCACTGAACAGGTCCCTGTCTGCCTTTTCACCTTTTCTCTCTAAAGTTGCCTTTCTGCTTCGATGTGCAGGTATTGCTCTTGTTTCCTCTTCCACTGAATCAGAGATCAGTGATTTTGACTTGGAACTAGAACAAGGCAACAAAAATATAGCACATTTTGAAAGTACAATGTATGATAAAAATTCGCAATTATATCCTCGTTTCCTCAGTCTCTTCGATCTTGGTCATTTATCCAATACAGAAGATAGAAATTCTCTATGTGAAAATAACACAGATATCATTTTGGGATTATGTGGATAGATACATGTCTATAATGTTGGGATGATTAGTTCATTTCATTGAAAATAAAACATTACCTTATGGTTGTTGGGCTTTCACTTGTTAATATGTTTGACATAACAGATTCAGTCTTCTCTGATACGTCTACCTCAATACATTCTAGAGTCAAATCATCATTTTGATTATCCTTCGATTTAGAGATTTCACTTTTTTCTGGGGAGAAGAAAACTCTATCTTTTATGAGTAGAGGTTCAGATTTGAGTTTCTTTATGCCATGATGATCTCCGGAATCAGACAATGTATCAACTGACATTGTGTCCACTGATTCAAAACTTTGAAAATTTTCAAATTTTCTTTGCTCTCCAGGTTTTTCCTTTGTTAATCTGAAGAGCTGAACAATGATCAAGTTGAAGGGAAACATCAGGAGACTGCACTCTAAGCCTATAACAATGGCAGATATTGAGAAATGAAACTGACCAATCTGCATTTGATCTTCAGGGTCATCCTTGGGGATACCGAAAAACATGATTTTGGTCAGCATGTAGCTCAAGAGCAATGTAAATGCACATGTTAAGCGTTGTACTCGTGTGAAGTGACTTTCTGGAGGTTTAGAGAAGATACTCAGCCATAGATGTTTCTCTCGCATGTCCCTACTAGCAAGTCCGGGAAATGCATTGCTAAATTCTTGCAAGTCTCCCTCGTTTGCAGCCAAAAGTGTGCGTGAAACTGCAAAGTCATCTAGGTCAATAGCTAGCCATCTGTTACACAGGAAGTGCCACACTTGGTCACCCTGTAGATCTCTCACAGTAACTTGATTCAGATACCTGAAGTGGAAACAATCTTTTTGAATGTTATAATATATAATAATAGACATTTTACCACTGGGCCAAGTGGGATTTGGGGTACATTGTTATAAATTATATTAAGGGTGAGGCTGTACATGTAGTGACTTAGTAATAAGAATTGCATATCTCTACAAGTATCCTAAAATGCAGATTTGAGAAGGGGTGTTAACATATCATTTACAATACTCTTTCCTTTAAATGAATGAATACTGTACCAGACTTTCTCCATTCATGTAAAATATTGACATTTCTAAGTGATGCTTTGATCACTGAGAATAAAATAGGGGTTCATTGTGCATACATTGTAAAATTGTAGACAATTGTTTATCATGCTAAGTAAAGAATAAGGCAAAATCATTCTCATTTCATTTATACTCTTTATGTATCTCACCAGTTTGGATAGTCTCCAGTGTTGTCATGCCAGATGGTGATTGAATTTAGGAAGCCAATACTTCCATCTGATGTCAACAAGAAATAATCTTCACTTCCAGAACAAAATATTTTAGCCTTCTCGTCCCAGTGTTTCAAATGATGTGGCTCACTCGACCCTTCCGTTCCATTTAGTTGAAGAAACACATTGGCACTTGTGCTTGCATCCTGACGCCAACCTGTTACTGTAGTAACAAGGTACCCATAGTGATGCGATGGATTATTGTCTTCTAGAATAGTAACACCAGCCTGAAAAATTCACATTATGACAGAACAATACATTGTGCAATTTATTTATGGTTCATGATTGTGCATTTTGAGACTTGACTAACAAAGACATTTACAGGAAATATTAATAAGGCACACACATGACAATGTGTCATCAACTGGTTTGTTATTGCAAACTAGAAAACAGCAACTCCAAGGAGTAGCAAATCCCACCAAGCAAAACATACAGTACTCCCATTAATAATTGACGCTATTATATTTCGAGTTTTTTTGGCATTTTGAAATTTTGCGACTATTATAATTGGCTAATTTTCAGTTTTTTGAAAGGATGATTCTCGGTTTGGAGAACAGTCTCCTGGGCTAATAATTTTTTTCATGAAAAATATAGAAATATCACCCAAATTAAACTATGAATATTCAAAAGAGGACATTTAAATCTACAAGATGTAAAGATAATTGGTCTGAAGCAGGGATAATGCTTAAATAGACAGATTCAATATAAATACAAGTCTCGATTTGGGGAAAGAAGTTCATCAGTGTACTGCGTTAATATTTTTTTGCGAAAAATCTAGAAATATTACCCAAATTAAATTATGACTATTCAAAATAAGACATTCAAATCTTTATTATGTAAAAAAATCAAATTTGTCCGAAGCAGGGATAATGCTCATTTAGATTGATGAACTTCGTTCTCCAAACCGAGAATCGTCCTTTCACGGCTATTAATTTTCATATCATATATATCATATCAGAATGGTCCAAAAACAATATAATTGGATCATCCAATGTCAATGTCTGCAATGTATTGGGAGAACTAACAGAATTGGTGTACCATGGAGCCCTTACTTACTACTCTACTCAATCCCTCATTAAGGATAGAATTGTTGAGAAGTGGAATTCATTGTCTTAACAGTATATCAATGATGCTATTGACCAATTGAGGACTATAATTGATCAAAATGGTAGACATATTGAACTGTTTTATTGTCTGTTAATATAAAAAAATTTGACAAAAAATTTTGCAAGTTTTGGAAAACCTGTTTTGCAAACGAAAATGACATCATTTATATTATGGACGCTGGTTGACAGACATTTTAATAATTTTTTTTTCTCTTTGACCACCCTGTATATATATTCACAGTACATGAGTTAGTCTAAACAGTACTTGATACGTTATTGGAAGTTGTATGAATTTGTTACAGATGCTGAAATCCTAAATTTTGAACCAAATCTGTCTATTGGTATTTGAGTTATCAGACTTTTTTCCAAAAATGGCCGCAATTTATTCTGAGCATAGCTCGTTTGTCCCTAGGTACAGTATAAAGTTTGAATCAAATCAGTTAACTGGGATTTGGGTTTTCAGAGATTACATTTTAATGTCAAATGGTGCCATTTTAATAAATAACAGCCATCTTGAAAATTTCTTTTGATGCAGAGCTCCCCTATCTCAAAGCATCAGTATATGAAAGGACAGGTGGCGGTAAACCCCTCTTTTACCCCCCCCCCCCCCCCCCCTACAAAACAAGTATATATTGACATGGAATTGAAGAGGAAGTATGACTTATTGCTTAAAATGTGATTTCTGAGAATTTAGACACTTGACCTTGACATTAGGGTGGTTTAAAGGTCAACTTTGAAAGATGCTATTTTGTCAAAATTTTGCCGTTTTCTAATACAAGAAATGAAAGCAATTGGCTTAATTTTGATTTTGACTGATAACAAGACATGTGAATGGAAATAAAAATATTTTTGATAAATTCTCACGGGCAATTACATAAAAATCTTGAGAAGAAATCCCCATATGGGCATTTTTGGGGGGGACTAAATTTTCCTGTTTCAAAAATTAACGTTCTTGTTGCCTTTTGAGACTCTAACAGTTTCCTAATATAAGCATGTTTTAAGAGTTGGGATGTGATTATTATTTTAAATGCCCATGATATGGGCATTTCCAATGTAGATGCCCATTGGCATATAAAATGTCTGTATGGAGACTTAGTTTTAAAGTTATTTGCCAATTTACAGTTCCCATATTTGAATTTCAATATATATCATAAAATATAAGGCAGCATCATGTATAAATGGCATGACACTCAAAAGATTGACTAAAATAATTTCTACTTATTCCCTGTTTAGAAAAACACTTAGGCCATTCAAAATTTTTTTATAATTAATGTCACTAAATTCTATGTTTTCAGAAAAAACAAAATGTCCCCATGTACTCTGTACTTGTAATGCAAATAAATGACAGAGGGAATTGTGATCATGAATTATATTGTATTGAAATGAGTTCCAAGATTGATTAAAAACGACATGTATATAAGCTTTAGTATTGTCTTCATTAACAAGGTCATCTGAATCAAGAGGTCGAACTCCCGTGCAGTGATATATCACTGCGGCGGGCAGGTATCTCATCGTAAGCATGGTAACTTCGTGATAAACAACTGACGTGATTAGTTCTAGTCCCATGCTCAGGTCGCGTGATTGTAAAATTTAGACAATTTCATTGGTTGAATTGCGCGTATTAACTAATAAACAACACGTGCGGTAAACTATTATCAACAAAACTTTTACTCAGAATTCCATCCGCGGTGATTTCTTCTCATATTTCAATAATTTTGAAATATTTTGACAAAATAATGATTGGTGAACATAAAAGAACATATATTTTATAAGTTGTATGAAAATCAAGTACATCTGTGACAAAAAAGGGGGACTATCTTCCCCAAATTTTGGGGATTCCATAATCTGCCCGCCGCAGTGTCTATACCGAGACACTGCATAGGAGTTCGTCAAGAGGTGTTACTTGTTTTTGCACTATGTGTTATTGCATTTTCACTATTAAATAATATATAAAACCCTTTAAATAAATAAAGGTTTTGTAGTTTTTAATATAAGGCCCTTCATCAGAATGCCAACATATTATTAATTTTGAATGGCCTAATCTGTACATGCAGTTATGTAGTGTACATGTTTGCCCAGGTTAGCAGCCATATTGAAAACATAAACCAGTCAGCCTAATTTTCATCACAAAAGTTGAGTTTTAGTGGTGAGCCCAAACTCCCACAACAATGATATTTGCAGAGAAGCTACTTTACAGTCTCTGCATTATACAGTTTCAATATCTTTTTTGTGGGAGAATGGGCCGATGGTTAAATTTTCAACGAATGGAAATAAGCACCATGTGCTAAAACTTGATAACAAAGTGAACACAAAAATTACAATGTTTTCCAGATTTGCATTGGTAAACTTCATACATAGCTTGATTTTTTTAATGTTGTACTCCGAATGCTTGCATGCCATATGTTCCATATAATAAATTCCATGTAATAAGTTTTGATATTATTTTGATGGTAAACATAGTGTGTACCCATATTCAGACAGTCTTGTTATAGGGGTTCTTACTGCCAATTTTTCAAAGAAACTGAAAACTAATGCCACTTTTTGAAATTGCAAAACTCAAGAAAAAAGGTTTATCTACAACTTGCAATCGGTTTTGAAAGTAAATGGAAGAATGAGTTTTTTGGAAAAAGTCTAAGTTGACCAATAGTCTGTTAAATGGACCTATTCTTTGAACCAAATCCTTCCACTGGTATTTGATTTATCAAAGATAACTTTTTTTACTAAAATGGAAGCCATTTTGAAATTAAGCTGTCATCTTAAGATTCCTTGTCAAACAGACCTCTGTCCCTAGGCATAAGCATATAAAATTTGAACCAAACCCATCCACTGGTATTTGAGTTATCAAAGATTACATTTTAAATGAAAAACATTCTGTAACATTACGTACAACTGATTGTTAACTAAGGTAGTTTTGCGTGTTTACTCAAATCACAAGAGCAAATGAAAACGTAAGAATATTTTATCACTTTTTGGTTGGTATTGAGTGAAATGTTAATGTGGACAGTTTGAGAGTGCGTAAACTTTGAGGTAGGCACAGTTTTCAGCTTAAGTGGGTGCTGCAACACAAAAGAAGATGCTGGGGAGATAATAGCAGTATTTAAGTTATAGCCCAGACTCCAGAACGGATGGTAGAACTTAGACAGCTTCTTTCTATCCTATCAAACTTCGTTTTGTCGGATAATCTTACTTACATGTAAAAGATCTTTCCTGTCATGTTTCCTGGCATACACTACAAGTATGATATACAGGAACCAAACTGCTAACATTGTACTGATCGTCACTGGGTTATCAAAGAAACTCAAGAACAACTTGGCATCATCAATCGGGTCTACCTTATTGGGAAGGACGAAAAAACTGCCAGAAAATGCCGTCATATGGTTGCAATCACAGGACAAACTCTCTGGCATAGCTAGAGGTGACACCTGAAGTATATTAATATCATGTCAATCTTGGCATCTGATAAACAAAATACAAACTTTTAAATACAAACTATAGGACTGAATCATGGAAATGGTTAACATAATGGCAGTACGTGATTGAGTATTACCATTTTAATCCTACACCTGGTAATGAACTCAAATCACTAATGACATCATTCAAATAAAATAGCTGCATATATAGCATACATATAACTCCAAAAATCGATAAGCCTTCATTAAGGTAGAATCAGATCTATATGTGGTGACAAAATTGCAAGGAACCTGTACTATTGACTTAACAATGTATTCCTTATGATGTAAAATATATTATAACATACCTATGATGATGTACAGTGTAAAGTGTACACAAGACAGCGGGCCAATATAAGTTTTAAAACCCGCACCCGCTAACTTTCTGATTGGTCAAGGCGCTGACGTCATAACCAATCAATCGAAGATAAAACTGCGCGAGCAATTTTTCTAAACTCATTTCAATCATTTTCAAACCATTTGTTTGTCAATTCTATAAGAAAACGGTACTCTCTTACTAGTCTACATCATCAAAGGTATGTTATAAATCATTTATATCACTATCGTGGCACATATGCCCTCGGTTCTCAGAGATCAATGTCCCTCCCAAGGTCGGGCCATATATCAATGAGACCTCGGGCATATATGCCACGATAGTGACATAACCTCTAAATATCTCCCAGAGGGTTTTCAATATGTTATTAATTGGTGAAGTTATTAATAATTCAAAGCGAAAATAAATAGTACCATGGGTACTGGGCTCACATGGTGTTGCTCAAAAGTGAATCATGACTAAAATGGCAGAAAATAAAAAAATGGATATAATTTTTGCCGATTTTTTGTTACAAAATTATTTCATACAACTATTCTTTACAGTGACATGACTTTTTAAATTGCAGGACACCTGAAATTATTTTTAAAGCTAGGGAATGGGCCACAAGTGAATTTCGCAAGACAAAAATGGCGACTTTTTTGAAAATAGGCAAGCTTTTGAACCAGGATAGGGGAGTTTTCTGTATTGATTTTGAACAGAAATAACTTAAAAGGGGAATCATATCGACAGAGGTTTTAAGGCAAGTGGTCCAAAAGTAGATTTCGCGAGACATACATGTATGGACAAATTTCATTTTGTAATGACTAATATGTCAGGTCATGACATCTAAAGAGTCAATAAAAGATATATATATGGACAAATCAATGTTAACTAAAATGGCTGAAAAAAAACGGATATAACTTCTTGCCTATTTTTTGTTACAAAATTATTCCATACAACTACTCTTTACAGTGACATCGATTTTTACAATGCAGGACACCTGAAATCATTTGTAAAGCTAGGAAATGGGCAAAAAGTGAATTCTCCGAGACAAAAATGGCGACCATTTTGAAAATAGGTGGATTTTTTGAGATAGATGGACAAATCAATGTAACTAAAATGGATGAAAATAAAAAAAGATAAATTTTTTTGCCGATTTTTTGTAACAAAATTATTTCATACAAATACTCTTAACAGTAACATGGCTTTTTACAATGAAGGACACCTGAAATTGTTTGTAAAGCAAGAAAATGGGCCAAGAGTGAATTTCGCAAGACGAAAATGGCGGCCATTTTGAAAATACACGAGCTTCTGGACCAGGAGTCATAAGGGAGTTTTCTGTGTTTAGATGTTGAACAAATATAACTTAAAACAGGAATCCTATCGACACAGGTTTTAAAGCAAATGGTCCTTTTGAACCAGGAGTCATAGGGGGTTTTCTATATTAATATTGAACAAAAATAACTTAAAAAGGGAATCCTGTTGACAGAGGTTTTAAAACTGGCCAATTGTTGATAGACAGACGGGCGGGCGGACGAAATGAGCCAAAATTATTCTGAAATTTAAACATTTTTGTTAAGCTCGCTCGCTAGATCTGATTATCCCTTTAAACTTACAAAACATCCCTCATTACTCCACAACTGTAAGGACTCGCTCCAGAACAGACACTTTGATGTATAAGTGCCAATGTTCAGCTCTACAGGAACGGCCTGCGTTTCATTCTTGGGAATTACACTCATGTTGTAACCTGCTATAAACTCAGCATTTCCTGGGCTGTTGTTCTCAAGGAGTATGCCTAAAAATATATTATTAAAGTATTTTAAAGGCAATGTTGCTAAATAATAATACAGAAAACATACAAGGCATTATAATGACAAAAATGTCAAAACCTAGTTGATCACAATATTATTTGTTCAATCTTAGCTTATTTTCGTGAATGCAAATAGCGGCTACCAGCTAGCAGGTTGATTGCAATTTGATGGCAAACTCATTTAAATATGAATAGTACCTGCAGTGAGCCCCGTTAGTTGCCAGCTCTCGCCCCAAACCCAGTAGCTGAGCTAGATTTAATCTGGTATTAAAGCAGCAACACCGACTATCGAGGTGTTCAGAATTGTAAATAGTGGAAGTACACCTGCTGCATGCGCATAGGCGAAGTTTGTTTTATCATGTGACAATGGCATAAAAAGTCATGTGATGACTGTTAATTGACAAATGGGTTGTTCGATATTGCAACTTCAAACTGACGGATTAATTTATACAATTTATTACAGTAACTGCTATTTGCATTCGCGAATACAAGCTTAGTCAGTTTTGAAATTCTGAGAACTTGAAATTGATTTTGAAAAAATGATCAATTTGAAGCAAGTTGAAAAAATACCTTTTTACCTGGAGAAGGTCATTTAAGGTCAAATCTAAAATCTAAAGTCAGATTTGATCTTTTGGAAACTTTTGAAAAGAACTGAAGTTAGTCTAAACAGTATTTGTTAAGTTATTGGAAGTCTTTATAATTTGTTACAGACGCCTGATGCCAACCACCAACCGAACAAATATTTTATGCAGAAGTTTGAATCAAATTGCATATTTTCAAACATGCAATTAAACCTTAATACATGTAAGTGTACTAGAAATAATATCTTACCGATGAACAATGTCCTATGTCTATTTTTTCTAGGCACATATATAACATTGGGGTGAGCTGTTTTATTAGTTCGAGATCTATACAGTGTGTCAGCAGTATGTGGTATTCTCATGGCATTATTTTTCATATCTCTCATAACTGGTCTTTTGCCCTCTTTTACATGCACCCTGAGTGTGATATTTTCAATAACAGGTTGAATTTTTATGACAGCAGCAGCACCCTTAGCAACACGAAACTCGATGACAGATATATCTCTAGCTTTGAATTCTGACATGATTGTTGTGTTAACTGTTGTGTTTCCTTGAGTTGTGATTGGTACAGTAAGAATGACTTTATCGAGATCAGGTTTATCTGGAAAATATATTTCATTTTTATTTTCTGTGCAACATCGTTAGGTTAAAGGAAAACACTGTACATGTAATAGGACATTTTAGAATTGTAGTCAATAATATAGAAATACCTTTTGTGGGCAGATGAATTGTTATATTCTCCGACAAGTTTTCCATTTTCATTACATTTCCTTTGGAATTTCTCATCTCAATTCCCATCAAGTCAGTGGTCACACTTTCAGCACTGGAGTGCCAGATATATGGATTCTCTTTCATCTGGTACATCTACAATAAACTTAATATTAGAAATGCATCGTTCATGATTATGTCAGCCAATATGCAGATATAGTATGCGCGTACCAAAAATTGTACCTAAAATAAGCAATACACTGAAGTGGCAGTTAATGGTATTAAATGATACTGCTTATAACACTCAAAATGTCTTCCAAAGTGACGTCAGGAATTTGCCCCACATATCCATGATACTGGTTACCTTAGTAACCATAATGTTGTTAATACTGATTCGATTGTCTTGAAGCTTTCATAGAATAAAGTCAGATATATGTACATTATGTTGTGAACGTTTCATGAAGGAAACACAGACAGACCAAGAGTTATAGCAAAATTAGCAATACTTATTGATCGCCCTGTAAAAGATGGTATTTTCCTGTAAACGCATAATTCAACTTTTTCCCATTTTTGAGTTGAACCATGGTACTAGCCTTGCCCAAGTCGGTATTTTTTTACTTATCTGATCTTGAATTATTACCGCCTTGTACAATCCAATACATCTCCGCTGATATTATGCTGAGATATTCAACAGTTTCGAGATTTCCATAATACCTACGCTATCAGGAGTATCGCGAAACCTTATTGATTGACCGATATACGCGTGGACACGACGTGTGACTTCAGGCTGATTGACTAATCAAAATGTTATCAGGTTGACCTGCGTAAGCAAAGCAATCTTCCTGTCTACGACTTGAAATTCAATGATCTGATCGATCGTTTCTTTAGAGTTACATGTAATTAAATGTACATAGGGAATGTAAGAGTCATTAATATAAATTAAATCATGCAATGGATTTAAAACTGCTGATTTCGCGATGAAAATGCAAGACCTAGTCCAATGTAGCAGGTCATGTAGTCGTCGATCAGTGATTGAATCTCAGCCCATGTTCATTTGAATTCAGCGATTGTTTCAACGTTTATTGTTGAAATCTTCTCACCTCCGGTTACTGATCGATGCTCCAGCAATGCATCCATCCACTAAACTCTGATTGACATTTATCTGATAAAATATTTGTATTTTCATGATGAATTCATGCAAGATTTGTTCGTGAAAAGTCCCGGCGAAAAGTGTACTTGTTTTTGACCGTGCATAATAATGAGCTAACGCTGCAGGGCCGTCGTTGATTGGTCAAATTTTACCGACATAAACATTGAGTCGGTAAAGCACGTGGCTTTCTCTTTGGTACAAGGCGGTCATAATAGAAATCAAGATAGTAAAAGAGACCGACTTGGGCAAGGCTACCATGGTACATGTACTTGGCAAATCAATATAACTTTTGATGAGCTTAAATTATGCATTAACAGGAAAATACCATCTTATAGATAATATATTTGTTGATTTTGGAAATACAGTTTTACATCAGAGTGAAACAAAGGTTCTTATAGCCAATAGCATCACTATTTACGAAACTGACACATCAAAATTTTCTTTGCTAGAAAAGTTCACATTTGATAGACATGTAAAACGAAACTACAGATTTAAAAAATGGTATCACATCGCAAATAGGAAATAGGTGCCAGGTGATTAAAAATGAAAAATTACCCAAATCTTGGATTTCATATAATATGTTGCATGTTTAAGTACAATAGGAATTTTTTTTTATTTAATTAAATGATAGAAAAATGTGATATGATATGATTTTAAGACATTATAAACTGAAATGCTGAAAAATATGAGCTTACATATAGCTGGTATACTTTATCAAAAATATCTGTACTGCTTGTTATGTCATTCTGCTCTAGCTTAAGTGCATCTGCACTTGGAAGTAGAATCGAGGCAGGACTGCTGCCCTCTGTTGTTGACCCAACCGACAGCTCATGATCACCTAGAAGAATGAAAATTGATAGTTTACAGTACATCTTTTACAATAAAGTCATAGGAAAGGCCTCTGTCTGTACAACAGTAGGTTCTTCAAAAACAAAATTGTTCTTGTGTTGTATTTAGCAAAAGACTCTGTATTACAGTCATACATGTACAGAGGGCCTCTGTCAGTAGAACAGTAGATTCTTCTACACTTTCACTGTTTTTGTGTTTTCCTAATCTACTCTACCACTAAGACTCTGGCTGACTCTGCATTACAGTCATAGAGAGGGCCTCTGTCTTTATAACAGTCGGTTCCCCTCTAACTACATTGTTCTTGTGTTGTACTCACCTAAAGACTCTGGCTGACTTTGCATTACAGTCATGGAAAGGGCCTCTGTCTCTATAACAGTTGGTTCTTCTCCAACTACCTTGTTCTTCAGGACAGCATCAGCCACATCTTTTAATACATTCATTGTTGCATCTGTGATTTCCTTTGCCTAAAATCAAAATGAACATCACTCAAATATTTGTACATGAATTGTATTTCATGGTAGAATTCAGCACTCAGTGACAGATCGAAATACATACCTGATTATTGACCTGTTCATTTGTCCTCATGTCCTGCAGATGTGGTTTAGAGCTGTTCTTTTTGCCAGTTTGATATTGAGTCGCCTCAATTGTCGCCCCCATAACATTGCTAGCCCCAGACAGAAGAAGACTAGAACACAATGTAAACTCTCCATTCAATACATTTCAGTGATGCTATTTTGGTGTTTCATGAACCCTGTGTAACAGTGAATGAAAATTGACTATATATTGGGCCAAGCTATTTAATGTAATTATTTCCTTCACTGAAATCTTTGCTCCCCTTAATTAACAACATTTTGTAACAACATTTTTATATGTCTTTGTTGCATCAATATTAGTATCACTAATACCTTCAGTTTTGACCCGACAGATTAAGTAAAATGGAACATAAACAAAGATGGTTACAACAAATGATCCCACATATTATTGGCTGTCTTACACAACAAATATGTTAGGATGCTTTGAAAGTATATTCCATCCAATTGAATATAAATTTGATACATATTTTAAATATATGCGATGCTCTTCATCCTTCATTATGGGCTCTATGTATTTTTGTGTCAGGTGAGGTGACAAAACCAAATAGTTTTATGACAAAACCGAATGACATTGTGTCACTTTTGTTCATGCAACTTATGTGCGGTAACCCACACAAGATTTAATTCCAAAAATTGAAAATAACATGACCTATATTGATAACAAGTAATTCGATCAAATCAGGCCTTACCAACCACTTTCTGTTTTCTAAAACAGAAAATATTCAATCATTTACCAACAACCAACACGAAATGATGACTTCAACAACAGATAAGTAGTCTAGAAGTAAACAGCTGACTACACATCTGAGGCCTGGGTATACAGCAATTAAAGCTACAAACTCAGTATACAGGGGTCCTGTATTAATAAACATTAAAAATACTGGGCCCCAGCTTCACATCACAACAAAATACACATTGTCCATATTACCTCAGGCCCAGGATTTGCCAAGAACTTTTTTAAATCCAGGGGGGTTCATATTGGACAATTGTTGCCTAAAGTCTTGCAAAATGTTAAGGGTTAAATTATTGTTTTAAATTCTATCAATGTTAAAGTACATGTATATCTGGTTTAAATGGGCTTATTAGCCTTTTGAGATACCGAATGGTTTTATGTGACACTTACATATTAGCACAACACTACCTAATGATAATGACACATGAATACAAAACCTATTACCTTAATATAACATGACATCATTGATGCTGTAAAATCCGAATAAGAATGAAGACATGCAAGTCCACTGTCCGCAGTATTTTGTATTCAAAATTATATAATAATAAAATGCAATAATAAAAAGTCTTCTTACTGAAATTTTCAAAATGTTTTAACAGAATGGAATGTCAAATGTCTATTATTGAATACCGAAGTGTAAAAATCGAATGAAGATGCCTTTTTTAAGCGATTACTCCTTGTGTTCATTCTTTTATGAGTACCATATCTTCAAGTAATGCTGATGTATTATGAGTATTCATTTTCATGTTATGTGTTGCTATCAATTGAGTTTAGGGGAGGCATCAAAAGTTCAATGTCGGATAGAAAACTAAATAAATCTAGTTAGGGGGAGGGAGTTCAAACCCATTTCAGTTTGCTATCCGACAAATTTCAACATTTCAAAGTTTTGACTCAGAATGCCTTGGAATGGTTTAAAAATAGAGATTTTACCTGATGCTTTCTTCGTCAAGATCATTTCAATGGATTTTATACTATCAATAGTTGTTAAAAGCTGCAAATTACAATAGGAATTAACAAAAACTAGATCGTGTTTAGCAATAATTTTTCAAATTCTCAAACTGGAAGTCAGCGATCAACTTTCATAGTATTTAGTTTTGGGGGGAGGGGGGGGGGGGTCAGAGTCAAAACTAGATTTATTTAGTTTCTGATCCAACATTGAACTTTTGATGCCTCCCCTTATTTATGTGGATTTATACACTTTTTGCCTTTACCACATCCACAAAACTCAACACATTTTATGTCCATTCCTCTGCAGGTGCATGTCTTGGAACTCATGCAGGATGTTTTGCATGGGGTAGATCATCAGGCCTGCATGGAACTGGTAGTATTAGTAATACCATCATCTGTTGCTTTATTATAGCCATACTGGCATGGATCTGGTGTGATGACTGCAGGAATTGGAGCTTATTTACCACATCTGTGGAAGATGAGATTGACAAAGACATCTGTGTCAGGTGAGTCAACTAAGACTGATGGAGCCCTATGATTCACAACACCATCATTAATATAGAAAATGATTCTATCATCAGCTTCTTCTTGATTGCTTGAAAGCTCTACAATCTGTGTATCATCGCAGCTTTCAGTTTTCTACATTCATCCAATGAGCAATTTTCTGGGGCATTGTGAGGTTTTGATATGCCTGGTATTTGGTCCTGTATGATTGACTCACTGGGTTGCTTAAAGGGGGGCCAGTGAAATAACTTAGACTGAGCCAGCCACTATAGCTTATTAGCAGAGCCAAGGTTACCACTATCGCATGGTCCCTGGTTCCATTTTTGGTTCAGACAAATTTGTTTGTACATTATTTAATTCAGAGTTTTTGACTAAGTGGTCCACAACTCGTATACACAATTGTGGTGTGTACATGTTTATCTATGTATCGTTTAACAAAAACAGAACACAGGGCTCCTCCAAGGAGTCTGATTTCTGGCTGTTTTTGAGTCTAAAATACCTAAAATGTGGAATACTTGTTTTTGGTAGTACAAGGACAATTACTAGCTTAATGCATTAAATAAGCTACACAGTGAACCTCTTCAGCGAAATGTGAAAAATACTGTATACTAATGAGGTATTGCTCCCAAATATGGCAGTAATCAGAATACACTACAATAGGATGGGACATTGAAAAATAACAAGATAACTCTTAATTAATTGGAACAATAATTGATAAATTATAAGCAGGCAGAAGAATAACAAGACACACAGTGATAAATATCGCACTTTGAAGAGCAAACTGGCCACCATGCAATTTACCCAGCATGGCCAAAACCTAATCAGACCTTGGCACTAGTCTGCTCTTGCATCTGTAAACATTTCAAGTTGACAAGGTAAGTGGTTTTCCTGCAATTTTGATGACAAGAATTTATTTGTAGTCTTGAACTTTGGGAAAATTTAGATAAAATTGTTTGTGACCTAATTTGATGACCTTCGACCTTGAAAATTTCACTTTTTCAGACCTCAGTAGGTGTTTTGTAATTAAGCTGACCTAAATTTAAATCCAAAATATCAATTTAGAAAATCAAATTTTTGACCTTTTCAAGGTCACTGAAGGTCAACGAAAGGTCAAATCTGAAATCTAAGGTCAGATTTGAACTTCTGAGAACTTGTAGATGTTTTTAAAAAAAAAATTTGGTCAATTTGGAGCAAGTTGAAAAATTCAAAATGGACGCCAATTTGAAAAATTCAAAATGGCCACCATGTAATTCAGCCAGCATGCCCAAAACCTAATCAGATCTTGGCATTAGTCTGCTCTTGCATCTGTAAAAATTTCAAGTTGAACGGATAAGTGGCTTTCCTGGAATTTTGATGACAAGATTTGTTGAAAAATTCAAAATGGCCGCCACGTAGTTTACCCAGCATGCCCTAAACCTAATCAGATCTTGGCACTAGTCTGCTATTGCATGTGTAAAAACTTCAAGTTGAACAGGTTAGCGGTTTTCTTGGAATTTTGATGACAAGAATTGATTTGTAGTCTCAAACTTTGAGAAACTTGGATAACATCATTTGTGACCTAGTTTAATGACCTTGACCTTCGACCTTGAAAATTTAACTTTTTCAGACCTCAGTAGGTGTTTTGTAATTAAGCTGACCTAAATTTAAATCCAAAATATCAATTTAGAAAATCAACTTTTTTGACCTTTTCAAGGTCACTGAAGGTGAATGAAAGGTCAAATCTAAAATCTAAGGTCAGATTCGAACTTCTGAGAACTTGTAGATGTTTTTTAAAAAAAAATTTGGTCAATTTGGAGCAAGTTGAAAAATTCAAAATGGCCGCCAAATTGAAAAATTCAAAATGGCCACCATGTAATTCAGCCAGCATACCCAAAACCTAATCAGATCTTGGCAATAGTCTGCTCTTGCATCTGTAAAAATTTCAAGTTGAACGGATAAGTGGTTTTCCTGGAATTTTGATGACAAGATTTGTTGAAAAATTCAAAATGGCCGCCACGTAGTTTACCCAGCATGCCCTTAACCTAATCAGATCTTGGTACTAGTCTGCTCTTGCATCTGTAAAAATTTCAAGTTGAACAGGTAAGCAGTTATCCTGGAAATTTGATGACAAGATTTGGTTTATGTCCCGCCCGCCCGCACGCCCGCCCGCACGACCGCACGCCCGCCCGCCCGCCCAACAGCACAAGACGACAACAATATAGCACTTTTTCAAAGTGCGATAAAAACTTATTATACAAACCTTGAAATGAAATGACATAATCAGTTTTTTTCAGAACTGATAATTTATTTCAATCTTGCAAAAACATTCATCCAAATGGATGCTGTTTGACATTCAATTCTATGGTTTTTCCTTCCCAAAAAATGAAATTTCTAAAACAACATGATGGCTTAAATAACAGTTGAACCAAACATTTGTAATCTACGTCTGTATAGTCTACCTTGCGATGTCTTCAATGAGCTCAGAGCTGACATCTACTTCATCCTCCATCTTAGACACTAGTGTCCTACTCATGTCTTCAAATGCATGAGATGCTGTGGACTGGACATACGCATAATATGTTAATCAATTTATAACAAAAAACATTTGTAATCTATGTCTGTAAAGTCTACCTTGCGATGTCTTCAATGAGCTCAGAGCTGACATCTACTTCATCCTCCATCTTAGACACTAGTGTCCTACTCATGTCTTCAAAAGCATGAGATGCTTTGGACTGGACATACGCATAATAATTAATCAAGTGTTATTTCTATGGAGTTTATATTAAAAGCTTGAAAGAGAGATTATTTGCTCATAAAGTTGCATGAGCAATATCTGAAACAACTGCCTTATAGATCACTGAACTATAAATAAAAAAAGACAGTGTGAAATATTTTTGTGAAAAAAGTTGGCAAGGATTTAATCTGAAATTTATTTTTGAATGAAAGAAAAACTAAATCTAGGTTGTTATCAATACCAATTATGACTATAAATTGTAACAAATGTGGTGAATATAGGTAAAGTGCAATGTGAGTTGTATACATGTATTATGTACCTTAGTAGAAGGTGCAAGTTCTGTGCTCTCAACTGTAATGCTATGCATGGCCCCTGCCTTCTGTTTTAGCACAGTTATGTCATCAACATCTACGCTTGTGTTGGCTAGTGATGTCACAATAGAATCGCGTATCTTAAGATACAAATGGCACAAATATTAAATAATAGAGAGATTTCGCACATAAGTGAAAGTAAAACTTATACGTATACGTATAGTTTAAAGGGTCATGTCGAACTATTATATTTACTAAAATCAATCTTAAATTGTACTTAATGGAACATAACTATTCCTGTATAACAGTTGGATCTCCGTATAAAGATTTGCCTACTTGTGTGTGGAACAATTGACCGCAAGCATTTTTTGAAATTAATTGGCTGAGTGGGAACAGTATCCAATCAAATACTTTAACCATCAATTTGAAACACCAATCATTACCAGTAGGTTCTAGCAATTCCTGGAAACAGTAAATTCAGTAGCTCAACATAGGACATACAGGGTGTTTCATAACGAGCATCTCCAAAAAGTCAATTTGAGAAGAGATGGGTCTATAACATATGTACTATATATGAGCCTATTTTATTCTAGACAAAGACATTTGGATCAACTAAACATGCTACAATTCAAGAAAGTACAAATGGCATCCCTTTGACCTGTATTTATTACAGTCCGAGAAGATCTTTCCTGACGAAAAGCCCACATTATGAAACACCTTGTACGTTTACCTATAAGTATAAGTATACGTTATAAGTTGTACTTTCACTATGTGCGAAATCTCTCTAATGTCAATTTAATTTTGATTCATTTAGTTTTCAAGTATCACCACTCATTTTGACATATTTGACAACTTCAGATGTAAGAAATGGAGTAAATGTAAAAATTGAAGAAAATGTATAAATTGTATGGATCTATTAATAAAAAAAATAGCATTACAACATATAATTCCTACCAGACTTCTTTGCTCCAACATGGCCATTGTTTCATTGTAAGTAACGTTTGTATTTGTGGTGTTCTCATGTGACTCCATGTTTAATATGGCTGATACTGTGAATACAAGTTGGCTGGCAGCTGAAAGCAAGTAAACTAAAGTGCATTCAATTGAGTGTGATGAGGCCACTTGATGTAGGCATTTATGCCTCATGCCCATTCTGCATTCAATTGGGTGTGATGAGGCCACTTGATGTAGGCATTTAGGCCTCATGCCCATTGATGAACTTGATTGAACAAGATCTTGTGGACATAAAGACAGACATACCTAGGCTAAAAAGCAGTTCTCTTATTAAGTGGGAAATCTTAAAGTAAACAGTCCGCGTGTTTCAATTGAATCAAACATGGTTCATTTAAAATAATTATTTTAAAAATAAGATATTTTTGAGGGTATTCGTTTGATTTTTTGATATTTCTTTCAACGACTCAAACTTTCCTTTGTATAACTACAATATTGAGAGATCTAGGTACATTGTGTATATGTCTCTTATAAATATTAATTACATGCCATTCTGCACGATCACAGGGCATGTATTTGGGAAAATCAAAGATGGAAAATGGCAGCCATTTTTCATTGAGAGGACATATTGCACATTCCTTATCAAAGGAACAGAGCCAATCTCTAACAGTACCGTACTGCCTTTTGGCACAGGATTCGGAGTGAATTCATTTTAATAATGAATGTCAGTTCTCTTATTTTGTCATTTTCAGATTTTGTCTGCAGAAAAGAACAGAAAACCTTTTTTATTTGAGATGATGAAGTATTTCCTTTATTGGGGCGCAATCCATTCAAAGATGTTACACAAAAAGTTTTGAGACTATAACAAAATGTCATACCTTGAGTGTCACCAGAATGTAGAAGGTTGTCTAACTTGCTTTCCTGATTGTGTGTTGTAACAGTAAGATTTGTCAATGTCTCCACTAATTCATTTGTACTATCTGCTGTTTCTGGGTACACAAAAGACTGCATATGGGAAGGGTACACCTGTAGAATATTGATCTCATATATAAATTCAATTATATTATGTACAGGGTGGGCCAGAAGACATCCATATTCTTAATTTAATATTTTTAAACAAGTGTTTTCACTCGAGATGTGCAAGTACAAACTGGGTACTACCTGTAGACTAACAACTTCCGTAGTTGTAGCTTGAAGATAATCAGTCACGTCAATATGTATCTCAACTGTATAGTTGCTTTCACTATCTCCAGGGCCAAGCTGTACCCCAAGTAACTCTGGCTTATCTGTATAAGCCAGCAATGATCCTAAAAATTAGGTTAATACATCAAAATGAAGAAGTCTTTAAAACTTTTGAATAAGATTATAGCATACAGAACTTGGTGTGTCTTGGAATGATATCACATTTTGTCATTTAGTCAAAACAGAAGAATCAGATAAAAGTTGAAAACACAAGTCTAGTGGCAACCAATCATTTCATATTTACATCCTAGCCCTGGCGAAAAGTATCTCCAGTTTGACTTTTTCTGATACTATTGTTTTATTGTCATTTCCAAGGAAATGCTTTTAAGGATACTTTTTTTCACTTTATCAAAGTCTAGGGAAAAGGAGCTCTTGTTAAACGTTACCTTTTGAGATATTACTTGGTATTTTCCTTGGTAATGCAATACAATGTACATATACAGGGTGTTCAAAAAGTAACAGGACAGGTGCTGGCATTTTATTAAATATGCACCAATCGTCTTCAAAATTTTACATAATGTACTTTCATGTATCTTTAATATGACTGCAAAGTTTCGACAAAATATATGAGAATCAGGTAGAGTTATGATTGCTATAGTAACATGACATCGCAATACCCGGAGCAATATTCCACGCAAAAAGTTACAGAGACATTTTGTACATCCCATATCATTTTGTACATGCCATATCAAAGTTGAAATGCAATAACTGGTTGGAACTACATTTGTTTACATCATTTGATATTCCTATGTATCCTCTACTTTGAAAAATAGGCTCCTCTTCGGTCAGTACAAGAGTAATACTCTTGTATTCATGACCAAAACACATGAGTGAACCCATTTGAGGACATGTCACGCAGGGTCGAATGGACAATTTGGAGAAGGTCATTCTCATCTTTAAAGGTCTTACAGCTTTGATTAGCATTCTGTTTTCAATATAAGAAAAAATTAGATATTGCATGATCAGAAGAGTATGGTGCATGGTTTTAGACCTCAAGACCTAGCTCCTCCATAGCTGCATGGTCTTTAATGGTGACCTGCGGGCAGGTGCCCTATTAAGATGGATGACTGGCTTCAAATTGGGTCGTTCAGACTGTTATACATAGTGATATTCCAGGAAATTGAATAAATATTATTCTTATTATGAAATTATACTTGAATCTGAGTTGTATAGCAACATCTTTACAACAAAGCAACTAATAAAATAAACAAGAAATGTTGTATCATAATAGGTGAATTAGATACTTTCTTCAGTTATACAAAAACAAAAATGTTATAGATATCACATTTTCAGGAAAAAGGTTGCCCCGAGTATTGGGATGTCATGATACTATAGTAACCATAACTGTAACCGCATTTCATCATTTTTTCTGGAACTTAAGAATTTTGCAAAACTTCAAAGTACAATTTGTTAAAATTTGAAGACACTCAGTGCAAAATTGACAAAATGCCAGCACTAGTCCTGTTACTTTTGGAACACCCTGTATATAATCTAGGAGATATGTGACTGACTTAAGTGTTAAAATGAAAATGAATCACTTTTAATATAAGCACCCGTCATGAGGATTTGTTGATTTCTTAGTAACCTATGGGGATGTGTTGTCAAGTGCACCAATGACACCTTTGTAAAAATGTTTCTTGGGACACTCTGAAACAGAGTCCTCCTGAGCAGCTAATTCTGGCATTAAATGCATTTCTGAGTGAGTCGAATGGCACAATGGCACAGCCATGCCCAATATTTTGTATCAGTAGCTGGTGAACATGATATAATATTAATAAAATGTGTAAAGTCTTTCTTACAAGCTATAACACATCAATTTATGACAACTGAATTCAGAGATATGTTGTTCTTTGATTGATTAGTTGTATTTTTATCACTGAGCGCTCCAGAATAACCGAATAACTGAAAAATATAGTCTATTTTGCTTTATGTGAACTGTTTTCTAACAAGGCTCGCAAAAGAAACTTCAATTCCCCTTATTAAAGAAAAGGCTGGCCTTATACCAGCCCAACTAAGCAGACTTTTAATTGCTAGCAACGTTTTTAGCGTTGGGGTTTAATTATTTCAGGAGTAGTAAATATGCTGTCATTTTTACTTATATTTATCCAGTGTTGTAAAAGTTATTTATTATTTTATTCAAATGTGTAAATAAGTGTCCAATGAAGCATCACTATAATATTTTTTCAATCACTGACTTGAACTTGCCTGTCGAATCTTCCACCTTCACATAGTAGAATTCATATGTTAACGGGACATCCTCATCTTCAAAATTATCGCAATAAATGTCAAACTCATCAAATAGAGTAACTCCAATAGATGGCGACACAATACAAGACCTATATGGAGCTATAGGTGGCGTATTAGTTCTAAACAAAAAAGAGGCAAATCCAGAATCCACACCAGCTCCACTTTTCTTGACACCTAAATTGATGAGAAGACATGTAGTTATTAATGCCACATTTTTTGAGGTAAACCTCCTTTCCAGTAATAAATTAATACATATTATGGATATATGAAGCAAATTTAAGACAAAGAAACCTGAATTACTGCTTATGCATCAGTACTTATAAAGCTACCTGTACATCTTAACCTGTGACTTGGAGTATAAAGCTACATGTGAACTTGTGACATACATGTACAGTAGAAAGCTGCATGTATGACATGTCACAGGTAAACATGTACCCGTGGCATGACATATAAAAATACATGTTTACCATTGACATGGAGAATAAAGCTACACCCTTTTTGGAAGACTCTTGGTCTGAAGCTCACTGCTTGGCCAAACTGTCCTGTGAAACTCATAGATGCCCAGTCTACAAGAAAAAGAATGTTGTCAGTCTCTATATCTTGATAATCATGGATTTTGAATTCATGTGCAAAAGAAGGGCTTGGGCAAATCATATGCCACTGAACATCCACTTGGGATAACAGGTGTCAAATTTTTCTAATACCTCATTAAACAGTGGGTGATAATTCTTAGACGAGAACACAAATGTGTACAAAATGTCCCAACCTTTGGGTGATCCCGTCAAATGGTTATCCTAAAAATGAGTAGACAAGACTTTACAGACACAATTTGAGGACGGAAAATCCAAAATGGCCACCTTAAAATTTACCCAGAATGCCAAAAATAAGTCAGTTCTAGATTTTCATACTAAGAACCACCCCTGAAAATTTGAAATTGATCCGTCACACAGTTAACCAGAAAACATGTAAACAAAACTCTATAGACAAGATTTGAGGACAGAAAATCCAAAATGGCTGCCTTGATATTGATCCAGAATGCCAAAAAACTAATCTGTTCTAGATTTTCATACTAAGAATCATCCCTGAAAATTTGAAATTGATCTGTTCTGGAAATGCGTAGAAAATACTTTACAGACAAGATTTGAGGACGGAAAATCCAAAATGGCTGCCTTGACATTTACTCAGAATGCCCAAAAACTAATCAGATCTATATTTTCATACTAAGAATCATCCCTGAAAATTTGAAATTGATCCACCAAACGGTTCACCTGAAAACGTGAGACAAGACTTTACAGACAAGATTTTAGGACGGAAAATCCAAAATGACTGCCTTGACATTTACCAAGAATGCCCAAAAACTAATCAGATCTAGATTTTCATACTAAGAATCATCCCTGAAAATTTGAAATTGATCTACCAAATGGTTCACCTGAAAACGCTTAGACAAGACTTTACTGACAAGATTTTAGTACGGAAAAATCCAAAATGGCCGACAATAAACACAAATGTGTACAAAATGTCCCAACCTTTGGGTGATCCCGTCAAATGGTTATCCTAAAAATGAGTAGACAAGACTTTACAGACACAATTTGAGGACGGAAAATCCAAAATGGCCACCTTAAAATTTACCCAGAATGCCAAAAATAAGTCAGTTCTAGATTTTCATACTAAGAACCACCCCTGAAAATTTGAAATTGATCCGTCACACAGTTAACCAGAAAACATGTAAACAAAACTCTATAGACAAGATTTGAGGACAGAAAATCCAAAATGGCTGCCTTGACATTTATCCAGAATGCCAAAAAACTAATCTGTTCTAGATTTTCATACTAAGAATCATCCCTGAAAATTTGAAATTGATCTGTTCTGGAAATGCGTAGAAAATACTTTACAGACAAGATTTGAGGACGGAAAATCCAAAATGGCTGCCTTGACATTTACTCAGAATGCCCAAAAACTAATCAGATCTATATTTTCATACTAAGAATCATCCCTGAAAATTTGAAATTGATCCATCAAACGGTTCACCTGAAAACGTGAGACAAGACTTTACAGACAAGATTTTAGGACGGAAAATCCAAAATGACTGCCTTGACATTTACCAAGAATGCCCAAAAACTAATCAGATCTAGATTTTCATACTAAGAATCATCCCTGAAAATTTGAAATTGATCTACCAAATGGTTCACCTCAAAACGCTTAGACAAGACTTTACTGACAAGATTTTAGTACGGAAAAATCCAAAATGGCCGACAATAAAAAAGTGATCATAAGTTTTTGCTGATTTATTTTTTAAAAATTATCACATATAACTACTGTTAACAATAACATAGGCTTTTACAACAAAGTACACCTGAAATTATTTATAAAGCTACTAAATAGTTAAAGTATGAAAACTGAAAAACACCATTCAATATGATACAAAGTATTATTGTGCGCTAACTTTTATTCAAACATTCAAAATGGCTGACATGACTGAGCTAACAGGTCCAAAACATAATCAGATCTAGAATGAAGTGAGCTGAACAAGATGTTAAAGTTTTAAAAGCAACTGTGAAGCCGTTTTTCTTAAAGTTTGCAGACAAGGATTTTAGCATTTGACTTCAAAATGGCCGACAGGAAGTAGGTATCGAGCTAATTTTTTTTCATCCACATCTATATGCACTCATAAGTTATCCCTGAAAATTTGAAGGTGATATCTGTAGCAGTTTTGGAGAAAACTGCCGGACGCACGGACAGACGGACAGACAGACGGACGGATGCGCCTAGGCCGACAATATGGCCCCACACTATGTGGTGGGGACATAAAAAAGGAGGAGCAAGCATGTTAATCTACAAACTGTTTCCCATCACCATCTATTCAAAATATAATATGAATTTGATGCATAAAATGATGGAATGATAGAAGGAATTAGTACAGCAAACACTTATAAACACTCAAAGCATCTAAAGGTACCCTTTAGTACATCTCACGAGAAATCACAATAGCTTAGGAGTTAACTTTCAGTTGATAACTTTGTGCAATAAACTTTAGCTTCTTGTATAATTTTAACCAAATCATATTCAAGGTCTCTTTAACAGGGATGTGGATGAATGGGATATTTTGTGTTTTAATTGTCTTTACACATGGATGGTACAGGACAAGCTTCATATTTGGAGTGGAATGATAAATGAGAAACACGAAAACAATAAGTGAATTGACAGACTATACATACCGTGATGTACATGATATATAATATCTTCAATAACTTCAATTAAAATCAAAATCTTTGAGTACACTGTAGGTTCTTAACATACCCATTGTGAATTCACAATCAACAGAAATTATGGACCAATCAAAGTTAAGATCACTTTGTCTTTGGCAGTTTGTACAGTGGGCTGCCATGGAGAGTTTGCTGTTAGGAGTCACCTTGTAGTTGCAATTCTGAAGGCACCTGAAAATTATGGAGATGATAGAAACATAGAGGGTGGGTAAATATGACACTATGTATCATTCTCAAAAGTATTTACAATCAAACAGAAAAACCATGTGTCATATACAATAAAAATATAGCAGAGGAATTCAATTAACATAATAATATGTGAATTATCTTTAATGATTTAGAAATTATTGGTTCACAAACAAAGCATTTACATGACAAAATGTCACCACCACTTAGTTGCTCACAATATTATGAGTTCAATCAGATTTAAACTTCTGAGAACTGGCAGATTATTTTGAAAAAAGATCAATTTGAAGCAAGTTAAAAAAATACCTTTTTGACCTTTCTTGACTTGAGAAGGTCATTGAAGGTCAAATCTAAAGTCAAATTTGAGCTTCCGAGAACTTGTAAATGATTTGGGAAACAATTGGTAAATTTGAAGCAAGTTGAAAAAAGACCTTTTTGACTTTCTTTGATCTTGAGAAGGTCACTGATGGTCAGATCTCAGATCGAAAGTTAGATTTGAACTTCTGAGAACTTGTAGATGCTTTTGAAAAAATTGTAGTCCGTCTAAGTTATTGGAACTTGTAAGAATTTGTTACAGACACCAACTGCCAACCGCCACAAGTCAACCAATGTAAGAAAAAAACGGAGACCATAACAATATGTCACCACTTTTTGGTGGTGACATAAATCATTTAAAAAATGCACAGATAAATTCAATTTTTATACTCCTTTATTGATATGACACTTGGTTCATATTTTTTGCTCTTTCAAAGTGAGGATATGTGAGTGTCCTATTTTATTTGCCCGCCCTGTATATATTTCAAGCTATTGCTATATTACAATAAATTCTTTGTGTCACTTTAAGTGAAAAGGATAATCTTATATTATCTGCTATTTGCTTCTAACCACAGTCAGCACTATCAATGGTAGATCTACCTTTAGTAATATAAGAGAAAAGTCTGAAAAGTCTTTGTCACAATATTTACCGATCCATCCACTCCTTCCAATACGCATGCGCAGCCTGATGTCAAAAATAAGGCCGTGACTGGAGAGCCTAAAATTTTAGGCTCTTTAGCACTTTGGTAACCAATTTGGCTAAAGAGCCTTAAATTTTAAGGCTCTTTAGCATTTTGATTGCCAATTTTGCTAGGGAGCCAGCCTTAGAGGAATTCTAAGCGACGGAAATGACAAAATATTGCTTCTGGGACAAGATCAAACGACTTGGACATATTTTTTCCCAACCTATTTTGTAATTTAACAATCAACACAAATTAACATACTATATTTAAGCAGATACCGAAGATATTCATAAAAATATATTTTTTGATCGATAAACTCACCGATTATTAAACCGGAAGTGTCTTCTCTGAGGTCCGCGAAGAAAACGTTACGTTCCCAGCTCCGGTTACGTTCCTAAGTAATATTTTTAAAACTTTTTTTTTAATTAAACAAATCAGAGTCGTGTGAATCAGAAATAACAGAATTATTCAAAAGTATAACGACTATTCTGTACTTTTTTCAAAAGTCTATACTAAAATGTTGTGAAAAGTTATAATCGAAAAACCATCTTTTGGAGTAAAGTCCGTCTGCGCCGATTTCAATAACTTCGTACTTGATCAGAACTGGGTTCCAACAGAATTCCTACAAACTCATAAATGAAATAGCCATTGCATGGAATACTTACTTTTGTCAAAATCAAAGTAGAACTCTAGTTAAAAAATATATTGTGCAAAATTATTGCCATTTCTTAGTAAAATGTCGGTCTCCGGTACGTTGCCAAAATTATTCGATGGTACCCCGTGAAAACATACAAAGATTTTAGTCATTTCAATTTTGCCGTGGATTTGATTTTAAATGCTTCTAAATGATCTTCGAATGCTTACTTTGACTTCCTATAAGAACTGTTTTGACTTCCCAACTTCATAACAAGAACATTATCACTTTTTACTTGACTCGTAAATTTACTTCCGGTCTACCGAAAAAAATAAAAGTTCTTAGAACCTTTTCAATCCTCAGTCTAAAATTGGCTTTTTAAAGGTTCAATAACCTTCGTGGTGCTGCTACTTGGAGCAGTCATATACTTGTTCAATTTGACTAATCAGTTAAGATGTTGATGTTTAAAATAGGCCCTTTGGAGAATGGTGTTTGCTGTCCAGCATAAACTTCTAAACATGAACCCCAGGAAAGCAACTGGGGAAGACAGGATCCCCCCAAAATCATCAAAATTGGAGCTGACATTCTTGCCCATACACTTACACCCATTGTAAACAAATCATTGGTGACTTCAAAATTTCCTTCTGGCATGAAGCCAGCTGAAGTTTCTCCCATTTATAAAAAGAAGGACGATCTAGCTAAAGGTAACTACAGACCTGTGAGTATCCTGAACTGCTTATCTAAAGTTCAGGAAGGTATTATTTTTGATCAACTTACCTGTTATTTTGATAATATTTTATCGCCACTACTTAGTGCTTTCAGGAAGGGGTATAGCTGCCAGTCTGTATTACTAAAATTAATCGAAGACTGGAAGCTTGCCCTTGATAATAACAAAGTGGTAGGTACAGTGTTAATGGACCTGTCAAAAGCGTTTGACTGTTTACCGCATGATATTTTGATAGCCAAACTCACCGCCTATGGAGTTAGCGACTCAGCTACTTCTCTCTTGAAAAGTTACCTCTCTGACAGGCCACAGAGAGTAAAAATTTCAAATTCAACTAGCTCATGGCAAACCATAGTGAAAGGCATCCCTCAGGGAAGTATTCTTGGTCCCTGTCTCTTCAACATCTTTATAAATGACATATTTCTAGCCTTGAAGAACTGTAATTTATATAACTATTGTTGGGTTTTTCTAAGTTATGCCAGGTTTCAATTCTTACCCAAAGATGGCAGCATAGCTGTCCATCAAGACTTAACAGAATCATTGAAGCCAAAAGCCATAACTCTGTTCTTTTCACTCATCATATAGGCAACACTTAGTCATTTCTCATAACCAGACTAGCTCGACTCTGTTATTTTCACGAGCCTGTATCTCAATACTTAAACATTTTGCATCAAACCAAAGGGGCTGGACTTTTTCAACTGACTTAGACAATTTTAATAATTCATACAGTTGGACTTAACCATTTTCAGTGATATTTCAGTGAGAACTTAGAATAATTTGGTCATTAAGTTTCATTGGCACTTTGCCAAATTGGTCATTGGCAGGTTGCCAATTGTGGTTTGGCAACATGCCAATAGTAGTACTATATAAGAGGCTTCGAAACCTCACCCTGGCAGTTTACTATTGGGTCTTTTACCGTCAGTACAGTAGCTCAGTAATGTACAGCTTGTAAATAGATAGTATAGTTGGACGTATAATAAAGTATCGTATGTTACTCTGAACTCTGAAGTTTGTCGTATCATATTGGCGTCATCGTTTCATAGAGACCCAACACTATGCTGATGATAACACAATCTCTGTGATTGGTGAAAACAAATAATCAGTTCTTCAAGACCTAAATCACAGTCTTCTCTTGCCATCAACTGGTTTAATCAAAATAAAATGCTGGCAAACCCTGATAAATTTCAGGCTATGGTGTTACAACGTTCAAGGATTAACTCCAATTTCCTCCCAGATACTCTAACTTTTGGCAATTCTTCAATTCATACAGAGCAATCTGTGAAGGACTTTGGAGTAACCCTTGATAACAAGCTCACTTTTAACGATCATATTAAAGAATTATGCATTAAGGCAGCACGTCAAATCAACGCCCTTAAGCGGCTCTCAAAATTAGACATGAAAAGTCACATGACAATATTTAAAGGGAATGCGAAGTTTTGTCCCTTAAACTTGATAATAAGTTAGAATAAAGATATATCTTTCAATCTAACTTAGTTTTATTGTTCTATCATTATCCTTTAAATTGTTATTGAGCCCCGGGTTTTGCATATGAACTGGACCACGGAGCTGCCATTTCAACCGTAAAGTGGTTCTTTACGACATTGTTATGACGTCATTGATGCCATATTGATGCCTTGGCATTTCAAAAGTTTTGTGGCGCCATATTTGAATCAAAAAATGAATGCCGAGTTATTGCCATTCCAAAACCAAAGAAATCATTCCAAAGGAACTAAAAGAATACGTATATACCACCCATAATAAAGAACGATTTCAATAGAATATTAACGCCGGCATTTTCGGAATTGCTTTTTACCTATCTAGACATGGAATGTCTGGAATGCACTGAGGTTAGATTTATTCTTTATTTACACTTGAAACAATCTGGAATTCGTGACTTTTTAACTTTTCTTAGGTCTAGCGCTAAATGCGAACAGAGAATGCTAATTCTATCGGGCGAATGCAAACTATTTGAATAAAACAATAAAATTAATTCAACCAACCCATCTTGAATCCAAGAATGCAATGGTTTAATTTGCTAGTCTCATTACAAAAATACGTGTTCGTACTTTAATATTCATTGCATTTATGTTTATCTTTAACACAGGTATTCAAAGAAATTAAAATTTTAAAATTAAATTTTAAAACCGTATTCAATTACTATCATGGATTCGTATTAGCCTCACGTCACATTTTTACGGGGACCGTACGGTCTATCATTCCTGTGGTAAGTAGGATTTCTACAGTTGCCTAAGTATTTCTGCAGTCAGATAATTTAGCAGTCACATTTGCTAAGATAGCCGTACGGCGTATCTTGATTATGAGGAAAAACTACGATTCCCGTACGGCTGATAAATGATGACGCACGATCAGCGTAGGGCGGCCCTACGACGTGCGTAGTTTTTCTTGAAGGCATCCACAAGGGTCTCTATGGTTCGGAAAGGTCAATTGTAACCTCCAAGCGCAGCCGCAAGTCGACCGTGAACCCGACGTAGGGCCGTCGTGAGACCTACGGTTTGGCTGCTGCTTGTTGATACCTATGGTGACCACAGGAAAGAAAAAGTTTTAATTCCGACTCTACGCCTTGTAAAAACTGGATATGTCGTGTACGTAGACAGCAAGGTGACCCCGCAGTAATTTACTGATTTCAGGGAAATACGATCGACGTGTGGTCGCATTGAACAAATGTGACTGAAGCTTTTAAAGTTCCACTTATTTTCCGATATAGAAAAACAAAAGGTTGTATGCCATTAAATTGAAAATCATTATTTCGAAAACACTGTAGAACTGTACTTACCACGGATGTTATATAATTAAATTCGAGCTCGAAATCAGGAATTGTTTTTAACAAAAAATAAATATATAATAAAATAAATATTAAACTATTTGCGTACTATCAATACGGCAATTGCCTTATCGTCGTTGAAATGAAATATCATACTACAATCGACCCCATCGTCTCCCCGCATCACTGAATGTTATGAGCCTTCTCTTGTCATGATCCAAGGTGAAATACCATTGAATTTTGAAAAGCTTTTTTTGTCATATCGAATGTCGCTACGGTGATATGATGATTGAAATTGGTCGTTTAACAACTGAGAAAAATTAAACATTACGTATTATTTTTTGAAAATATGACAGTGGCATGTCCTTGTAAAGCTATTGCGCATGCCAATCTTAATATTTAGGAGATTGACATTTACATACGTATCATTTAGACGACATCGAGTTTTCGTTTTTTTGTTTGCGTTTTTCATCAGAATTTAAATGGCTAAACACTTTAGGGAGTTACTGTTTCATTGGATTACTACTTTTTGTTTTATTTCTTTCATTCTCCAATATGCACCTATTCATGCACCTATACATATTTGAATAGAATACTACAGATTGAAGTAATCTACCATTTATGATTAGGTAAGAAAGCAATTGCGGCAGAATGCCTATTTGCCGACGTATACCTTGGGTTAATAATGATGTGCCGTAAATGCTCATCAGCGCATTAATGAACATTAGCATAGATTTCGATATTTTAAATGGTATGTCGTGTATTCGTATTAACATAAATATGGTAAATGCAACTATTTGTTGGATGCGTTCGGCCGATGATATAACTTACTTATTTTCACCACAAATACGCCAACACATTAGCCACATTAATCTTAGTTAAATAAATCCCCATTGATGCACAGTAATGCATTTATGTATAAATGCCATTTTGTATATTTTAATGCATTTACCTCATTCATTGGTTAAATATACAAGAAAACATTTACAGGATTTGAACAGATTTATCCTTTTTGACCCAGTGTTATCATTATATAAAATAATTCTAGTGGATATTTTTCAAGTGGAATATAATGCGATGACTTCCGAATCGCGCAGCCGATATCTCATAAGTTTAGTGATTTTTCTACCTAGCCTTTACTATATCACATTGATTGGAGAAAATAAATACAAACATTTGAAAAAATACATTGCAACAATTCAATTTCTATGAAGAATATATTGAAACAACCTTTCCAAATATATGAACATTGACATGAACATGCGGCAACAATGTTAAGCGGACAGAAATAGTTATAAAATATCAGTGAAATGTGTTCTATTTCTGCGATCCGAGTATGACGCGACATTTCCCAGGCATCAATTTTAAGGCATCAATGACGTCATTGATACATAACAATGGCGGCATCCGTAGCGATCCAGATATGGGTACTTTGAACTTAAATTATATGTAAGTTCAAACACGATATGTCCCATGAGTGAGCTGAAGTGATAGATGATGGTTATAAGTAGCCAGCGTGTAAATTAGAACATGAAACTTCGCATTCCCTTTAAGGCCTTTGTCTTGTCACACTTTAATTATTGCCCGATAGTATGGCACCACTGCGGCAAGACAAATACTCTTAAATTGGAAAAGCTCCAAGAAAGATGTCTCCGATTTCTCTGATGTCCCCTGGCTAATGTCCCTACATTCCAGATAAACTGCATCATGATGTGCTGTATCTTGAATATAACAAGATCCTTTTCTTCATCCCCAGGTCTCCTTCATACTTTTTGCCACCTTCAAATGGGATTCCCCATATTCTGTAAGCTTGTGAATATAGTAAGCCAATACACGTTTAATTTCACTCAACATGGATGGTTGAGCGTTGGAGAGAGCCCATGAATTTTAAAAAAAATATGTACATAATTTCCAGACCTCAGAGAACAAACTTCCAGTTTGTTGTTCATAATGAAAAAAATTGTACCAACGTGGAATCGAACCTGCGCTGTGGAAGTACTAGGCAAACGCCATAACCACGACACTAGAGTGTGTTTTTTGTAAAAACTATATTTCAATAATAAAACATATATAATTAATATAATTATACATTATACATAGGCCCAGTTACACTGTTTAATTTCTGTTCAGTTTTTCATTTTCAAAATATGCATGTATACTTCCAGTTTTGTCTCTATTGAAAATTTATATTGCCCTCCTGGCTATTAAAACTTCTCTTTCAATTCTTATACTTATTTATTCCCATAATTTGTTCAAAAGTGATATTATCAAAAAATTTCCATATATATAATTTTGTACACTCATAAAAATATGTTTAACATATTGTCAATTACATTATAATTCTCACAAAAAGAACTACCTTTAATTCTAAAACCATTCAAAATCTTATTACATGGATATATGTTGTGTAATGTTTTCCAGTGGATAATTAAGAGTTTGGTATCTACTTTGCACTTAAATGCTCTAAGCCAAGTTACACATAAAATATCCTTACCATTATACTGTAAAAACAATTTTTTTTATATGGACATATTTTTCCAAAATCTGATGTTTCATAAAATGTTATCTCTTTACCATTTAAATATACTAGAGTGGCTTGTACATGCATAAAATTTCAGGCGCTTTAGCCGAAGTCCTTAAGAACCTTAAAAGTTAGGCTCTCCAGTCACGGCCTTATTTTTAACATCGCTGCACATGCGTATTGGAGGAGTGGAGGGATCAGTTGTGAGTTTGGACCAACTTTTGCAAGTTTGACCAGGAAATCACCTTTCATTTGGTATGTTAGTAACATTTTTGATCGTAGTGGTATGTAAGAATCATATACATGTCGAGATATAAGCATAAATGTCACAGGTTGAAGGATAAATGGAAATATAATCACTTCAGTTAAAAATTCTGACAAAAAGCTTTCAGACTTTTCTCTTATACTAAAGGTAGTATACAATTGATAGTGCTGACTTTGCTTCTAACCCAAATACATGTACGTCACCAGGTAGGGAAACTGGTAACTAATAACCACAACAGCATAGTACCAAAGCTCCCAGTCACCAGAATTATGTACAAACTGTTTTGATATCATACTCACAAAAGATGAACATTTGGCTTCTCAGCAGAGACAACTACGATCATCTGAGTGAATGAGACTGGGTCTCTATTGGCTTTTCTGACTGTCAGAGTGAACAGGTACGGGTCATTCTCAATCAATGCACTGTTCGATACAGTGAAGTTAGCATCTACAACAGCATTTTTCATATTAACTTATATATATTTATACGAGGGTTGTCCAAAAAGTCTTAACATTTTTGCTTTAACTTTCTTGAATATACTTCAATTCAGCTAAAATTTGGTGTATACTGCAATTGAAGTGTTATCTATTACTTCCTATGTTTCAGCATCATACATTAATGTTAAGTCTTGAAATGGTTGCTATAGCAATGTAGGGGCAAGGGTGGGGTGGGCAGGTTCCAATTCTTCTTATCACGAAACGATCTTAAGTGGTGTTCTATTTATATTTCTTTACTCTAAATTATCAAAATCTTTGGGAAATCATTAAATTTATTCAACATGATGTTCACGAAATCCAAATAATTTAAGCATTAAGCACTTTGATGTTTAATTGCCACAATTCAATAGTCTCCAAATTCAAACTCAGTCATGGTCAAGAAATTGTAATTGAAATTATAAAATGGCTGCAATTCTCCAACCTGATCAGAAGTTCAGTTGCCATGTTTCATATTTTACTAAAGAGATTTAAAATTGATAACTGGACCCTAAATGACAATTCTAAACCAGGGAGGCCAAAAACTCCAAACCTGGGAGGCCCAAAAGTGATTCACGGTGGAAAAATTGCCTGGACTGGGTAAGAAGGCATCAAACGTGCAATTAAATCAAATCTGCTCATAGTACTTTACTTTAGTAAGTATAAACATATTTAAAGTATTGCGTGAATAGGATGTGGCCCTAAATTCAAAATTTTGGATTCCTTACTCTTGCAATGCTCATAAAAATAAAACAATACAGTGTAATTCCTTCAAAGTGAACAACAAATGTTCAAAGCTCATCCAGGTGAAATATGAGTCCAAAAGAATAAAAATTATAATATGAGAGCAAAAATGTCAAGACTTTGGACAACCCTCACAGGTTATAAGGTTCATATTATACAATACAATAAAACCTATATATCCTGAATACCTCCCATTGATTCTCATGTAAAAGAAACCTTCAAATGTGAACACCTCCCAATCTGAACAGTGAACAGTCAAAAAAGGAAAAAATGCCTGTCTAAATATGTGCAATTTTCATAAAATGTCATATGTTTCATAAAATATACTCAAATACATTTCACTAATCAGTTTTACAGATCGGGCAATTTAAAAATTTGGCTGCTATTTAATTTGGCAGATTCATCCATCTGTATAATATTTATATGGGAGGGCTAGCTAGGATTAGGAAGTCCCATGGCCAGGTTACTCTTGGGTGGCACAGGGAGCTTTCACCTCCACTTATGAGCTAAAATGTAAAAATGGGGCTGCAATCAAAATATCTAAAGAATTTTAAATGAGTGTTGAGGTCTTAAGTATTTTTTTCCAAAAATTGGTGAAGACTTCATTTGGTTTTTTTGTCAATCCATCAAATTTAAACGGCCGTCGAATTAAGAAATTCAAAGTATGTAACTTACTTTTTGATACATTGTAATTTTATGTAAATTTTAAAGCATATTACGTAACACCATTTAATTAATGCATAATACTATACTTTTGTAACTTATAATGTAATTCATTGTTTTAGAGTAGTTAGTGAAAATGTCTTTTTGATATCAGAATTGTCATTTCTCATTGTTTTTTTTGTCTCATTTTTCTCACTGTCTAAATATTCAGGTTTAACAAAAGCAGAAAAGTGTTTAAGACATTTTTGATTTTTATATCTTATTAAAATCAATTGTGCATAATAATGTAAATAACAATAAAAATGTGAGAAGAAACTGAAAAAATATTTCAAGATCACATTACAAAGACATGATGCTGAGATTTTACATTATACAGGGTGTCTCAGAACTCATGAGAATTTTTTGAGGGAGATATAAGGCATGAATGATTTTCCTTCAAATTAAGTGCACTTAATAAACAAACATTGAGGAATAACTGACATGAATTTCAGGCACATATCTTTCATATTTCCGAATTTATTGTCATTTGAATTCTACATCGCCAGAAACCCTGGAGTAGTCAGAGAAATACAACAATTTACGTCTCATTTTGATAATATTTACACAACTTTTCTACTCTAATAGCATTGTTTCCATTGAATTATTTCAGCGTTTCAGTACATTAGTTAATAGGATCATACACATTCAGCTAACGTATCTCTACAGAGTTATTATAGCATATTATCTGCAGTTGATGTCATCTTCCAGCTACTCTATACACATTCCCAAATCGTCCGATAGCCATTTCTGTAGGGTCCTCTGAAACAACATGACTCAATTCTTCCTCCGTTTCAGTGACATGGCTCACTTATCTTTGTTTAAGGTCCCAAAAGAAATCAAAAGTCTAGTAGAGCAAAATCTGGCAAGTATATGGACCTACTATATACTGTAAAGTCTCAATAGAAAGTAAATTGGATGCACTACTGACATGCATGTAGTGACTTATTCACTGGTGCATTGTCAATATGCAAGATCATATTGGCTAGCAAATGGAGACATATCTTTCAATCCCTCAGGAACATGTCATTGTGATCTTTCAGCAAACCAAATGTATAATCTGTTGATGTATTGGGTCTCTATCAAAGTTTATATATCGTTTTATCAAAGTGCATCATCAATATGAGAAAAATGCTGAACTAAGCTTATACAAAAAACTTGGTTTTATAGTTGAGAATTTGTATAAAATTGATAAAATGTGACATAATCTGTTGTATTTTCCCGATAACTCCGGGGTTTGTGGCGATGTAGAATTCAAATGTCAATAAATTCGGAAATATATGAGATATGTGCCTGAAATTCATGTCAGTCATTCCCCAAAGTGTGTTCAATAAGTATACCAAATTTGAGGAAAAATCACCAATGTCTTATATCGCCCTCAAAAAATTCTCATGAGTTCTGGGACACCCTGTACTTCAAGGAACTACTCCTCCAAGAATAGATTGCATTAATAATCTTTAAATAATTTTTGAGAATAGGGATGATTTCTGAGATTTAGTTATCACAGGGTAAGAAACTTCTGCATTTTCAGGCTTTCAGGATGTATAGAAAAAGTGTTCAAATTAAATTGCTTTACCTGTAAGTTGAATGGAGGTATCACTGGACCAAAGTATGCATGAACCATTAAGCGCCTCCTCTGTGCAGTTACTCAATCCAGGAAGCTCACAATTACCTTCATATTTGCTACACGACCATTCAAATCTGAAACATTTATCTAGGCTATATCATGGTGGTTCTTTTTCATGTATTTTTTTGCTTTTATAAAAGTGTGCATCTGAAATTCAAACAAATTAAAGTTACAAGAATAAAATCATCAACATTACAAATATAATTTCCACATATAATTTAAAACCAATACCAAATCATAAAATACCAAACGTACATAAATATTTACATTAGGGATCTTAGTTAGTTATGCACTCACTTCATCACATCTTCATGTAGAACATCATCATCAGGATCATATGAGAGACTTGCATCTATGAAAACCGTGTCCATAGAATTAACTGATCTTGATGTTCCACCTTTTATAATAGCAACCAGTGGGAGAGGCTTCACTTTGATGTAACCCTGAATTTTATAGAATTTCATACAGTTTTTATTCTAAAAGAGTTGAAATATTCTCATTTTAAATGAAAATGGATTCTACATTTAACTTTTCAATAAGCTTATAAATCAGGAGGCCATTTATTGGTCAAAACTATTCATAATGAACAAAGTGTTAATCAAATTGCTGATTACAATTTATTCTGTTTATCAAAAGTTAATGATTAATGGATTAAAACATGTATGGCTAATTTTATGAGAGGATCAATGAGTGGGTTTCTCAACCCTTACTGGGGGCTTTCATGCTGTTACTTTCACTTTTGTCCAGGGTGACCAAAAAACAGAAACTTCCGAATATGAAATAATTTTTTAATACATATGTAATCAGCTTCATTTTCGTGTACAGAAACTACAATTTATGGATGGCAATGTGAATCAAATTCTTTACATAACATTCAATATTCTTCTTGTTATGGTCAATAAACAATGTGCCCACATTTGAAAGAAAACATGATATTTTTGTGTCATCTAAAGGGTTACACATTGTTTAAACCCGGCAGATTCTTTCAACTTCTTGTTAAGTTGCAATTTGTGAGTTTGAGATGGATGAGAATGTGTCCCAGCAAACTTTAAGTCATTTAAGTCAATGTGAATTTGATTCACATTGTGTGAGATTTTCAGAATTTTTTGATGACTGGTATAGAAAAACATTAGAGAAACATGCGTTCAATTCAGTTCATCATATCGATACCAATCTTTTGCAGCCATCTAAAGAAAAACATATTATGTATAAATAACTACCATTATCCCCATATATCTAATAATCTATCAAATGGGATTAGTTTCCTGACATATGGATGGATGGATGGGTGGGTGGGTGGATGGATGGATGGATGGATGAATGGGAGAGCTTTGCTATATTTCTACCAAATTTTGTCCATTTGAATGATAAAATACTTTTTGATTCACCTAAGTAGTACCTAATAACTAATAAAGTAGAACATTTGGCTTACCTGTTTGTAGAGACTACCAACAGGTGATCCTGAGTGCTTGGCAACTGCTTCTAGAGTTATCACATAGATCCCATAGTCAAGAGCCATCACACCAATATGTAAATCATTATTATATTTCAGTACATCAGTATCATTTGTATCAACCAAATTCGAAGCACTTGGATATGGGTGAATGCTAGTGAGCTCATAGAGCTGCCATGTATATTCCACAGATGAGTGTTCACAACTGAAAAGTGCAGTCCCTGATACATGAATGGGTAATCTTGCAAGGAAACTTGATGGATGTACCAGAGTGCCGCCATCTATCATGGTGAATGTTACATTCCCAGGACAGTTGCCTTCCAAAACATCAATTGTTACAGTAGCTGATGTATTCCCATGCTGATTGATTCCGCTAATTGTGACATCATAGCTTCCTTCTTGTATGAAGGTGTGAGAAACTTCATATCTGTAGCTTGAGTAGACATCCAAGCTTAGGGCTGGATCAACTACATTAAACTTGAAACCACCACCAAAGTCCCATGTAAAAGTAGGGTTCTCCCCAATTTGCTCCACAGACATAACAAACGTCATCTCTAATCCAATCAGTGTCACATTACCGCTAGTACTATGCAGTGATAAACCTATGATTCTGTTAGCTGGAATCAAGTCACAATTAGGCTTTGATCATTGGGCAGAAAATCCACAAACACTAGAAAAGAGCAACTACATGGAGTATTAACCAAACAAAACGTGTGTTGATAAATAGCAGCCATCTTGAAAATTTCCTCTTGAACAGAGCTCCTTTGTCACTAGGAATCAGCATATAAAATTTGAACCAATTAAATCTATCCACTGGTATTTGAGTTATCAAAGATTTTTATCCAAAACGGTGGCCATTTTGAAATTCATCTGCAATCTTAAAATCTTTTCTTGAGTAGAGGTTCTTTGTTCCTACATGTAGGTATCAGCATATTAAATTTGAATCAAACCTGTCAACTGGTATTTGAGTTATCAAAGATTTTGCTGCCTCCAAAACAAGGCTCCTGTGTTCCTATCAGCATATAAAAGAACTAAATCAATCAACAAGTGTTTGAGTAATCAAAGATTACGTTTTTTACAAAGATGGTGACCATTTTGAAATTCAGCAACCATCCTGAAAATCTCTTCCTGAGCTTTCTTTGTCCCGAGGCATTAGTATATAATATTTGAACCAAATCTGTCAACTCAATTCTGTTTTTGGTGGCCATTTTGAATTTAGTGGCCATATTGAGAATTATTTCTCTAGCAGAGGTCCTAGACCTATGAGGCATAAAATTCTAAAATTTGAATCAAATCTGTCAACCAGTTTTTGAGTTATCATCTAGACATGAATGAATGAATGAATGAATGAATGGATGACCCATTCGCTTTTATATATCCCTCAAACTTGGTTCGTTGGGATAAACATACAAATGTTGTAATATAATATTGACATATGACTGCTAAATTGTGAACTCTCATCTTGACCTCAGTTTCAGATTTTCTTGACAAATTCCTGATGACTTGATATCATTCCATATTACTGAAAATGCTACAGGCAATAATACAATATGTTCATGGATTTCTAACAGTTTTAAATGACATACCAGGACACTCTTGTACTTTACAGGACATACTCTCTGTCAAATCGTTGACACTGCATTCAGCTCCTCCATAAGCCGGTACAGGGTTGTTGCATTCTCTGGTGCGGATTTTTTCTCCATCTCCACATGTGGCAGAACAGTGTTGCCATGCTGTCCAAGGACCAGGTCCTCCATTTACTAGAAACAAAATCAGCATTAGTTAATAAGGAACAAATGCAGATTTTTTCTCCATCTCCACATGTGGTTATACAGTGTCCCCATGCTACCCATTCACCAAGACCTCCACTAACTTAGAATAAAATTAGCCTTGGTTAAGAACAACTAATAATAAAAACATGAAAAAATATTTGTTTTGTTATCTTTTTTTATTTTACGTAAAACCTTTAGTTAATGCGAAATATATCGTAATACTGATTTTGCTATTTAGGAAGCCCTTTTACATAGCCACTGTGGAAGAACTGGTATATTAAAGTGCCTATTCAAGACTTATAGGGAGAAATTTGAGATTTCAAGCCATGTGACTCAAGAAAATAGTCTCACCTTTCTGGATGAGTTCAGGCGCAAACAACAGCTGATCTAAGGACATATATCATTTTCTTATTACTTTTTTTCGTGCTGGGCCATGCATTTTTAAAAGCTTTGACAAGAAGTCATTCCCAAAATGAAAACTGAATAAAACAGCATTTATTCTGAAGGTAGATCAAAGTACTTACTCAGACAGGCATAATGATATTATTAGTAGTAAAGTTGATCATTTTCAAGAAATGTAAGGGTTTAAAAAGATTTTTTTTTCGAAAATGATGATATAGCTAAACAAAATGTCTATTCAATCAGCTTTGACTATATGCTGTTAAGGTTAGATCTCGTTTATTTTGTTCCAGTTCTGGGTTCAAATCACACTGGTCGATTATATCTTTATTTTTAAATTTTGTTTTCCTTCATTTTGAACCAAAATATTTTTGAAATAATTGTTTTACACGGCACTTAAACCATATTTAATATTCTCAAGGGTTTAAAGCCATGTACAGACATTTGATATATATTATAAAACCCCAAAAAGTTATAAATATGACACTATATAAAATGAGATAAAGAAAATATATTGTGACTAAGAAATAAAGAAAAACAAGGCATTAACATGACAAAATGTCACCACCTAAAACAATTTACTTGCAAAATACCTTTTGACCTTAAGAAGGTTTTTGAAGATTTGAGCTTCTGGGATCTTGTAGATGATTTTAAAAAAAGAAATTGTTCAATCTGAAGCAAGTTAAAACTAGTTGCACACAATATTATAGTGATCAAAAGTTAAATAGTATAAGCATAAGTCTCATAATTTGGTACTATGTACCAAATTTTGATAAAAGCTAAACATGTATACAGGTATAAAACATGCAAAATTGGTGATTACTCTAGGAGTCACATTTCATGTCATTTGAGGTTGAAAGTGTCCAAATGCCAGAAATGTTTCAGTCTCAGGATCGTTTGGCACAGTACAAACATTGTACTGTCTATACACTTTTGAAGATTTACACTAGAGTGGACTGACTTTTTCACATCAGCCCTTAGCGCAGAATTTATTTCTTGTGTGTTTTTATTAATTACCTAATACATTATTTGCCCAGAGTAAGAAACATGACTGTAGCAAAATAATTAGAAATAGAGGAAAAATACTTACTGTAGATTAGGTTATTTTGACAGTATTTTATTTGGTGAATTTCCAATTTTCTAAATTTTGGTACATACCTATTTTGGTGGACACCTGGGGTTGGTTAATAGTTCCTATATCTCAGTTTCCATTAAACTATGGTGACAAACATTCCCAGGAAAGTTTTGGTTAAAGATCAAAATTGTTGATATTTCCATTTGCCTTGGTCAAAATAAAGTGTGACCAAATTAACCCAATCTACAGAATTACCCATAATCTTAAGATACCTGTAGAGACAATCAGAGTAGGTTGATCAACTGGCTGATGTTACACATTTTGTTGTTTCATCTGAGCTGATGTTAACCACTGTTGGATCAAATATTAAATACTGAAGTCCCTCAAATGAAATCAATATGGCATGATGGTGACTGTGATGAAGTTGTCCCATATTGATAAGGTCAGATTTGTATCCATTTAAATGATATAATATATAGGTTTGCTTGTAGTTCCAGTAGATTCACTAAGTCATGGTACATAGTATTTTACAGTACTTAGTACCTGTCAACATAAACACAGTAAGTATATCAATTGGTTGGTCAGAACTTTTGATTAATTAATGTTACTTATGATACTGGTAGTCCACTCGTGTAGCTCAGTGGTAGGGCGTGTAAGCTGAATGATTAAATTCCAGGAATTCAATCTAATGCAACCCATATAGCACTATGGTAACTGTAGTACACTTCTTCTGTACCTGCTTGGACATTGTCAGATTTGCAATTGGTATAAATGTGATCTATGGTTGTTCGAAGGTCTGTTGTATAGCCTGTACTTATTTGCTTCATCCCATATTTGGAAAGATAGCTTATTATCAGATTATGTTCAGGTGTCATAACATTGATGTTAAAGTCTCCAAGTATGATGGTATTTGTAAAAGAAGTTGTTACTATCCTTGCTGTGTCCAGTGCTTCAATCAAGGTTTTCACCATAATTTGTGGGGGTTTATATAGTTCAACAATATGTATATCCGTGGATAGTTTTACAACTATTATCTCAATGCCTTTGTGGTTCTCCACCATAAGTGTTTCTAAATGAAGAGAAGTCTTATAATACAATGATGAACCATGGAATGGTCTTAAATGAGACTGTTCAATGTAATGCACGCCTACAAAGTTGTCAATAACTTTATCATCACTTTCTTTAAATCTTGTTTCAGAAAACATCATAATATGGGAACTTAGAAGTGCTTCATGTGCATTGATATCTTCAAGATGTTTGTGGAGTGACTGTGCATTCAGATATACTAATTTCAAGCTTGATTGTGTCCGTAAAAGTTTATTATATTCATCTCCTTGTGGAGCATTCCTTAACCTTTCAATTTCTGTTTGAACTTGATCATCAACTTTGATCTTGCTTGGGTCAAAGTTGAGCAGAAATAAGCCATCAAGGCTAGTTGCACGACTCAGTGCTACATAATGCACATGTCTGCTTGTTCTCCCGGTAAAATCAATGACAACTTTATTCATGGTATCTCCTTGTGCTCTCCATACTGTTTTACCATTAGAAGGACGAAGGGGAAATTGTTTTCGTAAAACTTGAGCATGCTTGCTTCGTCCAACTTGAAACTCTCTACTTATTGGTATTATCGGTGTCCAGGATTTGTCAATAAGCTGTGTATATAAATGCTTATTTTGCTGTCTTGTCATTTTGCCAATACGTGCTTCATTAAAATGTACCCAAATAACACCAGATGCATAGCTGGATGAGATGGAGGAAATGTCTTTAACGATACAATTTGCACCATTTGTGAGACCATCCTCAACGTCCATATTTACAGAAATGTCATACTTGAGTCCTACAGAGATCTTTAACATATTTGACAGTTGCATTGTTTTTGCAGGATCATCAGGAATTCTTTGCAGGACTGCTGATTTGTGCTCAGATGATAGATCTCCAACAACTACATCATATGCTTTAAAATGCTGTTTGCGTAACAAAGAAAGTGAATATACAGATTCATTGTGTTCATTGACTTTCTTATTACTGAGAAAAAGGTGCTGCTCATTAAGTGGATAGTTATCACTGTCTCTACAAATGCACCTACTGCTAAATAACTCTATGTCGGCATCTGTATGTGTCCCTACACGAAGTCTGTTAAGAGCTTCTGCAAAAGTTTTCTCTTTTTGTCGAATCACTTCAACTAACTCCATGATTTGAAAATTATGCCACAGGTTTGTAGCTAAAGAGCCATACCCCCTTTTCAGATCAGAAAATATCCAGTTATCGCAAACTGGTGCAAGTTGTCCAAAATCACCAACGGCAATAATTGGTAATCCACCAAAATCTTTAGGAACTCCAGTAATTTCTTGTAAGCGTTTATGAATAAAGGTTAACATATTGTTGCCAACCATGGATATCTCATCCACTATTAAAAGTTTCAAATTGTGTAGTTTGTGTCTAAGCGTATTTCGCTTATCTGATGTCAATGGTTCATAATTAAAACCTTGATTTGCTGGCACCTTGAATATAGAATGGATTGTATTTCCCTCTATGAGGAAGGCAGCCTTCCCAGTTGGTGCTGCAACCAAAATAAATATGCCATCTGGTGGATTAGACACCCTGCTGTTGAAATATTTTGTTAAAGTTTGATATATAGCTTTTGTTAAGTGTGTTTTCCCTACACCAGCACCTCCATTGATAAATTTGTAAATTGCAGTATCACATGTTTTCAGATGATGGACAATATGATTCAAAAATCCCCTTTGCGTTATTGTTAAAGATCTCATTAATTGGGAATATTCTGTTTCTTGCATTTCTCGGGTTGCTTTCAACTGCTTATCTATATTACATGATTGATCTGTAGAATAATGACAGGTATCATCTCGCTCCTGTTTGTTCTTTTCATCTATAGCTACATCTCTCTCCTCATTTGCCTCAGTACAAGGTGCAATTGTATCATCGATGTAGGGCTCATTTACTTCATTTTCCACCATATCCATAGCTTCATCAATATATTCAGAAAATGGTTCAAGCTTGGCTTTTTGTAGGTTGATGTCCTCTTGTCTTGTAAAGAACATTTCTTCATACGAAGAATGAGTTCCTTTTATGTTACTTTCTTTTCTCCAGGACGTATGTAACATAAGCTGTTCACGGTAATGGTTCTCGGGATCTTTTTCTTTGTTGTAATGAACATATCGCAGAATGTAAGGTTTTTTTCTTTGAGTTGGCTGCATGGACTTTGTTTTAACATCATAGTATGCAGAATATTCAGCAAATGTACAATGTTCAAGTGAATGTGGCCTATCACAATACCTTTGTACTTGGTCCTTGCAGCTAATATCTTCATCATCATCATCAAGAGTTTCAAGTACATTTCTGGGTTTAAGTAAAAATACTCTGTTTTCTTCAGGGCTTGTGTTCACAAACTTTACTGCTCTCGAGGATTGAACCATTGGCAACTGAAGGCAAATGTAACTTGCTTCTTGGGCACTTATTTCCACTGAATTTAGAAATTTGTTACCAATGGTTTTTA